TTATTAAATTAAACATTAATTCAATTGTTTAACTAAATTAATTTAACACTAAGTTTATCGCTAATTATTATTATAGAAGAGAAGTAAAATAATAGGTATTATTTAAGATCTTTATATGCGGGGTAAATGGTGAGTTTGGTGAGGCGAGTCGATAAAATCGAAATTGCGGGTCGAGAGTTAGACCTTTATTACAATGTTAGAATGAAGGTGGTAATGCGATGCAATTAATGCGCGCGCTTATAAGGAAGGATAGAGAGGGCTTATAACCTGTGAGATCACGAATAATAACGAGAGTAAGCGTATGTATACGATTAATTAAGTGTGCTATCGAGGAGAGAGGAGAAGAAAGACTAGCAAGAAGTCTGGAGGGCAAGAAAAGGTGGTGGCCAGGGCACGGTGGGCACGGCACAGAGTGCCTGCCGCGTGCGGGACCCACCAACACATACGGAGGCGAAAAAGAAAGACCCCTATTTCATACATATAGAGGCTTACGCACAACGGAATCAGTGAGCAGTGTCTCAGCTGCAGAAACTCCGTTACCCCTAAATGGATACTGAGAAGATATTTGTGACTCCATTTGCGAAGTCCTTCGGAGTATCATGACTCTCCACTCCCGCCCAAGCACAACATATCCCCACGTGTGTATGGGTGGGGGGCAATTTGGGCAAGAAAAAGCGAAGAGAAAAAAGACGGGGCGAGGGCAAGTGGGCGTAGAAGTTGGGCGTTGGATTTCGCCTTTGCTCAGTTCTCGGCACGAGGTCTAGATACTTCTAGTCCCATGCGGTAAAGTGAGCAGGTGAGACATGTCAAACATGAACCCATCAAATCACTTTGTGAGAGGAGAAAAAGTGATTGAGAAGGTCGAAAGTGAGAGTGTTGCGACTGAGGCAAAAGAGAAAATCCAAATCGCGCCTCGATCACCGATCCAACCGTTCAGAGGAATCAGGAATCAGAGAGTCCCCTTCTCGAAATCTCGCCAAAACGATTTTCAGGGTCCTGGCACAAGACTGAACCGCAGTGAACCAACTGTGGTTGAACTTGGTATCTCTTTGAATCAGGGGGATCCTTGACTTCAAATCAGAAGCAAGGGGAACTTTTGGCCTCTTTCCCCAGAACAAAATGTTCCCCGTTTCTTGGGATTTTTGCTTGGCTTCACGGTTGTGCCTGATGGTTGGTGCAGTGGGTAGTTGTAGGTAGGTACAGGTAGGTAAGGTGGATAATGTCTTTCTTGGTTACATGTAAGTGGTGATCTCTTTGCTTTTCTCAGCTTGTCAAGTCGACATATGTATGTACATGTATGTAAGCAGGGACAAGCTTTCTAACTTACAGCCTGCCAGCCAGCCAGCGATACTTACATGTGCACGAAATACATACTAGTTTAGTTACTAGTTTCACTTCTTATTTCATACTTGCGAAGTTCAGAGGGCTTACTGTGTACTAAGTACGTACGTTGGGCTAGTGTCCTTCGAAGTCAAGTAGGCAGGACATCGCCAAGCCAGAGTGGGTGTGGGCGAGCTGAAAACGGGGAAACTTACAAACGAACGAACGAACGAACGAAGCGAAAAGCAAACATTTTGATATCAAACTTTTTCCCCCTCTTCCCCTCCTGCCCAAACAAGCCAGATTTCCACAAATCTCTCACAAATCCTTCGCGTCCAAACGGGTCCTCCTGCCTCATTCAGCCAGTTAACCCATCGATTTATGAAATCCGACTGGTTGAGCTTTCAAACGGACTGGACGTTCAAGTGACTAGTCCGGTGCCCCGCTCACATTTACGCAGTACATACACCACGTCCCCGTCCGGCGACCCGACTCGACCCGCCCGTTGTTCCGGAAGTCACTTGCCGGCCAGGCCCCGCTTCCCCCGTTCGGACGGGATCAAGTGCCGTCCGTCCCTTGCTTTAGCTTTTTTTTTTTTTTTTTTTTTTTTTTTTTTCTAAACAGTTCAGGCACTATGCTGGGTTGGTGAGGTACATACTGTGCTGTGGTGTGCTGCGCCGTGGTGTGCTGTAGTTCGACGCAGGAGGTAGTTCCATTATTACTAGTGAAAGTGAAAGTGATAATCCGGTGCCCGGTACCCGGCTCCTAGCTCCTGGCTCCTGGAAACAACACGGAGTCAAGTTTTTGAAGTCGTGCATTTGATATGCGTGCCCAGCATGCCTAGGCAGTCGATCTATCATGTTATCTATGAGGAGATAGAGGGGATAAGGTACACACAACCCACGCATGAGCTGAAAGAACTCCGTCGACTATCGCCAACTAACGTAATTGCGTCTAAACTCTGGCTATACCAAGGCCTGCCCTATTAGTCCCCAATCAAGCAAACACCGTCCCTCCAACCGGTCCGCTTCCGGCCGACCAACCTCCGGCAGGCGTCAATGTGCAAGGTGATATGACCGATACGGTAACGGTCCTCGACCCGACTCGGCAAGTCTCCCCCGGCGCACCCCCGACAAACCCCCGGGATATCGGGTGATCTGGGTGATCTAAGTGATCTAGGTGCATGAGATCTCGATAGAGGAGTCTAGACTAGCTGGCTTTTCGCTGTGATAGGGTCGTCTAAGCGGGCGGCTTATGTAGGAGGGTAAGTAAGTGAGGTGTGTGTTGGGGGCCTGCGTAGGGGTCTGAGGGGGGTGTTAGAGGCCCGAGGGGGGCTTTTAGGGCTTTTGAGTTGGGGTGTTGATACCTGTGGACTTGAGGAGCAAACATGCAAACAACTTTTGGGTTGTACATGTCAGTTCCTCGGCGAAGGTGGCACACTGGCAGGTGAGGCAGGTGATAGATCACGGGGTTTTGTTTGAGTTAATGAGGGGGGCACAGAGTCCAAAAGCTGAGGAGACGGAGTCATCACTTGATGTTCTCCTTGTGGACTTGAGGTTGAGTCAGGTGAGTTGGACGTGTGGAATGGGTAGTGACAGTGGCTTGGGTTTGAGCGGATGACTGCCATTGTCGAAAAATGTGATAGTGTTATTGGAGTTATCGTCGAAAGGAGTAAGAGTCAACACTTGACTGAATCACTCTTGAAGAACGCGTTAGCTAACATGAGAAATGTGATGGACTTTCAATACACAAAGCAACGGACATTGACACCTACAGTTATCCATCTCCAGATCACCCTAAACCAGCATGCAAATGCTTAGAAATCCTGTATTCCAATTTGATGAAAGAGACAAAGGCTAGAATGCCACTTTCACAGAGCCGTTAGTGTAATTGCAAGTGCCTGAATTAGATAGACGGACTGGAAAAAAAGAAGCGAAGTGAACTGAAGCGGTCCGTCCCGGTCTGGGACCCCATCGACCATGAGGATCGGCACCGGAGTGAAACCGAAAAGGCTGCCCGACGGCGCTATTGCCGTCGACATAGTCGTCGGTTGTCATTGCCGATGGAAGCTCTTGCTCAACGGGTTCTGGTCGACCTTCCTCATTTTGATTCTACACCGGAGTTAATACTCCGAGGAGATGTTAGCCCAAAGACGACTCTGTGAGATAATAGCTGGCTGGGCTGGGCTGGCTGGTTATGTTGAAAAGGAAATGAGAAACGTTGATCTTCTCTCCGATGGCAGGCTTGAGAGAGGTATGTACTCCGTGTTGGAAGGACTGTATCTTAGAGTCGCTTTCTAATGAACATGAGTCCATTTTTCTCTATCATTTTGGGAAGACAGTCGCATCGTCGGCCTAAATAGACTAGAAATGATGCGCTGTCGGCCCGTTGTTGGGTTGGGCATGAAGATATCGTGGGGTGCTTTGATTGCTAATCTTCACCGCGGCCGATCAATATTTCTCTCGTATCCTTCTTGACTCGGCCTGATCCGACCAGACCCTGATGGGTTGAGTTGGGGGTCAGATTGGGGGCCGGTTCGGCCGGTAAAGTGAGGCTAACGTGACCGGTGAGGGACGCGGAACGTGGTGTCTGTAGATCCGGACTGGAACTTTGAAGAAGTCAACGATAACCGCGGCAACAACTTAATAAACGCCTTTGGAGGTGCAGTAAGGAAGAGTGTCGGAAGTAACGGTTTGATCGTGGTTTTCTCTGGATTAAAGTGTCTCGAAAGTGATTGGGTAGAAGCATTTGAAATTCAGTATACCACCAAGATCGACTGCTCTTCGGTTATACTGAAGACGGAACGGTGGTTTTTAGGCAACTGAATCAACTATTGTTTCCAAAGGTTGAAAGAAGTGACTTTCCCGGTCATATGTGGTAGCCTTGTACAACCGTCTATTGTATGTCGTGATTCCGTATGCGTACTTGTGAGACATCCCAGATTGATGTTTGATGCGTGATACTGAAGATCAGAAACTACAGATGTGAACCGTAAAGGCATTGCTGTTTCAAGATGGAAAATTTGTCAGTGGTGGAAAGGCAACGACATGAAATGTGTTTAATTCTGTAGAGGTAGTTGTCTGACGGATCGGAAACGGAAACCAGCGCGGCCTAGAATACTGGGAAGGAGTGAGTGCCCGTGAATGGGAAGTCGGGTGAATGAACGGACACAAAGTTCAAACATAACCTCAGTTTGCTACGAGGTGACGACAACCAGCTTAAACTACTCTGGTTAGAAGTCGCGGCACACAAAAAGACCAAAAAAAAGTGTCGGGTTAAGCAATCCAGTAGCACACCGTCCGGAGTCGAAACCACACTCTCTCTGATAGCTGGCGATGGACTGACCGCTATACCAACTACCTCCTGAGGTGGACGTTACTGCTAAACCCCTCCCGGCCCCCGACGGTAAGCGGTACAGGAAAGGTCACTTATATGGGCAGGTCCAGTGACGACCATCCCTGCAGATTCTGCGCTCTGAACATAGGAATTAGGAAGGTGCGGTTCGGATGAAATATATAGCTGGATGACGTTGTGAGTCGATCCGGCCTGGAGGAGTGTGTTGTGTCGCGGACAGCATGAACCTGCCGTGTTCATGTTTAACGTCTGAACATTTCTCAAATTTCAGAGCACTACTTATCGCTGTGTAGAAACTGACCTTTTGATAACGGCCAGTCATTATCCTGAATGAAACAAATGGGACGGGTACCAACTGTAAATATAATCGCCCCGCTGTCTATTAAACCCCCAACCGTCATCACTTGGTGCACTAACCACCGTGAAGCGTAGAGATAAAGAGGATGTTATCTCCTGGCTGAAGCACGTAGGCATCTTCCTCTTCCAGCTCCCAGTCGCAGTCATTGATTAGACACAAGATACCTGGGCGGCTATTTGGTTTAGGTCTGTTAGTAAGTGCTTTACCAGAGCACCGAGACAAAACATGACTCACAGTTCACCACCAAGCACAAAGAGATCAGCGCGGGGATCCGTCATGAGCGTCTGGCATAGATAGTTGATGAGGAATCCGACGTTGGCTGGCTTGCCTTCGGAATCTTGGGCTGGTACTGAGAGAGCATGATGCTTCTGGTTGGAAAAGAGAATCTCAAGGCCGCCACTGGAGAGGAGAGATAATGCGTTAGTGAGACGGGTCGAGCTCATTGGAGTCAGGAAGAAACTCACGAAAAATCGACCGTGATGTCGATGGTTTGATCTTTTTTGTCTGACATGGTGATATGTGTCCGAATTCGAGTGTGATCAAAGCGAACGTCTATGGTGTTGTACGGATGAAGTTGAAGAATTCAGGTAAATTGTGTGGTGGATGTCCAAGAAAGGGATATTTGGGCCGAGTTGACAGCTAAATTTCTAGGTTCTGATTGGACGTTTGCTGCAACTGCCATGTTTTTAAAAACTAATTGCATAAATTGGGAAAGAGCCTGCTGTGTTAAGTCGTGCAATCAATGGGCAGTGGAGTCACTTCAGGACCAAGCAAGGGCCTAAAAAACTCCAAGCTTGGGGCCTGCAGCCAATCATGACGACCCCTCTGACAGCGACTTCGTTAACTACAATTCACAACTTCCCTTCACTCACTGACTATTTGCTGGTGAGTCTGATTTGAAAATTGGGGTTAAAAACGAAAAGACAAACATCATGACCGAAGCGGCGATTGACACTCGCTATCTGTCGGCCGGCGCAAACAGGTATGCCGCTGCCGCTGACTGGGGAGAAAATGGCCTGGTGGCATTTGGCGCAGACATCAACGTCTGCCTCTGGAATCCTTCGGTATGACTACAGCATGACTTTCCACTCAACCGAGATTTTTGCTAACATCTTTCCCAGAACACAGTTGGTATCTCCCAGATTCTGAGTGGCCATACAGCTCATGTACGGGCCGTCAAGTTCCTTCCAAGGTTGCAAGATGAGAAGTCAACTTACCTAGTAAGCGGAGGTGACGACCAAAGCCTTCGGGTCTGGGCCGTCAACGGCGAGACGGGTGCCGCAACATGTGTCCAAACCCTGCAGGAACACACGGCCCCTATCAACTACCTCGCAGCTCTCAAGATTCCCGTTGGCAGCACCAAGCGTCGTATTTTCGTCTCGGGCGCAGCAGACTCTACCGTCAAGGTTTGGTCTTTGGATGTCTCATCCGGCCAAGTCACTCTCCTTCAAACTATCAAGACTGCTAAGAAGTACTTTCCCTTGGCCCTTGCCTTGAGCCCCTTGAACGACGAGGGAACTGCTCTCATTCTGGCTGTTGCCGGAACCACAAACATCATCCAGATCTTCACTGCCTCGACAACAGACGACACACAACTCGAATTCACCCCTCAAGCCACCCTCCCAGGCCACGAGAACTGGATCCGATCTCTTGATTTCATCCGCGAAAAGCCAAAGTCCGAAGCCGAGAGCGACATTCTTCTTGCTTCAGCCAGTCAGGACAAGTACATCAGGATATGGCGTATTCACCAAGGCAGTGCGCTGTCTATGCCCACCTCGGCCGCCTCAGATGCTTCTGCTGCTGCTGCCGCCCTGACTCCGGGCCCGGCCAACAAGATCCACAAAATCAAGGTCGAGGGAGCTGATCCCGCTACCAACAAATACTGTATAATGTTTGAGGCTCTGCTCCTCGGTCACGAAGACTGGATCTACACCGCGCGCTGGTGCCGCTCTCCTACCTCCACCACCTCCGACAGCGGCGAGGGCACCCTCCAGCTTCTCTCGGCTTCAGCAGACAACTCGCTCTCGATCTGGGAGTCCGACTCAGAGTCAGGTATCTGGATCACCGTCGCCCGTCTCGGCGAGGTCAGTCGCGAGAAGGGCGCCACCACGGCAACCGGCAGTATCGGCGGCTTCTGGACCGGCATGTGGTCGCCCTCCGGCACGACCGTCATCACCCTCGGCCGCACCGGCAGCTGGCGTCGCTGGGACTGGGACAACGACGACCAAGCGTGGAAGCAGAACTTTGCCGTATCCGGGCACACCCGAGCCGTGACCGGCATCTCGTGGTCCCGCAACGGCGTCTACCTCCTCTCCACCAGCTCCGACCAAACCACCCGCCTCCACGCCGAATGGGCTGCCACCAACCCTTCTCAAAACACCAGCACGAGCAAGCGCACCTGGCACGAGATGGCCCGCCCCCAAATCCACGGCTACGACCTCAACTGCATCGACTCGCTCTCCTCGACCTCGTTCGTCTCCGGCGCCGACGAGAAGCTCATGCGCGTCTTCACCGAGCCCAAAGCCGTCGCCCGCATGCTCACCCGGCTAACGGGCACTTCTTCGGCTCTCTCCTCCTCCGACTTCGACTCCCTCCCCGCCGACGCCGCCAACATCCCCGTTTTGGGGCTCTCGAACAAGGCCATCGACGTAATCGACGACGACGCCGACGCCTCCGCCGCCGCTGGCGGTCCTCAGGATGGTGGTGGTGGCCGCGGTGGGGACGTGACGATGCAAGACCGCGAGAACATGCTCGACCCAGCGAGCATGGTGCGCAAGTCGGCGTTGGAAATCGATCACCCTCCTTTTGAGGAATCACTCAGCCGTCACACCCTCTGGCCCGAAGTCGAAAAACTGTACGGACACGGTTACGAAATCTCGTGTCTTGCCGTCTCCCACCCTTCTTCTTTTTCTTCTCTATCATCTGGCTCATCTGGCGAGAAACAGAAACAAAAAGAAACCCACCTCGTAGCCTCAGCCTGCCGCGCCGCCTCGCTCAACCACGCCGTCATCCGCCTCTTCGAAACAGACAAGTGGACCGAACTGCGCCCGCCCCTCAAGGCGCACACCTCCACCATCCACCGCCTGCGCTTCTCTTCCGACAACCAATATCTCCTGTCCGTGGGCAAAGATAGGCAGTGGGCCGTCTTCCAGCGCGATTCCGACTCCAACTCCAGCGGCGCAGGATACAGTCTGCTCCAGCTGAATCCCAAGGGTCATAGCCGCATGATTTTGGATGCGGCGTGGGCGCCTAAGAGCAGCTCTTCCTCTGGAGAGGGGGGTGTGGACGTGTTTGCGACGGCGGGTAGAGATAAAGCGGTCAAGATCTGGGTTAGGAAGCCCAGCAAGCCTTCTTCTTCTTCTTCTTCTCAGCAACAAGAAGGGGAAGAAGAAAAGAAGGAAGAAAAGTTTACTTTGGGTTTGTCTCTAACCGAAGACCAACCTATTACGGCGCTGGATTTTGCTTCGGAGCCTTTGAGTGTTACCGAGAATGGTAGTAGCAGTACCTTCCTGCTGGCCGTGGGCACGGAGAGCGGTAAGCTATCGGTATTGGCGATCAAGGTTAGCGGGGATGGCTCGGAGGTGAGCGTGGCGGAGACGTATCAAGTTGGGGAGCAGTTGTGGTTGCCGAAGGCGGTGATGCAACTTGCTTGGAGGCCGAGGGTGAGGAAGGGTGGTGATGATGACGGTGATGAGGGTGAGAAGCAGCAGGCGAGGGAGTTGGCTATTGCTGGTGAGGATGGGTCGTTGAGGATATATGAGATTTCTCTGTAGAGGGAGGTAGTTTGGGCGCAAAAGGGAGGATAGAAAAAAATCATACTGGTATTATGTTGGTACCTGATTTGAACACAGGGAGGGGCCTACGAGTGAGTGACATGAAGTGGTTGAATGCTCAATGCCCGGCGGAAACAAAGTCTCCTTTATGACTCCAAGTGGGACTGGCTGGCACCGCATGTCGATGAAGAGACGATGACAAGGTTGCCAGTAACAAATCCGCTTCTATGACACCCATCAAAGATCTGAGTCCATAAATATTTGTTGATCATGTACTGCTATTATAAGACTACCTCAACCGGGCGTGGTCCTGTCCTGTCCTTCTATGCAAGAATGTATAGTGTTCATCTATCGTTTGCCGTCTCCCAACCTTGACCAGCTAGCTTCATTACGTATGATATTTCTTTTCCAACCCTGAACGCCTAATAACCCGACTGATACCCCTTGCCTCCATCCGCGTTGATCTCCCAAGCTCATTCCCGCAACATTAAAGCATACACCACCGAGGTCGTGTGGTGGGGAGCGTCGACTGCGCGAAGCCCATCCCTCCTGACAAGTTCCGTCCTTCCTTTGTCGCGAGCACCGGAAGGTCCGGTTGTAGGTGCGGATGAACTGTCCACACCACCGGGGCTGACGACTTGTCGAGAGTGGCACAAAGGCATGGTGTAGTTGTTGTCCCCAGTCTGCCAACCCAAATTTGTTGAGCGGGATCTCGCTCGCGTATCGCGCCCCTCTACATCCTCGTTACCAGAGAAAAGGGAGATATCCAACCCGATAGCCCCGAATTCCCGTAGTGACTCAACATCTCCCCTGCCATTATCACCACCTTCAACACTATCCCCAATCGCATCACCCAGACACAACTTCAGCCACCGAGGAGCAATTAGCATTGGCTTCTCGACGGGCAAGCATGTCAGTCTCCCCTATGCCTCGCCCGATGTTTAGAGTTCCCTAACAATCCCCACTGTAGCATCCGCCGCCCTGCCCAAGGCTTCCACAGTCTTCTCCGACCCCAGCAACGCGCTCTTGGTGACGGTAACGGCGTTGGAAACAACATCGAGGATCGAGTCCTGGGTGTCGCCGTGCATGTAGAACCAGGCGCGGCGGGCGATGAATTGCACGTGATGCGGGAGGTAGAGGAAGGTGGCGATGAAGGTGAGGGAGACGAGGAGGAAGAGGACTGAGTCTGTTTGGGTTGAGGAACAAGGTGTTAGTTGATTGGGTTTTAGAGTAGAAGGGATGGGGATGGGGATAATGGTTACTGAACGAAAGGAGGAGGATGCAAAAAGGGAGGCAAGGTAACGTACAAAAGATGAACTTCTCAATAGGCGTAAAGATGTACACGCTCATGGTAACCTCAAGCTGGTAAATCTTGAGCTTGAACCACTTGCTGAAGGCCTCGAGGTAGGAAGACATGATGGGCGGGCGTTTATGTCTGGAGTCTGGTGCATATGTTTACTCGGAAAATGCGGGATTCGAGAAGAACCGTTGCGGTTTTGCGATCGTTCGATGAAGGAGTTCGATTTGGAGTTTGCGACGGGCAACGCGCGATGCGATGGGAAAGGCGGTAACAGACGAATTACAAAAAGTCCAGAGTTGATGATTAAAGCCGGTCAAGGTCAACAAGAAGAGACGAGGAAACGAAGACGAATGATATCGCGCATGAAAAAAGGCAATGAAGGAAGCGGCAAAGTCAGGAGGAATCCGGTCGAAATACGTTGTTCAATGCAAAAGGGTTCTCAAATCGGATGTTGAGAGAATCCAACAAATCCGCCGTTTCAGTCGCAACAATTCACCCACTGGCGGGACGCACAGCTGGGGAGTCGCGAACCACTGCCCTGCACTGCTGCGTGACGGGCGGGACCGGGGAACTTTCTGTCACCGCCTGCAAGGCCCAGAGCACTCTTTCAGTGCCACTGCAATTGTGCCAATTGTGCAGTTGCATTGAGCGAGTGCCTGCCCCGGAATCCCGAACTGCCAACTGCCAACAGCAACAGGCCAACAGCACCCAGAACAAATCGATCACTGCAGTCGGCCTATCCGCACCTTCCATGCTCTCAAATGCTGAGCCCCTGAAATTAGCGTCGTGCAAAATCTTATCGGCCCGTTGTCATTGGCCATTGACGAGACCAAGAAGCCCCACCAGATCGGTACGGCGCGACCGACTTTGGCCCGTGACGACGAACGAACGTCCGTCGGCCACTGTGACCGCGACCGCTGCCTGCCGGCCCCGACGACCGCGCTGGAACTGCGGCGCAATTGCCAGCCGGATGCGACGATGCCTTGGTGGCTCCGTTCCGTCATCATCATGATCCCGTTCCCGTCGTGACAGTCTTCGGCTCCGGATTCGGATGATGAAGACAACACTTGGCCTACCAGTACCTTCGCTTTCAGCCCTTTTCGCAGGTGCAGGAGGTCGAATCCTGAGATATGGCGGCCTACCTTTTATCTCGGGCTCGGGAGCAGGACGGCGACCGGTGATCGCAACACCAGCAGCCCGGCCCGGGGCAGCAGCAGTAGCAGCAGCACCGTTCACCACCACCGCTCCATCATGGCTCAAACCGTGGCAAATGCCTCCCCGCCCTAAACTCCCCGAGGACGAGTTGGAAGAGGTTTACCTCAAGGGTAGTGGTCCCGGTGGACAAAAGATTGTACGTTGTCCTCGCCCTTTGTGCCCCCCCAACCTGTCCTCCCCATCCATTCTCCTCCCCCTTCCATTCTCCTCTGTCCCCTCCCCTCTCCTCAAACCTTCCTTACTAACCCCCCTCCTCCCCCCTCCCACAGAACAAAACCAACAGCGCCGTCCAACTCCGGCACATCCCCACCAACATCGTCATCAAATGCCAAGAAACGCGCTCACGGACACAAAACCGCAAGCTGGCTCGGGAGATCCTCGCCGCCAAGGTGGACCTGTTCCTCAACGGGGACAAGAGTCGCGTAGCGATCGTGGGCAACGTCAAGAAGAAGAAAGCGGATAGCAAGGCGAAGAAGGCGAGAAGGAAATACAAGAAGTTGGAGGAGAAGAAGGCCGGCAAGGCTGGTGGACAGCAGCTAGTGGAGGGGGAAGAGGGCGCAGAAGGGGAAGAGGGGGAAGAAGGGGAAGAGGGTGAAGCTGAGGGAGAAGAGGTGGAGGAGGGATATGAAGATGAGGTACAAGAGGGAGAAGAGGCTGAGAAGGGAAAAGAGGCTGAGAAGCGCGGAGGAAACGCGGATGGCGCTAGACAGTGAGGATACCCATGGTGTTAGCAAATAGACGAAAGATCGAAGCCATCTGGTTTCTGCCACTGGTTTGCACCCCAGACCATGTCCGATCATGCAAACGGCTGCTTGTTACTCGGTTCCAGAGCGGTGAGGATCGGTTGGATCGGTATCGCCGCCGCCTTACCGTGGGGGCTCTCCTTCCATGAAATCCATAAGCACATGCATCTCGATATTGCTGTGGATCTGATACCTTGATGGCCAGCAAGGCCCCCTTTGTCCTTGGCTTGTATCAACATGGTTATCTCACGGCCAAGGGAAAGGCAGTTGAAGGTGTTTAGGAATAAAGAACGCTGTTTGAATTTTGATGATATTTTCATCCACGATAACCTCGAATTGCCCAGTTGTGACTAAAACTTGCTGCTAAAAGTGTAGTAAATAGAGAAAGGGTGTTGGCAAGATCAAGAAGCCCGCATACTTGATCGCGCCTATCCCACGCATTCGCAGCCGTCGCCGCCCACCCAGAAAACAGAAAAAAGAGGCCATTATTTATGTCTTCTAGTAGAGAAAAGAGACGCCAACCCCCTTCTGACCACGCTCACTACTTTTTGTATAAGAGAGACCTGTGCAGAATACACGCGCAATGCAGACATGCTACTTGACGCAGATAGGGGTGTTATGTCCCCAGTTGGCGCTGGCTCGTGACAGTCGTGGATTTGTCCATTTATTGAACTACATACAAGGTGTAAGCCGACCACGCTCCGCTTCCAACTGCAACAACGACCTCTCAAGGGCACCCACTTTAGAAGCACTTGCGGTGCACGATCGAGGGACCGCTCTCGTCGTACTCCTGCTTGGAGATCCACATCTGCTGGAAGGTCGAGAGCGAGGCGAGAATGGAACCACCGATCCAGACGGAGTACTTGCGCTCGGGAGGAGCAATGATCTTGACCTTCATGGAAGAAGGAGCAAGAGCAGTGATCTCCTTCTGCATACGGTCGGAGAGACCAGGGTACATGGTGGTACCACCAGACTAGAGACGATTCTGTTAGCGGGCCTATCCTGTATTGCCAAGCCCACAGCGAACGGGGACATACCATGACAATGTTGCCGTAGAGATCCTTCCTGACGTCGACATCGCACTTCATGATGGAGTTGAAAGTGGTAACGTGAATACCGCCAGATTCGAGACCAAGGACGGAAGGCTGGAAGAGAGCCTCAGGAGCACGGAAGCGCTCGTTGCCGATGGTGATGACCTGACCGTCGGGAAGCTCGTAGGACTTCTCGAGGGAAGAGCTCTGGGCGGCGGTCTGGATCTCCTGCTCGAAGTCGAGAGCGACGTAGCAGAGCTTCTCCTTGATGTCACGAACGATTTCGCGCTCGGCGGTGGTGGAGAAGGTGTAGCCACGCTCAGCGAGGATCTTCATGAGGTAGTCGGTAAGATCACGGCCAGCCATGTCAACACGGGCAATGGCGTGGGGAAGGGCGAAACCCTCGTAGATGGGGACGACGTGAGTGACACCATCACCGGAGTCGAGGACGATACCGGTGGTACGACCGGAGGCGTAGAGAGAAAGGACGGCCTGGATAGAGACGTAGAAGGCGGGGGCGTTGAACGTCTCGAAAACGATCTGTGTCATCTTCTCACGGTTGGACTTGGGGTTGATAGGAGCCTCGGTAAGGAGGACGGGGTGCTCCTCGGGGGCAACACGGAGCTCGTTGTAGAAGGTGTGATGCCAAATCTTCTCCATGTCGTCCCAGTTGGTAACGACACCGTGCTCGATGGGGTACCTGAGGGTAAGGATACCACGCTTGGACTGAGCCTCATCACCGACGTACGAGTCCTTCTGGCCCATACCGATCATGATACTGGCATGGTGTCAGTTTTTTCGAACGCACTACAGTGTTGCGCGCGCGGGACGCTGGGGAAAATGGCATGCATACCCATGATGACGGGGACGACCGACGATGGAAGCTATCGCGACATGTTAGCATGGCCGGACGTTGGGTCTTGGCGGGGGGATAGTAGCTCTGCTGACACGTTGCCCGTCTCAAGCAGGAGTTCCTCGCAGGAATAGTGGGAACACTTACGGAAAACAGCTCTGGGGGCGTCATCACCGGCGAAACCGGCCTTGCACATACCCGAACTGGGCGGTTGTTAGCTATTGTCCATCGTAATGTTTACCATCCAGCGCGGGCTATCGGGGGCTGCGAGGCGTTGATTGCGGGCGGAATATGACGCTTCTCCTAGGAGTCGGTGAGGCGCGGGCGGGGAAGAGGGGAAAGCTTACCCATTGTCGATAACGAGGGCGGCAACTTCTTCTGTTGGCGGGAACGCATCAATCAGCTTGTGTCCATGATAAACAGTAGAGGGAGATGATGGCAGAAGTCCGGTGCGCCGGCGACAGGCTCGCCAGCGCGGGCAGACTGGGCAGCAGGAATGTGGACATGGTGTTACGTACCCTCCATTGTGATAGATTAGGTGGTGACGAAAAGTGTCGGATTAAGCAAAAGGTACAGAAGAAGAGTTATTAAATACGCTCGACGATTCCCGGATCGATGGAGCGATGATGATTTGGCTGAGAGTGGTGTTGCCGGAAGACGTAGAGACGTTGTTTGGGCAAAAATTTGGATGTTGTTCGGTAGGCGGAGGAGTTGGAAAAGGGGAGGTGAATTTAAGGTCAGCTTTGGGAGTACGAGGCGGCGGGTGGATTGAGGGGGGGAGAGGTAGGGGAGGTAAGGGGATGGATTGCTGTGGTGCCAGGTGCGAGGGAACGGATGGCTGACTGGGGGGCACAGGTTGATTGGGGACTTGGACTGGGCCGGGGGACTGGACACTGCTGGCTTGGTTGGACTGGGCCTGGTCACCTCCCGTCACGGCATGGGACTTGGCGGGCGGCGGAGGAAGGAAAGGCGGGCAGGGCAGCAGGCGGGTACCTTACAACTACGTTGCTGTTGCTGGTGGTTTATTACGATGAGATGGACGACTACGTGCACAACACCGCTGCGCTGCCTTCCCGTCCCCTCCTTGCTGTTCGTTTTCTACTCAAAACCACCAAATCACTGGCCGCACTGCCCCCTTGCTGTCTGGCATCTTCGTGGACAAGTTGTCAACTCACAGTGTCATGCTTGGATCGGGGTGGCTCAAGGTGGATTCCTGAGTGGCCTGCGATCTGTAAAGTGGGTAGGAGACACCGCCTTATTTTGGGAGGACAAGGGGATCTTCCTGCCGCCAACACACTTTCGGAAGGCTTCCACACCTCGGAGGCGACGTCTCGACATGTCTGGCAACTGGCAGCCCGATGAAATTCAAAGGGGATTGCGATTTGGGACCCGATTTGGGACACCGGCCGCCAGTCTATTGCAGCCCGGCCGGGGTCGTCACCGCTGCCTCTGCGTGCCGACGGGCAGCTAGTAGACGATTGTGAGCGTGGGTCCGTGGACGGTGGTCCGTCGTACCTGGTCGTTGTCCCTTGTCGCACCCCCGTTCATGGCTTGTTTATTACTCCTTCTGAAGAAGGCGTTTGCAATTCCAGAAGATCCAATGTCTTCTTTACCGTCTCTTCTGTTGGAGCCTGGCTGATTACGATCTCTTGGAGCTTGTCCGGATCGCAAACCCCATGGCCCCGAGGGTCCGAGTGTCTTGTGGCCGCCCGGTACGGGATCTGACGGAGATAGCCTACGGTATGCACTCGGGTCCATACGGTACGGAGACTTTCAGCAGCGGTGTCATTTCCAAGGAAACACCATCTCATTGGGGATGAGAGCGAGGTATTGCCACAGTCCAACACCTGCACCACCACCACCACCACCACCACCACCACCACCACCACCAACTTATTGGCGTCTGCTTCATCCCACCATCCACCACCTTCACAGCCTGGAATTGGAACTTTTGTTCCACTGTTCACGTTGGACCAAGTTTAGCTGACGTATGCCCCATTAGGTATCCACGAATTTTGCATTCCAAACGACAAAGACATGAAGTCGACATTCGCATCACTGATCATTATCTTGTTTCGCCAAGCAGGCATCTCGTCTCCTTTCTACATCTGGGCTCTTCTCTAGGCACCGGTTATTATTCCCTGCGCTGCGCGAGTGGCTTGCGTATGCACCGCTCTTTGAGATGTCAGCCTTGTCAGACGTTGGAGCGGCATTCCCGGCAACGATGATCACCATTCCCCCTTTCAGTGATCGAAAAGCATCATTAATATCAGCAGCCTAGAATTTTTGTCTCGATTTATACACAAATCTACGAAGCGATGAGTTCCGCAATGGGTTCGGACATGGCGCGGCTGGCTCAACAAGCATCAATGCATGTGTTCCAGCGTGGTGGGTATCGATGACGGTGGGCCAGGCAGTAGCATTGTGGGCGGGATTCTGACAACAACAACAACAAGCTTAAATACCTACGTGGACAACACCTAACATCCAAGGACCACTCTGGACCAACCCCGCGTCGACGTCGACAATATCAGAGCACTCCTCGAGCTCTTGTTAAGTGTCAAGCGATCAAGCTTTGGCTGTGAAAGGGGCCATCATCAAACCAGTCCTGTTGGATGCTCATGGTCAATGCGACCTTCTCCAACCAGTCACCGGGCAGCCTCCCTTTTAACCCTTTCGTTGTCACTTTATGCGATCCTCCGGAACGAAGCGAAGCTGCCACTGCCACTTTGAACTGCTGTAGTCTAATCACTCAGATCGTGTCAGCCTGACCCGTCGTCTGTCGCCTGTCGTCTGTTGTCTCCCCGCAAGAGCGACGGTTTGGAGCAACAACGACCGGGGGGGGGGGGGGGCAAGGTGGGGCAGCTGCTGCCCACTTCCTCAAAGGTGTGGAGGGGCAGTGCACAGACCATTTCGGCTCGGGAAGCTGTTAAAGCACATGAAGCTTGGACTTCGTTTTGAACCTCCCTTTCCTCCCCCCGAATATTGATGATGCCCATGTCCGTTTAATATTTCCTTCTAGAAGCTGAAGTTTTATTCCTTTTTAGGGACATGATTTCGGAAGATACCTTATTTCAGAGATCCTCATAAGCAAGCGGCTCCACGTCTCATTCCTTTTCCAAATTGCCAGCCAGTAACACGTGGGGAAGGCGCTAAACCGTTTTTGGACCGAACTTTCCTGAAACCCAGAGAACCATCGAGATGGGATTGGACAGCAATCGCATTATCGATAAGTCAGCCTTGTTCTTATACTATTTGTACATGGCGGGGCACAAACAGCTTTAAACAAAAGTTAGCTGATCAAGTCATCATCCATATCAATTCATCACACGAACATCGAGGACCCTGTTGGACCTCTGAAACAGCTACTTCGTATCGAATATCGACCGAGTCCACAAACCAAATAGATTAACTCTCCAACTGTCAACCAGCACAAGTCCCGGCGCAAAACAAACAATCCCAAGTCTACACCAAGAAAACACACACCTACAAACACAACAAAAAACAAACCACATCCAAAAATGGAAAAGAACCTCAACCAGCTCCTAAAATGGAGCATCGAGGCCCAAGCCGCCGCCTCCGCAGGCCAATCCCACCACTCCCACGGCACATCCTCCCCGGGCGCCTCTAACAACGGCCCCGCCACCGGCACCGGCGCCGTAGCCACCTCCCCCGCTCCCCAAGCCACCGGCCCCGGCCCGCGCCCCATCGACCCCGAAGTCCTCGCCTCCCTCTTCGGCGGCCCCTCCGAAGCCGAACTAATGAAAGCCGCAATGGAAGTGATCACGGACCCTTCGCCCGAGACCACGCTCGAGAACAAGTTGATCGCCTTCGACAACTTCGAACAACTCATCGAAAACCTGGACAACGCGAACTTGCTTGAGAAACTCGATCTCTGGTCCCCCTTGCTCTCGTTGCTGGAGCACGAGGACGAGGACATGCGCTTCCATGCGGCGTGGTGCGTGGGTACCGCGGTGCAAAACAACGAGAAGACGCAGGAGCGGCTGTTGGCCATGGGCGGCGTGCCCAAGTTGGTGGACCTGGCGATGAAGGAGGGCGAGTCGGAGAAGGTGAGGCGCAAGGCTACGTATGCGCTGTCGAGCGCGGTGAGGAATTATCAGCCGGCTATGGATGTCGCGGCGGAGGAGATGCATAAGCGCGGCCATGAGGTTTTGGTGAACAACGGGACCAAGGTGGATGCGGCCGATATGGATAAGGTGGATGAGGTTATTGAGCATTTGAGGGGTAAGGCTAAGGCTGAGGCTAAGGCTGAGGCTACGGCTGCGTGAGGAATGGGGATGTTTACGATATGAATATTCACATTGGGGGGTATGATGATAAGGAAGGAAAAAAAGGGAGGGAAGATATGTTTTGATACGGCATTGGAAAAGGCGTTATGGGTTTTTGTTTTGAGATACTTGTGCTGATCTAGTTGATGGTTCTGTTGTCATGATACCTTGACCTGTTCTGCAAGCTAGATTGGGGTGTGTACGGATGTACGGTATAGACATGGGAGCTTGTTCATGAAGCAAATACCCTTGACGATGTCCGCTGACAGTGGTCGGGAAATGATAACAACTTGGTTCACGCGCAATAATCACACCTTCTCCAATCTTGACGTATCTGTGATTTTACTTTCTTATTCTTCAACCCCTCAGACCCAGTGGTATTTTTTTTCTTCCGTATCCTTCCCACGTCGTCTATGATCTTTCTCCTCGTGATGTTGTTACAAAAAGGTATATATACACCCAACATACATCATCCCTATGTGGTTGGTGTATTCGTATTGTACAAGTTTCACACATCTCGTCAACCATCATCATCATCATCCACACACAATGCTAGATGCTTGACCCCTCCCTTTCCCTCTTTGCTTCTCCTTGCTCAAACCTCTCAAGACCAACAGCCCGCGTTTGGCGCTTAGGTGCTGTAGAAAGGAACGCCGAGGGACTGGAGAAGAAGCTTGGCCTGTCTGTCGGAAGTGGCCGTCGTCTTGATGGCGATGTGGCAACCGGGGATCATCTTGGCGGGGTACATCTAGAGAGAGTAGAAAGTCAGTAATCTGTCAAGTCTGAAAAGAAGGCACTGGTAGAGCCAGAGCCAGAGCCAGAGCCAGAGCCAGAGTCAAAGCCAGAGCCGGAACTTCTCCTCCCCCTTCCTTTCTCCAGCTCCCGCTCCAACTCCAACTCCAGCTCCCGCTCCAGCACCAGCACCAGCACCAGCACCAGCTCCCTCCCCTCCCCTCCCCTTCTCACTTCACCCCCCGCCCGGAATACAAACTCACATCATAATTGCACTCCACCTCCGGAAACAGCTGGACATCCTCCGGGTTCAACCCAAACTGCACATTACCACTTCCATCGCCCGTACTCGCCGCCACGCCCTTCCAGTCCTTGATCCGCGGGAAAACCAAATGGACCAACCGATCCATAAACTCCCACGCCGCGTTTCCGTAAATCGTCGTCTTGCACCCCGCCGGTTTGTTCGCCTGCAACTGCCACTGCACCACGTTTGATTTGCTGCGAGTCATCTCCGGCATCGTCCCCGTCATGGCCAGCAGCACAGCTCTAGCCACGATGAGCATATCCGGGTTCTTCAGACCGAGCGGGACGAAGGTCGAGACCGTGATCTCCTGGATCTCGGGGATGTTGCGGAACGAAATGTCGCGCTCGCGGATGGGAAGCTCGGGGGCGCCGCGGGGGGCGCGCCGGGCGCGGTTGGCGAAGTAAGGGGAGTCGCCTTCCCAGGCGCGCAAGCGCTCCGTGGGTTCCTTTTTGGGGGTTCCCGGGGGTGTGTGGATGTAGGTCAGGGTCATGAGGTCGGAGGCCATGACGGTGCGGAAGGTTTCCTTGAGGCGAGGCATGTTGAAGGGGCCCGGGACGAAGTCGCGGGCGATGGGGTCGGAGGAGGCGGGGGATTGGATGGGGTGGAGGGGGCCGCGGTTGTACTTGGGGGGGTGGTATTGGTATCTGGTGAGGGTGCATGGTGGTTAGCATGTTGTTTGTGGCCTGGTTGCTATGAAGCTTTGGGAATGTATGTAAACAACAGAAGGATGTGTATAACACACCTGCTGCTAGGCAACCTCGCCTTCCTGTCGGCCGCGCGCTTCCATGGCCTGAAATCTTTCTTGTCCTCTTCGCTGGGGAGGGGAGTCTCCAATGCCGATCGTGTCTCAAGCTCGGCGAGGTCGGGGATGTTGCTTTTGGGGGCAGCGGCAGCGGCACCGGCGCCGGTAGCCTGTGTCGAGGCGCATCTTCTGGCGACGAACTGAGTAGAGAAAGGCTGAAGGGCGCGAGCCGATCTCGAGACCCCGCGGAGACTGGCCATGGTGAATTAAGATACCGAAAAAAAGAAACCGGCGTTCGGGCGGACGCTCTGGTTTCGGAATTGGCGACGGGGGGTTGTCGCTTCGGAGTGGTGGTTGAGGAAGAGGGTCCGGCGCACGCGGGAAATCGGGGCCGAAGGTCTGTCACGGACTGCGGGCAGAGGGCAGCGAGGTTCCTTCTCCGGCAAGCGCAAGGTCCTGGTCCCGCGTCGAGGCTCGAAGAGGTGCCGGTCCCCGTTGTGCCGCCTCGCCGGAATTTTTTTGGAGCCTCTGCGGAGTCTCGAACCGGGGCCAATGCTTGGCAGCACGGGCCATGGCGGATTTAGCTAGGGTTAGGGTCATAGGTGTGTTACCCCTGAATGGTTCCTGAACTCCCCCTGAATGCATCTGATGTGGTTGACAAACTGTGAACACTCGGGCATCTATCGGCGTGATATCGAAGCAAGAACATGGTATCAAGATTCATCGAATTAGAACAACATGTATGATTAGATTAGGAGATGATTGTGTATGCGTACGCTGCCTTTGCTCTAATTATCCTCCAAGCCACCAACTATTACACCCTTCCGCACACACCTTATCCACATGTCTAGCAACAACAACGGTTGTATGTAACGGGGAAAAAAGAGAAGACGAAAAGAACATCTAAAAATCATCATCACCGTCCAGGACCACGTCTCCATCTCCTCTCAGCCCTCTTCCACCCAGAGCCACTTCTTTTCACTTGTCCCACAACTCCCTCGCCATCCCAGCTCAACTCATATTCAGATTCCTCATTTTCCCTTAACTTGGGCAACTTCACCTTCACCATTCCCTCATCCCTCCTCCCTGTACTTCTCCTACTAGTCCCTGCCGGCTGAATGCTGTATAACAGCAACCTCGACCCAGCACCGCAGAACTCCGTCTTATCACCTACGCAGAACGACCTTTTGCACTCATACAGCTCCGACGCCGCAACCGCCGTATCCGCCAGCGAATTGCCGCAATAGCACTCCTTGCCGAATTCCACACCAAAGAGGCTAAAACCTCTCGTCTGACACCGGTCCTGGCACATCTCGACCGTCATGCTCGTGCCGTTGGTGTACGTGTGACCCTTGAGGATACGAGCCGTCGAGTTATCAACGAAGCAGCCCTGTGGCGTCGCCGTGCGCCCGTTGACGACGGACGGGTTGACGAGACGGGGCGTGACGTAATTGGTTTGTCTATAGACGTCCAGACGAGCACGGCCACCGCAGCGTGTGGATGGGTCGCCGGCGCAGGTGAGGTTGCAGCCGGTTTGGCCAAGGCTGTAGCCGGGCTTGATCTCGAGACCGCAGAAGCATTGGGTTTGGAACTCAAGGCCGGCGAGAGGGTAGTTTTGCTGGGCGCAGAAGTCAAGGCATTTTTGGACGGTCATGGTCATGCCGGTGTTGTCGTACAGGTAGGTGCCGTTTAGCGCGCGAGCGGTAGGCGCGGCGGTGTTGGAGTCGCTGGCACATCCTTGGTAGTCCCAGTTCACAACAGTAGGAATTGTAGGCGAGGCTTGGGCGGTGTTCGTGGTGGAAGTGGTGGCGGCAGTGGTGGTGGTGGTAGTAGCTGGAGTAGGAGCTGTAGTAGTGATGGCCGCGGCGGTTGTAGTAGTTCTACTAGTTGTACTCGTTATACTAATTGTACTCGTTGTACTAGTTGTACTCGTTGTACTAGTTGTACTCGTTGTACTAGTTGTACTAGTTGTAGGCAAGGCTGGGATAGTATTCGTATTAGAAGAAGTAGCGGTAGTGGTAGTAGTGGCTGGAGCAGGAGATGTAGTAGTGATGGCCGCGGCGGCTGTGGTAGTCGTGCCAGTTGTAGGCAAGGCTGAGACGGTGTTCGTAGTGGTAGTAGTTGTGCCAGCGACAGGAGGAGCTGAGGTGACGGTAAGTGTAGTGGAGGTAGTGGTGGCTGGAGCAGGAGCTGTAGTAGTGACGGCCGCGGCGGCTGTAGTAGTTGTGCCAGCGACAGGAGGAGCTGAGGTGACGGTAGGTGCAGTGGTGGTGGTGCTAACAACCGTAGGAGGAGCTGAGGTGACGGCAGGTGCAGTAGTAGTGGTGCTGACAACCGCAGGAGCAGTAGTGGACGAGCTGGATCCTAGAGCAACGCTAGGAGCAACACTCGTAGTGGGAGCAACACTCGCGGAATTCGTAGGAGCAACGCTGGCACTATTCGTGGGAGGGACACTTAAAGAGTTCGTGGGAGCAACGGTAGCACTATTCGAGGGAGGGATACTTAAAGAGTTCGTAGGAGCAATAGTGGCACTGTTCGTAGGAGCGACACTTGCAGAATTCGTGGGAGCGACACTCGCAGAGTTCGTAGGAGCGATACTCAAGGAGTTCGTAGGAGCGATACTCAAGGAGTTCGTAGGAGCAACGCTGGCACTATTCGAGGGAGCGATACTCGCAGAGTTTGTGGGAGCGATACTGGTGTTGGAAACAGGAGCAACACTCGCGCTTGGAGCAACACTTCCAGTAGGAGCAACGCTTTCCGAGGCGGCGGCACTGCCCGACGGAGCAATACTAGTACTGGGAGCAACACTAGCACTAGGAGCAACACTAGCACTAGAAGCAACGCTGGCACTGGGAGCAATGCTGGCAGAGGGAGCAATGCTGGCACTGGCAGAGGGAGCAACGCTGGCACTGGAAGCAATGCTGGCCGAGGGAGCAACACTGCCCGAGGGAGCAATACTACCCGAGGGAACAACGCTGCCCGAAGGAACAACGCTGCCCGAGGGAACAACACTGCCCGAGGGAGCAATACTACCCGAAGGAACAACGCTGCCCGAGGGAATAATGCTACCCGAAGGAATAACACTGCCCGAGGGAGCATCACTGGCAGAAGCAATACCGGAAGCCGCAGTAGAGGCCGCTATCGAAGCCACGCCGGAAGCAGCACCCGAGCCGGAACCAGAAGCGACAGCTGAGGCTGCGGCAGTACCGGAGGCGGCCGCCGATGTGGCAGAAGTAGCAGCCGATCCTATAGCACTGGCAGCAGTTGAACCAGCAGCAGTCGAACCAGCGGCAATCGAACCGGTGGCAGTCGAGCCGGTAGCAGAACCGGCAGCAGAGTCGGTGGCAGAACCGGTGGCAGAACCGGCAGCAGAGTCGGTGGCAGAACCGGTGGCAGAACCGGTGGCAGAACCGGTGGCAGTCGAACCAGTCACAACCAACCCAGAAGGATTAGCACCAGCAGTCGAGCCCGTCGCACCTGCCGCACTCGTTGTCGCAGCAGCAGCACTTGTTGTGGTCGAACTAGAAGCCACAGCAATAATCTGAGCTCCCCAAACCGCCTGGTTATTAAAACCACGTCCGACCGACTTCTTCATGTAGCACGGAGCCTGAATACCAGTACCACCGGGCACGTACGCGAAAGCCATGCACAAATCAGTGGTGGAGCACTTCTCGGCACACAAAGCGTAGCTGTCGACGAAAGCGAGAGCGAGGTCGCCGGCTTCGTGGTCGGTGAAACACTCGAGGAGGAAGGTCTTGCCGTTGAGGGAGAGGTAGGTGCCATTGTTGTTGTCGGGGCATTTGACGGAGACAGTGGGCTGGGTTGGGGCGGCGGAGGATGTGGTGGTTGCTGAAGCGGTGTTAGAACCGGAAGCGGAGCCGGAAGCAGTACCGGAGGCGGTGCCAGAGGCGGTCCCAGATGCCGTCCCAGATGCCGTCCCAGATGCCGTCCCAGATGCCGTGGCTGATTGAGTAGCAGAACCGGAAGCGGTGACTGAGCTAGAGGTGCCGTTGGGGTTGAGCTGGTACATGGAGAGACCATTGCTACCACCGCAGATTTGTTGTTGGTTGCCATTGCAAAGCATGTTGCAGCGGCCGTCGGTGACCAGGGCAGCCCCGTTGAGAAGATCGTTGCCGCAGAAGCATTCAGCCGAGTACTCGGTACCGAAGTACTTATATCCGGCGCAGTAGGTAGCGCAGTCATCGAGATTCATGACATTAGACTGGGTGTTCTTGCCCTGGAGAGAACGGGAGGCAACAGCATCGCTGTAGCAACCCAAGAACCCGTATTGGCCGATAGACTGTGGGTTTCCGGGAGTGTTGGAAGCGACTGCAGATGAGGATGTGGAAGAAGCAGAAGCAGTGGCGGAAGCGGTTCCGGATGCTGTCGCGGATGAAGATGACACGCCTGATGATGGGTTACCAATGACGGTGCCCTTCTGCTTGTAAACCGAGATGCGGCCTGAACCACCGCATAGCTCAGTCGGATCGCCGCCGCAGACGTAGTTGCAGATTTTCTCATCAGCAACGGTGCTACCGGTGTTGAGCTTATTACCGCAGTAGCATTCAACACCCCACTCAACACCGAAGAAGGAGAAGCCAGCACAAGCTGCGGCGCAGCTCTCAACGGTGTTGGTGCTGGACTGTCCGACAATCCGGTCATTGAGAGCTCTGGTCGCAGGGGAAGCCGAATTGTCAGTACGGCAACCAGCATACTCCCAGTTACCCACAACTTCTTCCTTGTTCGTAGGAGGCCTGAAAGCGGGAGCGAGAGTACCGTTCTCAGGAAAGTAGCCGGTGGTGTCATACCACATCGTCATGTAGCTGCCCACACCACCGCAGAACTGCGACTTGTCACCGGGGCAGATGTAGGTGTTGCAGAGGTAGTCGTCAACCTTTAGGCTCGCAGGGGGGATGCTGCGGCCGACCCAGCATTCATAGGTGTACTGGGTACCGGCAAAGGCAGCCTTGTTAGTGATAGCGTACTGCTGGCACTTTCCATTGTCGTTATCCGCAGGGAACTGCGCCTGGGTGGTTTCAAGCCGGTTGGCGTTACTGTCCTTGTAGCAGCCGAGATACTTGAAGCGGGCTGATCCATCCGGCAGCGTTGGACCTACTTTGGTAGCCCGTAGGGTACCAATGAAGTTGACGACATGCACGCCGAAGGCAAGATCGTTAACGTTCAGTGTCCAGGCGCCAGAGTAAACAATGGGATCCGCATTGAGAGGGGCAGCGCCAGGGGTGAAGAAGATAGTGGCACTCTCGGATTTTCCAGGCTTGATAACCATGCCCTCAAAGAGATCGCTGCTTGGGTTTTGGGCACCCAGAACAGAGCCCATAGGGGGCTTGGACTTGTCAATCATCAGATCAGAACCGCCCTTGTTCGTGAACCGAATGGTCACTTCAGTGTTGGTAAGACCAGGCGAAGTGCCCATGTCGATGTTGAAGGTGCAAGTTTGAGTAGGATCATTGCAGAAAGGGATCGTTACCCAGCCGCCTTCGCTGGTGGAATGCTCCAGGAGAGCAATGGGCTGCGAGTTGGCGGATCCGGTCAAGACAGAGTAGGCCATGCCACCGTCAGTGAAGACAGTGAAGGTGGTAGAGAAGGAACCAAGCTTGGGAGCAAGGAACGTCATGTGAATGATCACAGATGATCCAGCGGCGACAGTAGAGTCGAGCTCAGGCAGGTCCTCAGCAGTGAAGTAACCGTCGGCATCAAGCTTCGTGTGAGTGCCATCGATGGTGACATTCGTGAACTTTGCAGTTGCCGAGTTAGGGCCATCGGTGGTGAAAGCGTACCCAAGAATTTTCATGGGTCCTTTGCCTAAGTTCTGAATGACCACAGTGTTTTGCGATCCTCCTTCCGCAGAGGCAGAGCCAATGACAAGTGGTTGGAAATCGACTGCATTGGGGTTGATCGCCGCAAAGGGTCCGTCTGTCACTGTGTTGCCGGTCACAGAAAGGGGCTGTGCAGTCGAATAACCCGTAACAGCATTGACTGTGTTGAGGGTGACAGAGCCGGATTGCACACCAGGTTGCATGGTCGGGGAGCTTGTGCTGCCAGAGTCCAACGTGTACCCGCTCAAATCAAACTTGATGGAGAGCGTAAAAGATTTGCCAGCAGTAACCCCGGTTTGGGCGAGATCGACTAAGGATACCTTGTATAGGGGGTTGCCAGTTGTGATGTTGGTGATCTGGTTGACATTGATCTTGGCGGTGCAAGTGACGTTGATCGTCTTGGATGTTCCGATGGGGACCTCTCCGAAGTTGAAGGGACCACCGCAGTCAAAAGGCAACTTGACAGGGGACCCGAAAGCCAGAATCTGTCCGGTGTATGTGCTGGTGTAGTACCGTCCATCGCCAAAGACTGGACGCTGGAACTTGGACAAGACTGGAGTAGCGGGAAGAGGAATTTTTACGAGCTGCCCATTCCGTGGCACCGCATGGTAAGCGCGGATGCCGTTGTCAGGATCACTCATCCAGAGAATGCCTGTTCCCGGTTGGCCGTTGAGAGTGGTGATGGTTGCGGATCCAGTACCGACTCTGCCAGCCGACTTGTCAGGAGTCGAACCGGCCACACTGAAGGCCGGCTTTCCACTTGAGTCGTAACCAAGAGCGTAGGCATAAGTCGGGGCACCGACAGGAGTGATGTACATGTAGCCACCCTCAAGCGGATATGCGCCAACGTTTCCAAACATGGCTGTACCCTGGGGAGGAGTGATAGTCTGGATGATGGCATCACCACCACCGGCACCCATCTTGTAGCCTCCCAGGTTATCAGCATTGCAGATGTAGGCTTGGCCGTTCTTGCCTGCTGTTACCGCAAGCTGCTTGACACCGCCGCCTCCGAATGGCAGGATGGAAACACCACCGCCGCCCAAGTCACGATCCGCAGAGTCGATAGCTTGGTAAGTGTATGGCTCGAAGTAGTCTTGTTGCGTGACCTTTCCAGTGGCTGGATCGATGGCCATATTCACAATGGCTTCGGAGAGGGTGTCGAGGTGGATTCTACCGCTGGCGGCTAACTGTTGATTCGCCATGACTCCGTAGCCGTTTCCAGTAGCGAAGAAGAGCCGACTCGGGTTGTCTGAGGCCAGAATGGCACCGCTCTGCCAGATACCGCAGCCACCACCGCCTCCATCCCAGGTGCCATCTTGCTTGGGGGCACGATCTCCACCAGCGGTGGCATAAGCGGTGACGAACTCACCACTAAAAGCTCTCATGCCAACTACCCAGCCGGTGTAGTTGAACAAATCGCAGTGGCCACCAAAACCAGCATAAACCACACCGTTGATGAGGTTTAGGGAGGTGCGCTGAAGAACACCACCACCGGTGAAGTAGCGGGTCTTGTCGTTATCGGCATACTTGCCTTCAATATTGGTTGGGAAACCAGGCCTCTCTTGCAAGGTCCATGCATCAATGGCATGGAAACGGTAGGCGCCGTTCTTCCAGCCTTTCGTGGTTGCATCCCTGTAGCCCTTGGCCCAAAAGTAGATGGTTTCTGTGTTGGGGTCAATGATGGGCGTGCCAGTAATACCGATTGTTCCGCTAATGTCGTTGCAGTTGCCCAAGTCGGAGACGATAAACGGGGCTTCGGCGGGATCCTGCTCGCTTAGATCACGGCTGTTGTAGAGAGTGCCGTTCACCGCATCGAGAACGTAGATGCGGTTTTGCTCTGAGAAGGCAATGACGGTTTGCTTTCCCGTGGCCTTTGGTGTGTATACTAAGAGTTTAGAGTAGAACTGCTCAATCTGGTTGAGAGGATTCTTTGGTGTTGTGAAGGACCAAATCTGGCCAAATGCGCCTCCCTCAATGGTTGCCGGATCCATGTTGTGGTTTGGGAGATAGCCAACAGCAGCCGAGTCTTGTAGGTTGATCCGTTAGCATTTCTCGTTTGTTGAGGGGGCATAGTAATTGACGTACCGGCATCCATAATGGTATCTGTCGGATCCATTGCCCATGTTGCCGTGCAGAGCGCAAGGCTCACAAACGAGCGTAAGAGACCTAGGGGCCTCATTTTGGCGAAGGGATATTACAATAAGTGTGTCGATCAAGTCATGGAAATATGAGTAAAGACTGTAGGTTCGGGTATATCCACAAGGCTATCCCGATTTTAGGGAAAATATAATAAGTAAACGATTGACTACCACATTGGGGGAATGACGAAGTGATGCCGAGGTGTCCAAGTCAACCGGAATCGGCTCTTGCGAGACAAGAACACGAAGTCGTCGAGATGACGGTGCGGATCGGGGTGTTGACAAAGAAGTGGAAGGATGAGTGAGATCTCGGGTCGGGAGGGGATGGGAGAGACAATCTCATATAGCCGTGTCTCTGTTTTAGATGGAGAAGCCGCCCAGAGATGTCTGTGATCTGGGACCGGAGGGGGCTCCGGAAGGGGCTTACGGCGATTGCATTCCAACGCCCGGGTGATGGTCAGCCCGACCGAAGAGTTATGGCCATCTCGGCCTTTCCATTGCAGCTGGCCAATACATCATGTGAACAACCCTCTTCGGGCTGTCTTTAGCATATCCGAGCCTGTCTTCAGCCCGAAACGGGACTTGCTGGACTTGCTGGAATGGCACTCTCGCCTCGTGCGCTTGAGACCCTTTCTGTGTGTCATCTGTCTCTCAGCCAGCCAAAGGAAGGGGGTGGCGGGCGTGGCTTGAAGTCTTGAGGGACCAGAACTTGCACCGTCATTACCACAAGTTGAGGTGTGCCTGCGGTGTGCTTGAAGGGTTCTCCGGGGTGATCTCCGGGGTGACAGCCACCTCAACAGTGACACATCAACATGTCAATGTCAATCAGCAAACGCTCATGACAGTGGCCAACTCGGTGTTTGCTCGTCCCCCAAACTATCGGCGGGAAGGCAAATTGGGTTCTTGATATGGCATCCTCCTTTAGAGAGAGGCTCAGCTGAAGGGCATTTCGACAACTTCTGGATCTTGATCTTTCCATGGGTTCAACTCAACGGGATGTGATACCTCGGTCGAAAACAAACCATGATAGGGCGGAGTATTCCGTGTGTGCGAAAGAGCCGAGCGCTTGCTTATCATGATGATGGTGTATCGCTTGGTATCGCTTCGTTGTGTGGTTGACCTGTTTACGTGACGAGTCTCTTCGAACGCCCGGATGTTGACTGGTCTTGGAGTGGTCTGGCAGTAGCCTGTCTGAAGCGTGGCTGAATGGAACGAACAGAATTTTCACTACTGCCGGGCTCAGCTTGTCAATGGAAGTGACAACCGTGAAGATGGAAGGAACCTCAACAAGGGAGGAGCAGCTCAGAGCACTGAGAGTGACAGCAGAAAGCGAGACGTGACTGCCAAGACTAGCGAGGTTGAATGTGGAGGCGAGACCCACAATGCACCCCGGTTCAGGCTAGCCTGGTCTGGGATTGCCTGCCCTGTCAAAACCCCGGTTTACTGTGTAGAGCAGGGGCAGGCATTGGTACTTGTGAAAAGTACCGGTACTTTGTATCTCGTCGCAGCGCCCAGACGTCTTCCCCATTTCTTTCCTCGACCCTTGTCTTGTATCGCGACTTTCTCGCTTTCCACAACAAAGTCAACCACCGACTCACCACTAACCACCCACCATTTCCACCCAACGGCAAGCAACTTACCTGGTAACGAAGTCGGGCAGTGTTATCCGCCTATTTTTGTTCCTCTCAGCCTCAACGTACCAGTCACACAAACATCACTGGACCGTTTGTCGGGTTGTGGCGCGTGGCGTCTCTGCTTCATTTTACTTTGCACCATTTTCCACCTCTTCAATTCTCTTTCTGCCTCTCTTCCAATGCCCAGACCATGCCCAGCCCGTATCCCCGACCGCCGACCACCGGCACTGCGAGAAGCCGTCACAGAAAACAAGAACCAGAAAAAAAGCGGCAACAAAGACAGCGAGCGGGGTTACCTTTCGCATCCGCGTTCGCTTAACGACTCCCAGTTCAGCCAGTCTGGCCAAAGTATTTTTTCCTCACATTGTGCAAGTCATCGTGAAGTCTGCGGGCGTGCGGCGTGAGGCGCTGTCGTCCACTGAGCAGAGGAAGAGAAGTGTTCGTTCCTGCATTAGCCCCCTACTGTTGACACCCATCTGCTCTGCTGCATTATTACAGCCATTCGCGACTCTTCTGCCTCTCCCCCCTTTTCAACCCGTCCTCGAGCCGCTTTCTTTCCTTTTCTGTACTGTCGCTCATTTCCGTGTGTTTTGAGGCTGAAGACTTTACACGATCCTTAGTTGTCTCTGATAATGCTCAGGAGTTACCAAGTGGCTATGACTGGATTGTCAGTGCAATATCCTAACCGCTGTGATGATGATTTTCAGAGCGGTAATGGGGAGATTGGTCATATCTCCTCATTCTTCACTTGCATGTTATTCAGACTGCTTTGCCGCGAGGAAAACACGCAGAAAATGCCCTTCTGGCGATCCTATTCTGGGCACAATCGTCAAGTTTGTCGATTATCCGGGGAAATGATATGGCAGCATTGTTCCCCAACTAGACCAACATACCTGAAGATCGGTTCGCCAAATGCCGCGGGCTCGCGTAGGGTGCCTGGGTGCTGATGAAAGAACTGTTGGATGAGCTCGTAACGGTGTGCAAGGGGCCCCGATCGATGATATGCTGCACCTGCACGTCTTGGGTAATTGCAATGACGATCCGGATTCTTCCGAGGAGATATCAACTTCACATTTTGACTCTTGTCTACGGTAAAAGACGTCATGGCAGATCAGACGCAACAGAAAACTTTTGGGAGGAATGATGTAAACGTTATTGGCAACAATATGGTCGTTTATGTTCAAAGTCAAGTGACTTCAGGAGACTGGCACCTTGGTGACATTACATGGCCATTGCCGAATATCCTGGACACAACTGAGAATTATGAGATGAATAGTGCGAGAGGCATGAAGAAAAAATGGCTTTGAAAGGGAGTTTGGTGGTCATTTTCCAGAGTCAAGCGACTTCAAAGCCAGCAGCCCCTTGGTGTCATGCTATCTTGACACTCACGGACAGCACCTCAAAGTCAAAACCATTCACCTTAAACACCGTTATAATCAGTCTACTGACAACTCCCAAATAGGCATTCAAGCGCGGCGATCAATGACAATGACAAGGACATCACAAGAAAAATCAACCTTGACGACAACAGTTTATGGGCCCAAACGACGGTATGTATTAGAACTAACTATTAAAGCACAAAACCCAAACCCAAAAGTGTCAACTGTTCGCACAGCTAACCGAGCATTAATGATTGTAAGAAACGGGAAGAGCCAAAGAATCCAAGCGAGCATCACTCATTCGTTTACCCATCCGATCTTTCCAACCGTCTAATCATCCCTCTCATCCCACGAAACCGAATCGAGACAGAAGTGGTCGTGGTCGTGGTCTTGATGACCGCGCGTCCCACTTACTTGGCAGTATAGAAGCCAGGAGCGTAGTAGCCATAGCTGCTGCCGACAGTCCACACGTTGCCAGAGTTGTCCCTTTGGCCCTTGTTCTTGGCGAAGCTGGCACCATAGGGGATACCATAGTACGCGCAAGTGAAGACGCCGTCCTTGCCGTTCTTGTAAAAGATGTAGGCGTTGAAGAAGACGCAGGCCTGGCCCTTGTTGATGTTGTGCAGTTTGTTGTACTCGGTCTGGGCGTTGCAGCTGGCGGCGCAGAGTTCCGGGGAAAAGGGGACGTTGGTGCCAAAGGTCTGCGAGCGGAGGTAGCCGTGGTCGATGACGGGCGCGGGTGCGTTGATGGAGGCGTCGCCATTGTTGCCGAAGGTGATGGGGCCCTGGAAACCGTCGACCGAGGGGCCGGCGGACTTGGTGAAGGCCGTGGAGCCGGCGTGGACAACCTTGAAGGCCTTGCCCTGGAACTGGTAGACCTCCGTGGCCGTGCTGGCGACGAGCGGCATGCCGTAGAAGGCGCACTTGATCAGAGTGGCCGAGGTGGCGTCGGCATTGCCAGGGCAGCCGAGCGCGGCGTCGGGCACCTGTGTCGCCTTGCTGATCTCGAGCGGCACGCGCTCGTAGTAGATGTTGAACGAGGTGCAGCCGGCCATGGTGTCGCAGATGGCGGCGCACTTCTTGGGGTCGTAGAAGCTCAGCTTGGAGCTGGTGTAGGTGATGTACGACTTGTCCTTGGCCACGGCTTTGAGGTTGACGAAGTTAGGCACGACCGCGTAGCCGGAAGGGACGTTAGCCGCCTTGGTAGCGTCGGTGGCAGCGGTGGCGAAGTCCGCATAGCTCGTGAAGGCCTCGGGGGTGTCGGGGGAAGACACATGCGGGCCGTTGGAGGTGCGGACAATGCACGAGGTGGCCGGGGCGTCGGTGCGCTTCAAGAGGTTTGTGACGGTGATGACCTCGGGAGGAGCGTCGGTGGAAGCTTGAGCCTCAGCGGGGGGAGTGTCGACGACCGTGGCCACGACGGTCTCGGCCACGGCATCGGGGTCGAAGGTCGAGACGGTCTGGGGAACGGCGTCGCCAACGGGGGGAGCGTCGGTGGAGTCGGCCCCGGCGGCCACGGACTCGTCATAGCTCTCGAAGGGCAATTCCTGGCGCTTCTGGTGGAGCGGCGAGGCTGAGACGAGGCCCAGGAGGAGGGAGGAGAGGATGATGTTCTTGCGAACCATTTTGAAAAACAGCCAAGTGAGGTGTCGGGAGGAGAAACCTAAAGATGTGCTCAAGAAGGATAGATGCCTATGTGGATTGTGATGAGGCTGCTTGAAGGCTTGACTGGATTGCTTTTCAACTTTCGAGAGGGAAGGTTGGGAAAGATGGAAGATCTTATACTTCGAGGAGGACTATAGCAAAGAAGGGGAATACGAGACCAAGGTCCAACACAACACAAAGATCGATCACGATGACTGCATTCAGAGAGAGAGCCGCCCGCCAGCCCATCCAAACGCCATCAGACGCGGTTGAGTGAGTGAGACCGAATAGTGTAAGTGAGCCCAGCCCGGCGAATCGAATACGGAGTCTCGACCGAGCCGACCAATTCGGAGCCTTGAGTGGCTTACGGCCATCCATCGGCTCGGTTCGGCAGTGTCTCCCAAGGGAAAAGGGAAAGGAAAGAGACTGACTGAGAGAAGGCGGCCGTCGTCTAGTCCGGAAAAGGCTTCGCGCTGGTTGCATCGTTGGCGCGCCGACCTGCTTTGTGGAAATGACCAGCCACATAGCACCACCTCACAATTCCAATGCAGGATTTTGATATTGCCAGAAAGACCACATTATGGCTATAGTCCCACAAAATGTGGGAGAAACAACATGAATGGGGATAGCTGCCCGTGAAGGAGGCGCCCACGGAAAGAGCTAGAGGCACTTGGAGACTAGGCGACGGAAGATGCCCAAAGCGGATTTTTGCAGCCTCTTTGCAGCTGTCGTAGTTGTCGTTGGCGGCTTCACAGTTCACACAGTAGATGTCGGGGTAGCCGGCAATAAACGTGGTGTTGGGCTTGAGCTGTCAGACTTCATCGATGAGGCTTTGGGCGGTGGTGATGGCGTGGTGTTCGGTTGGGCGTTTATGCCTTGCGCTGGACACCGGACACTATTCTCTCCCTTACCTCCTTGGGCATGCATGATGGTGAGATGATGGAAATGGTAATGGTAAGTTTTCCATGAGTTGTCAACAATGCTATGTGTCTGTCAGCCAGCTAAAGACCCAGCCAGCAGCCAGCTCTGAAGTGTCATGTCATCTGTCATCGGTGATGATTTCCCGGAGCCAGGCGCCAGAGGACTCCCAATGGAAATGGAAGTGTTCTTTCTCGCGTGGTAGCTAGCCCTTCAGCCCTCGCTTGCTGCTATTTTGGACACACTCAGCATGTTCCACTCATGCGGGTCTCCGATATCTGATCTTTCGCTTCCCCGGAGTCCAGCTTGGGTCCGGGGGATGGAAGTAGAATAATAGAGGTGAGAGGGACTGGAGCTTCAAAGACATATTCTCATCGAGGTGTAAAACGGATAGACTTCCGAGACGGGACGGAACTGGACCACTCACACACACATCCCACCTCAATGGAATGTTGAATGCGGCTAATGGGTTTCCTTGAGAAACCGGAGGGTCCAATTGCCGCAGAAAAGACACAGACATTGTAGAGGTAGCTACATGCTTCGCTTAGGGCCCGGGCTTCGGGTTGACGTTCGCACTGTAATCGAGTGTCTGCACTGTAGTTGAATTATAGCCAGGCCGTGGTGATATTGCCATTCGCGGTCCAGTCCTACTAGGCCTAGGCGAATGTGCACTGTAGAAGGGAGAAAAGAGGCTCGTATGGGATCCAATCCCAGTTGGAGATCCGGATGTGCGATATGTCGATATCAAGCCACTGCAATGTGTGAATGAGATGTGAAGGAAGATTACATAAAATAATGTTTATGGATTATTACTGTTGGTGGTTTTCAGAATAATGAATGGTCTGGAAACTGGAAACTGGAAAGAGCCAGCCGCCCGCTCATTGATACAATGGCGGTAGCAATGGAAGGTATAATTGGCAGACCGCCTTCCAATTTGCTCTCCATGCCTAGAGGTACACATGGAAGGCGTCAATGTCGGTCCTGTCATCAAAGTTTTCAGTTAAGGGGTATGATGTGTTCTTGGTTGTTGAATCTTTGAGTGATGGAAAGAAGGTGGTGACTGGTGAGTGGTCAAGTAGCTTGTACCTGCATAACCTCAATCGATCACTACCACCCACCATTAGCAGAAAAAACGATCAAACTCACCGTTCGCATAAACCGCATTGCGCATTGGAAACAAGGAAAAGAAAATAAGGCCATTCCCCACCTTTCCCCAACTGTGGCTTGCAGAGAGAGTGAGTGTATCGGTACGAATCGTCGTTGTGTCCTGGTCGTAAATGTACCTTGACGTGTGGTTGATGGTTCAGCTGTTGTCGTCGACGCCACAAAACTTTTGTTTGTTCTCGCAACCACCACCCAATTTTCTTGGCAACCGCCTACATAGTACGACATTCTGGACCATTTACACCGTGGACATGGACTACGGAAGAGAGCAGAAAAATGGACCGAGGAAAGTTGCCAACTGCGGTATTGCTTGCTAATTTGTGTCCGAGTGGTATCCCGTATCGCATCTCCCGCTCGTACGGTCAATCGCTTTAACCAACGGAATCCCGACTCCATGGATTGATCATCAACCACGGACGGGCCTTGTCTAGGCCGACTTGGCCGATACACATTCTCTCAAGACGGGCGGCCTGGCTGAGCCTTCGAAACAGGCAATGTTTGGCTCGAACCCGACCCTGGACAGCAGCGCGGGGCATTTTTGTTCGGGAAGAGCATGGCAACTTTGACAGCCCAGACCCGGGACACTGGGGCATTGGGGCTTGCTCAGCTTGTCAAACCAACGCCTTTTCTTCGGGTCAACTTCTCTGGTTGTCCAAAGAGAGGCCATGTTGTGCCTATCCTATCAGCCCGTTATCAGTGTTATCGCCATGGCTGTTTCGTGGTAGAGAAGAGAAGCAACAACAGTCAACACATCCCGCGTCGTCATCTTCACCGAAAATTCTTCATAGAACATAGAGAGAGAGAACTTTGTCCTACGACGGTTACAAGTAAAAGTTGATCGTTGTCCCCCTTCCCTTCCTCCCTCGGACTTGAGGCTCCATCCTGCCAACCTCAGTCACAGTGTTCTTTTGACTATTTTTCTTCACTCTTGTTCATTTTGAGGGCTATCGATAGAAACTCGCTCGCCTTGACGAGTCGAACCATAACGCCATTCAAAATGTCCAACGACCTCACCGCCAAGATAATATCCTCCTACGGCAACCGGGACCGACATAGCTCCGGCGGAGGACATGGAGGACTAGATGTCAACAGTGCCGCCGCTGGGTGGGATTCAAGTCGACCCGGATCGATATATACTTCCTCGAGACAGTCAGCAGCAACACTTCCGAGGGCGGCAAAGAGGAAGTTCAAGAGCTACCGGCTCCGAGGAGAGTATGAGAAACCATGGCTTGCTGACCCGGCTATGAAGAAGACCAGGTGGAACAACTGGATCGTGATCGCCTGGTGTCTGGTCGGGTTGGCGGGTGCCGGTCTCATCTGCTTCATGGGCATCAGGCAATACCAGACTGGACCGTTTTGTCTGGTGTTTGAGGATGACTTTAAGACGCTGGATACGAGTGTGTGGACGCACATGGTGACGGTATGTTTAAGGCCCTGTTGTTCACTTTCCAACAACACCATCCTAACTTGGTTGCCATAGCTCGATGGCTTCGGAACAGGGTCCTTCGACTGGACCACCACCGATCCCAAGAACTCGTACATCGATGGCGAAGGACTGCACATTGTCCCAACTCTCACCAACGAGACGACGGACATCAGCAACGACCAGCTCTTTGCCAACTACACGCTCGATCTGAGGAAAGACAAGTCTTGCACGGGCACAAACAATGCCTCCTGCATTGCTAATTCCGACCCAAAGACGGGTGCCATGATCCCACCCGTCCGCTCCGCTCGCCTGGTCACCAAGGACACTAAGACACTCCGGTACGGTCGTGTCGAGGTAGTTGCAAAGCTTCCCAAGGGAGACTGGCTGTGGCCCGCCATCTGTAAGCTTCCATTTCTCCCTTTCCTCCCCCGTCTTTCCATCATCACCATACTAACAAATCACAACATTCAGGGATGATGCCCCAAGACTCCACCTACGGCGTCTGGCCCCGCTCCGGCGAGATCGACATCATGGAAGCGCGCGGCAACGGGTACGACTACCCAGCCGGCGGTCGGGACCTATACTACGGCTCCCTGCACTGGGGTCCTTCGACTTTGACAGACGCCTACTGGCGTACCACCGCGGCCAAGCGTCTCAAGCGCGGCGATTTCTCCGAAAGCTTCCACACGTTCGGCCTCGAGTGGGACGAGAAGTACATATACTTTTACCTGAACAACCGGCTCACCCAGATCATGCACGTCGGGTTTGATGCGAAAGAGGACCTCTGGAAGAAGGGCGAGTTCTCGACGATGAAGGAGAATGATACCCTCTTTGAGAATCCGTGGGCGGGAAGTGATTCCACGACGGGCAATGCGCCGTTTGATCAGCCGTTTTATTTGATTTTGAATGTGGCGGTGGGGAGTAAGATTGGGTGGTTTCCGTAAGTTTACTCTCCGATTTGCTGTGAAAGAGGTGATAACTAACGTGGTGACGATGACAGTGACAACAAGGGAAACAAACCCTGGCTTGACTCGGCCACCAACGCGCAGTGGACCTTCTGGTCGGCAGCTGATCAGTGGTTGCCTACTTGGGGAGAGGGTGATCAGCGCGGTATGACGGTGAAGTCGGTTAAAATGTGGAAGAAGGGTGCTTGCTAGACATGACATGGACGTACTTTTTCCTATTCCTTCCTAGACTGTTTTGTACAACTCTAATGCCTGGGTTAATTTGTGATGTGTGATGGGGCGGCGATAGAATCAAGGTTGGATGGATGGAGTATCTGGTTAGGTAGTCTATGCGGGTTCTGAACATTTTGGAAGCATTGAAAGAATTACGTCAAGCAACATGACACAGACTATGAGGGGCAACAGAGTGTGTATAGATAGTACTTCAATTACCACTGGAAATGCTATGGATGCCCTATATAAATTACCTCTCGAGTACCGTTTACCGTCGGGGCTGGGAGGGGTCTAGCAGTAACGTCCACCTCAGGAGGTTGCTTGGTATAGCGGTCAGTCCATGGCCAGCAATCAGAGAGAGTGTGGTTTCGATCCCATGACGGTCTGCAACTTGTGTGCTTAACCCGGCTTTTTTTTGTTATTTTTTGCCCTTTTTGCCTTTTTGCCGGCCGCGACTGGGAGTTCAACTCATCCCAACCAAGTGGAGGCGCCTGGCAACAAACCTAGGCAGGAGCGCGACCTGAATGAACCAAAATGGCTTGCTCGATGGACTGAACTATTGTTGTTTTTGTGACACTATTTTCACGACTACGGCGACATGATGCGCCCGACCACGTACGACAACGACTCTTTCTTTCTTTTCTTTTCGGACACTGGTTCGAGGTGCATTTCCAAGGTTCTCGTTGAGTTTGATATAAACACCAATGAACTCGGTCAATTCGAGTGTCCCTCCTCCTGTCTTATCATCCCGTCCTTTCATGTTCTTCAGGTTACACCTGAGCAAAACAACCCCCTTTTCAGTCAACCACATGGATCGCAGAGGAGCTATTCAAGATCGTTACTCGTCATCACTTGGAATCTTGTTTGTCAATTACAGATGCCTCAGGCAGTTAACGTCGACGGTGAGTGCTGCTTTCAGCAACCGGAATGTCCTCAGACCGACACGCTCATTGACCAAAACTCACACGGCGTCAATCTTTCATCACACCCACAACGGACGAACAACATAGAATATTTGCAGCCAATGAGAAGTCCACCTCTTTCCAAATCGGTGCCGCGGTTCGGATGCTCCCCCCCTATTTTGGCAATGCTCTTTCTCCTCTCGGCTCACGATCTGGATGGACGCCACACGGTTCGGCGGAAAAAGTTGGCACCCAATCGCCCTCTCAATACTGGATACAGCCCTTTGAGCGGTGAGCGGGACGTGAAGATCCGCGCGGACGGTCCGTTCATGCCGTTCATGTTCAGTTATTACAGTATCTCAACCAGTCACTCTTGTGTAACCGGTGATGTATGGGATCCAGGCTCGAAGATCTTTCACATCTTCATCCAGTGATTTTCATCGGTTCCATTTCCGACACTTCAGTGGTACCGTCATCGTCGTCCATCATGGCACAGAACTATGGGAGTGACAGGGGCATCCGAGTTTAAGAGGTCCAGACTCACATGATTGATTTTCCCCAGGCTGAAGTCGCAATCTCCCCACTGTGAGAAAAAAGAAAAACTGGCTAACAGTGTAGCAAAATGGATCGGGTGACGAACCCCTCATCACTGCTTCAAAGGTTCTGTTTGCGACAAGTCAACCGAAGACCTGGGACGTTGGAAAAGTCTCCGGGGTCCGGCCAGGGTTTCTTCAACGTTAGCGTCGCATCTTCAGCTAACAAGCAGGGATCTCAAAACCTTATGTGGCTTAAGGTTTCGACTAAATCGTGTTAGCGCGAGATGCGATCCACTGTAATCGTCTTAGTGCAACATCTGAGAGACGTACCGGTACTTTTCTCAAAATGACCCACTTTGAGAATGTCTCGGTACTTTGCAGTGGGGACAGTGCTATCAAGTATCTCTACTCGTTCACACTTCACCTTTCCCCCTTCCTCACAGGTATCACCACAACACCACCGTCACCCACACAGCGCTTCGAAGGCGGCACGGCTTGACGCAGGAACGAGAAGAGGACGTGCATCATTTTTAAATTGCAACACGAGCGGCTCTTGCGGCTGTACATGTCAACATTCTCTGGAAGCCGTTGCCGGATTCCGAAAGCGAAAAGAGAACAACAATGGGACAAACAGACACACCGACGAATATGCAAACACTGGTGAAATATCACGGAAACACACATAACCCATGTTTTTGAATAGGTACAACAATACGATCATGCAGCTGTACGCTTCTAAAATTGGCTAGACCCAGAAGAATAGTGTTTGTTCTCTAGTTATCCTCGGCACTGCCTCAACAGCACGTTGAGAGCTGGACCTCTTTCCAGTCACTTGGGTCGGTTATCACTTCCCTGTCATTAGGGGTCTAGATGCTCGCAAGGGTTCAATCTAGGCAGTTCACAAGGGCTCTCAACGACCTGAGAACTAGGAAACCTCAGAAAGATCAAGTCACATCAGTGCCCTCCAATCACCATCAAGAACAGCACTCGATAAGCGAACTACATCTCAGTCATCCCCAGATGGAGATCCGTTGTGAGATCCACCACTAGGGCAGATCAGGGACCTGCAGGGACCAGTTCTCGCCATCTCGTGCTTCTCCAATATCATTCGTCGGTTTGCGAGTGAAGGAGGGATTCCGAAAAGCTGACAGGATACCCAGGGTGACAGAACCCTGGGGTACATATCTCTTGGGAACACAAAAGTACTCTGACAACAGTACCAACCGTGCGGACGTCACCATGCTCCCGCTGTTCCGGATGCTCCCTTGTCCTCCCTCCTCTCCCAGAGTCACTCTTCCGTTGAGCGGTGCAAGGTTACTCAGCACTTACCTCTCAAGCCACACCGGGTAGAAACATGCCTTTCATAATCCCAATTGGGAACTCAATTCAATAACTCGCTTCTTGAGGCGGCTCCAAACATTCTCCAGCACGTTCCTTACCCCTGATGATCTACCCACCATCACGACGGCACCGCGGCAACAATCTCAGCCAGTAGCAGCACCCCGAGGGCAGAAATTGTGCAAATATTCAACTTCCCAGCAAACTTTCTACAACAGGAATAGCATACGGGATCCGTCGGTAGCTGAGAAGAACAAACGCTTGAACAAAAAAGGCGTTTGTTGCCATGCGTTGTCCGTTGTCCGTTGTCTGGCCTGTTCTTTTGCCCCTGTTGTCGTCGCTTGATCACGCGAGGCCAGCTTCCAGCCCAATACCCACGAGCGATAGCAATAATGGAACGAACAACACAACCATGCCCCTCTCCTCATGTCACACCGTAAGGCGCTACCGGAGCAAAGAGACTTGACCCCGAATCGTGTTGGCGGCTTCGTGCCTATGCCAACCTCGCAGCATGTGGGAAAACACCGAGGGCTCAAGATAAAGCAAAGAAAAAACGAGCACTTACATACACAACATTCCTGTCGGCACCTCATATCCGCTCCCTCGGGATGGAAGCTTTGGATGGTTATCTCGAAGAAGCTGCAAGCAAGGAGCTTTTGCCACATTCGATTTGACGGCGATTCCGCCAAGTGGGAACTCGAACGATATGCAATGCTCTGAACCCGAACAGCTGGGTTCTGGGCTCTAGTCTCGCACTCAACCATCTTCCCGTGAAGCCCATAATGGATATGTGCAGAAAATCCATCACCAAGCTGTGATGCCCTGGTCCATGGGCTGAGAAGGTGGACTGGGCTGGATTCTCTTGGGATTCGACAGGCAGCTGCCGAAGAGTCACCTATGGGCTGGAACGGCTACGGGACTTTGCCTGGACTGCCCTACCGCTGCCATCTTCGCTTTGCTACGCCGAGAAAACAAACCCCGGTCTCCCATCGAAAAGGTCTGTGGGCCATACGGGATATCGTAAAGCGACATTGATACCTGATGATAGGGAATTGCCCCCTAGCAAACCGCCCAACCAAAAAGTCAGCCAGCCCGTTATCACGGTTATTGAGCCAGAACAGCCGGTACATTGACAGAAGGCGATGCCGGTGCCGCCATGAGCGAAAACCCCCACTGCTATTTTCTTCTTTCGCTTGCTTCCATCTCGCCCCTCCCTCGTCGATATATCCTCACTTCACGCTGCTGTCCTCTGACAACCCACTTTCACTCTTTAGAATAGCGGACTCGGAGGATTCTAATATCTCTTACAACTCTCACCCTCACCTACTTTTGGGCATGTGCGAGGAAGACATCATCAACATCTCGATCTAGTCTAGAGTCTCTCTTTGGACTCGTACGCTCGTTCACTTACTGGTCTAACACTCGGTCGTCATCAAGTCACGAGTCCATCATCATCGACACTCGTCACTGGTTCGACAAGGATCTAATATCAAGATGGCAGGTTCACACAACGGGGGGAAGGACTTCCCTCTACGACCTCTACCTCCTTCGAGGAATCCTTCTTCTACACCATCAGACTTCCCGTCGCCTCTCAACTCTCCACTACGATCGAACTTTCAACATGGACCGATTAGTGGTGTCGATACTCCCCCGTCTTCGGAACTCCAAGGCCCCCAGTCTTTCTACAATCAAACTGCGTCAGGCAGTGCTCTGTCGGTGGCTTCAGATCAGACGGGGATATCGACACCGGTGACGTATGCCGATGAGTTCAAGTTCAAGACAGTAAGTCATCAAAGGATATTGACCTCAGAAGACCAATTATTAACTTAAACTTCTACCAGGTTATTAAGTATCTCGGTAAGCACATAGAAAAGGCCGGATGGATGCCTCCCGAGGAGGAAAGGAGTCAACCAAATGGTTACGGAGTGCTGTACAAGAAGTCTCGAGGACAATATGTCACATACCCAGAGACTCTGTCACAGGCCGTTGTTGCCTGTGTGCAAAGACTCAACCTCGTCATCGCCTTCACCATGAAGCTCGATATGCTCGACGCGCCCAACGGCATCCTCGCCTCGCTCGGCCCCAACCAATCCGAACTCAAGCTCATGGACGGCTCTCAACTTCAAATCGCCGACTCGCTCGACAGCATGGTACCCGCCAACGTCAAGAAGTTTCAGTACGCCTGCTTGGTCCGACAAGAACGCATCCTGCTCGTATGGCACGATGATATGCTGCAGATAGTGCCCACCGCCGCCCGAATCGAGGCGAAGCTGCTAGCCAAGGTCTGGGGAACCGGTGAACTACCCTTTGGGAATCTCCAAGCTCCATCCCGACCGAACTCGGTTCTCTCCACAAACACGTCCATCTACAAGGCCGAGAAGCCATCGACTCCGGGACCTGGTAACATGGGCGCCCTCCCCAACGACAGCGCCGAACAGCTCGAGAAGGACGAGTCCGTAGACGCCAAGGAGTCGCTCCAGCGGCCCGTCCAGCGCACCAGCGCCTTCTTCGTCGGCATGGCCATGTGTCTGGGCATCGTCCTTCTCTTCGGCACCTACATCTCGCAGCTGCTGATCGAGTGCGTCGTCGACGGGACGTACACGCGCTTGGCGCTGATTGTCTGCGTGCCGTTCTTGTTGTGTGTCAGTCTGTTCTTCTTCCAGGTCATCTTCTCGAACCTGTTCCAGATTGTTGGCCCAATTGGTGGGCAGCATACCAACTCGAGGTTCTACTCGTGCATCAAGCCCAGCTTGAGGAGGGCGTACATGGACGGGTTCACGGCGCCGCATATCACGATTCAGATGCCGGTGTATAAGGAGGGTATGGAGAGCGTTATCATCCCGACTGTGAGGAGTTTGCAGGCGGCTATTTCATTTTATGAGAGCCATGGTGGTGAGTAGTCTCCGTCCCCGTCCCCGTCCCCGTCTAACTAGGTAGTGAGACCGAAGCTGACTGAGTGTAACAAGGCTCCGCATCAATCTTCATCAACGACGACGGTCTCCGCGTCCTCTCCGAAGAGGAAGCCCAGAAGCGCATCGAGTTCTACCACGACAACCACATCGGCTGGGTCGCCCGCCCCAAGCACGGTGACGACGGCTTCGTCCGCAAGGGCAAGTTCAAGAAGGCTTCCAACATGAACTTTGCTCTCAACATCTCCCAGAAGGTCGAGAAGTACCTCCAGGAAATGGTGGATGCCAAGTTCGCTGCCGAGGGCACCGACCTCGTCGACGAGCAGGAGGAAGAGGAGATGTACCAGGCTGCTCTTGCGAGAGTCCTCGAGGAGAACCCGCTTGCTCAAGCGGCTGGTAACATCAGGATGGGAGAGTACATTCTCATTGTTGACTCTGATACCCGTGTGGTGAGTACCCTCTCTGACTTTATTTCTCTCTTTGATTAAAACGTAACTGACATCGAAAATACAGCCCGTCGACTGCCTCCTCTACGGCGCCGCCGAGATGTTCCTCTCCCCCGAGGTCGCCATCGTCCAACACTCCACCGGCGTGATGCAAGTCTCGTGGGACTACTTCGAGAACGGCATCACCTTCTTCACCAACCTCGTCTACACAGCCATTCGGTTCTCCATCGGATCAGGCGAAGTCGCTCCCTTTGTCGGTCACAACGCTTTTCTCCGCTGGCAAGGTACGTTTTCCATTTCTTTTCCTCCCCCATTTTTTTTCTCCCCTCTCGACCACGACTAACAAAACATCTTTCCATCTCCAGCCGTCCAAGACGTCGGCGTCCCCGAACCCAACGACTACACAGCCTACTGGTCCGAGTCGCACGTCTCCGAAGACTTCGACATCGCCCTCCGCCTGCAAATCAAGGGCTCCATCGTGCGCATCGCCTCGTACCACGGCACGCAATTCCAAGAGGGCGTATCCCTAACCATCTACGACGAGATCGCCCGCTGGCAAAAATACGCCTACGGCGTATCGGAAATGATCTTCCACCCCTTACACCGCTGGATCTTCAAGGGTCCCTTTACACCCCTTTTCTACACATTTCTCGGGTCAAACATCATGTACTCGTCCAAGATCTCCATCTTCGCCTACATCTGCTCCTACTTCGCTTTGGCCTCGGCCCTCATGCTCACTTTACTCAACTACTTTCTCGTCGGCTGGTTCGTCGACACGTTGGACCACGCCTACATGTCCTCCTGGCAAGTCTTTGTCTCGCTGGTAGTCGTGTTCAACATCATGGGCCACATCGCGCTTGCCGCTTTGCGGTACCGCACCGGCGACCGCTCTTTACTTTCCAGTTTATGCGAAAACTTCAAATGGACGCCCATGCTGACCGTCTTTTTTGGGGGGTTGTCCTTCCACGTCACCACGGCCCTGCTGGCGCACTTGTTTCATATCGACATGCAGTGGGGCGCCACCAGCAAGGAAAAGGAAAACTCAAATTTCTTCCAGGAGATTCCCAAGATCCTCAAGACGTTCAAGTGGATGTATGTCTTTGTCATCCTGGTCGCGGCGGGAATGGTGTACTTGGGCAAGTGGGCGCCGAAAGGGTGGGAGATTAACGATTTCACGGCTATTGTCCCGTTGGCGGTTAATTTGGTTAGTCATGCGTTGACGCCGTTGGTGTTGAATCCTAGTTTGATGGTTTTTAACTATTAAACTGAAGAAGGTTGTGGGAGGAGAAGTGGTTAGCGAGTGGGTGGGAAGGTGTGATCGGGACAAGAGCAAAAAAGGAGGAGTGTCTTTACTTGTGTGTGTGTGTGTGTGTGTGTGTGTATCATCTTTTCGCCCATCGGCTTCTTTCTTTTTTCCACTTGTCTATATCGGAAGGATGGATGGATTGTGGAGGGTGACCAGGGAGGGCTAGGGCTGTTTATACGCTCGCTATGCTTTATGCTTGTAGATTTACTTTACTGGTTTGGATGGAGGAAAGGTTTCATCATGTCTGTCAAGTCACACTTAGATCGTCTATACGAATTGGGATAAGGGAGTAATCGGACATAGTAATGCCTTATACAAAGAAAGTAATTCCATTAACGCCAACCCACCTACCCTCTACCCTGATCCCACAATGCCTTTTTGAACTGAACTGGTTGCTTGACGATGGAGAAGATGAACCATTCAGACGATGGAAAGAGCCCACTGCAGGTACCCCATCCCAAACCTGAGTTCACAGATGAGAGAGTTACTGCCAGAACAACATTTGGTATTGAACCTCAAATCAAACACTCGCATCCCATACATGAATGATCCTAAACCCAGATAAGAAAAGTGACAGAAGAAGAAAGAGCACACACACTCAGTTCTCTTCATCATTATTCCCGCTCCTCCCCGCTCTCCTCTTGCCCTTACCACCCTTCAACCCCATACCACCCTTAAAGTGCTTCTTACCGCCCATCTCCATCTGCACCTCCTTGACATCCACGCCCTGCTCCGCAGCAATGATCGCCCTCAACTTGCGACCACTCATATGCTTGACAATACTCTGCGCCTGACCCTGCTGCGTATACTTGTGGTGGAAGTTCTGCTGAATGTGGCCGCCGTTGCCGCCGGACTTGAAGAAGGCCTTGTCGAGCTTCTTGGACTTTTGGCCCTGCGGGAGCGCCAGTGCCGTCATCTCCGAGGTGAGCGTGGCGGTATCATCGATATCGGCGCCTTCGAGCGCCGACATCATCGCCACTCGGCGGTTCTCGGGCAGATGGCCCATATCGTAGAGCTCGGCGTTGAACTCGGGGCCGTCGACGCCGCTGCCCGGAGGCGGCTCGCAGTAGAGGAGCTTGCCGTTGACGTAGTCCTTCAGGATGTAACGGACCGCACGAGACTGATCGGGCTGACCGAGACCCTGGGTCATGTAGCCACGGTGACGGGCGTAAGCGTCGAGAAGCTCGTCGGAGGTGGGAATACCGGTGCCGCCTTCCTCGAGTGGCCTGGTCTTGATCTTGATACCGTAAATGGCCTCGAGGAAGGGTTGGGGAATGCGGCGGGCGACGAGGGCGGCGGGGGCGGTGTACTCGCGCATCTGATCAATGGGGAGGACACCGTTGCAGACAAGCTCGGCCTTGGTGTTGGCGAAGTTGGGGAAGACGAGACCCGGGCAATCGCAAAGCAAGACATTGTCGCTCAGGTGGATGGTCTGGAAATGCTTCGTCTTGCCGGGAGTGGAGGAGACGGACACCTTCTTGGCGCCGATAAGAGCGTTGATGGTGGAAGATTTACCGACGTTGGGGTAGCCGACAAGACCGACCTGGAGCTTGCGATCTGTGGAGAGAGACTGTTAGTGTTTGTTTCGTTGTCGTTACGGTTGTGTAGAGAAAACTTACCCAGATCCTTTGGTTGATATTGCAGGAGGATGTCCTCCAGCTCATCAACTCGCAGGATGTGCGTGTCTGGGTCGTTATACTCGGTGATCTCCTCCTCCTTGGCCTCTTCTTTCTCCTCGGATACCTTCTCCTCGGCCTTGGGGGCCTCCTCCTTGTTGGAAGGACCCTCGCCAGCATCACTCTCATCATCACTCTCATCATCATCGCTGTCGGCATATCCGCCTGCCTCAATCATCTCCTTGGCCAATTGGGCCGAGAAGAACCTGTAGTCGATGCCCTCGCCCTTCAGGTAGTTCGCCCACATTTTTCTTTGCTTGTATGTCATCAAATCGGCCTTGTTGATGAGAAGAAGGTTGTGCTTCTTGGGATCGACGTCTTTCACGTAGACCTCCAAGTCTTCGGAACGGAACATGAGAGGGTTTCTGGCATCGACAATCTGGACAATTACGTCGGACCGCTCGATGACTCTCCATAGTTGCCTCCACACCTCCAGGTTTCTCTCGAAGGGTGTCATCAACAGATCCTGGGTCTCTTGAAGTTCCGCCAGCCCTCTGCGCCACTCGAGGAAGCTCTCACGCTCCCTCTGGTCGAGCTCGTCGCGAGTAGTTGTAGAATCCCATTGCGGCCTCCTGGGTACGGTAAGACGGCCCTTGTTCGCCCTCTGCTTTCCAAGCACTGCCTGCTCCTCCTTAGCGGAGAGGAGGTAAGGGTTGCGCTGATCGGTATGGATGATCTTGACGTTGTTCATCTTCTCGGCGGTGAAGTCGGTGCCGGCCAACTCGGCAGTGGCCAGGAACTCGTCGAGAGCGCCCTGCTCAGTGATGGAGCGCATCTTGACCCAGGCAGCATCCTGCTTGTCGTTGGTGATGTATTCCTTGCCGGTCGCATGGTCAATACGAGTAACTGCTGAGACGCGCTTCCGGTCGGATCCCTTTCCCTTGCCGAACCTATCGTTCATCAACGTGTTGCCGAGTCCGACCGACTTTTTCGACTTTGCGAGAACCATGTTGGCGGTTGTCTTTTGGTGGTACTTGTTGTGGTTTTCGTATGATGTAAATCCTCTTTCGACGACAGAGGATGTGGGAGAAAAGGTGCCCGTATATTCCAACGACGGCACTTTGCGACTGATCTTTCAATAAGAAGAGACAAAACTGGGGAAAAGGGAAAACAGGCAAAAGGTTGCAACTGCTAAAAAGTGACGCTGGAATTCCTGCTGATAAATCTGCGATAACCTCGATGTTTCCCCAGCGGACTGGAGATGGAGGGGCAAATTCTTACAATGCGGTAACGATACTGCGCTACGATAGGGCAGGGGCAGCACTCTGACCCGCTGATCGCTACCCTTGCACTAACAGTTTCCTTCCCGCTTGGACCGATAAGATAACCTTGATTGGCCCCACCAAAATTTTACCATTCCCGCATCGGTCATCCGCTGCGGGCGCCGTCTTCCACTGCAGTCTTTCGTTATCTCGGCTGCTTGCGACTCGAAGTGCCTCTTCTGCTTTTCCAATTCAGCGCACTCCCGTCACCTTTTCCTGTCGTCTTTCCACTTTCCTCCCCATTCCCAGATTAGATCCTCCATACCACAGCCAAGATGCCCAGGGGAAAGTGGATGTAAGTAGCCTACCGACCCAGCATCTTTAACGCTTATTTCTTCGTGGCTGACTTCCTTCCCCTTGTTCAGTGACAAGAAGACGGCGACGCACTTCACGCTTGTGCATCGTCCGCAAAATGACCCCCTTATCCACGACGAGTCGGCACCGTCCATGGTGTTGAACCCGACACAACGCCCCAATGCCCACAAGTCCGGTGACCTCAGTGCCCTCGCCTCCGAGCTCGGTTCCGATGCCATGAGCATCCGTGACAACGAGGGTGAGGCCGCCAACTATGGCGTCTACTACGACGATACCGAGTACGATTACATGCAGCATTTGCGCGACCTGGGCACGGGAGCCGGAGAGGCCGTTTTCGTCGAGGCCAAGCCGGTAGCAAACCAGAACAAGGGCAAGGGCAAGGCCACCCTTGAGGACGCCCTGAAGCAACTCAACCTCCAGAACAACGCTCAGGATCTGCTCGACGAGGAGATCCTCCCCAGCAAGAACCTCCAGAGACTCACCTACCAAGCACAACAAGATGTTCCCGACGCCATTGCCGGTTTCCAGCCAGACATGGACCCTCGCCTACGCGAAGTACTGGAGGCCTTGGAGGATGAGGCCTACGTGGACAACGAGGAGGAAGACATTTTCCAGGAATTGGCCAAGGACGCAAAGGAGATCAACGAGCACGAGTTCGAGGAGGCTTACGATGAGTTTGAGGATGACGGCTGGGAGTCGGACCACACGGTCAAGGCCAGCAAGGAATACAGGCGCGGCGACGACGACGAAGTACCGGACCTTGTCGACACAAGTGCCGGACAAGAAGGAGAAGGGTCAGGACCATCGGGTGACTGGTATGATGCTTACAAGCAGTACCAGCAGGACAAGAAGGCGGAGAAGAAGAACAAGGGTCCAGCAGCGCCATCAGAGATGCAGTCCTCGATATGGACGACGACAACGATGGGTGGACGCAAGAAGAAGAGAGCTGGTGCCATGACCAACCCGTCCATGTACTCGATGAGCTCCTCGGCGCTTGTACGGACAGACGCTTTGAGCATTCTCGATGGGCGGTTCGAGAAGCTAGAGGAGGAGTACAATGCTGACATGGACGACTTGGGTTCCGTCTCGGGTGTCTCTGCTGTTTCAACTGTTCAGGGCAACGTGAGGGCCGATTTCGACGGCATGTTGGATGAGTTCCTAGAGAACCACTCGGCGGCCGGAAAGAAGAGGGTGAAGAAGGGCAAGTATCAGAGTGGCCTTGAGCAGCTGGAGGAGATCAGGAGGGGGTTGGGACCTGCCAGACTCCGTCCTTCATTTATCTAAAAAAAAAAAGTGTGTTTGGGGCGTTTAGGGGTACGGAAAACATAAACGGGTGCATTGCGAGTTGATAATTGAAGTTATGAATGAACAAGGCGCAGAGTGCCCCTGTGAGCTGTGACCTATGAAGTGTCAACACACTCAACATTTGGTGATATCTTATCTTTGATCTACCCCAGATTTGTGTTTTGACGTGCCAGCAGTGAGGCCGGAAACGTCCCCGAGGCTGCATTGAGACGAAATAGGCTTGGCGTCTTTATCCAAGTGCGTGCCCATTCGATGGAGACGGTACGGTGGCCCAAGTGTTGGCTATGCTCAATTGAAAGTTAGTCCGAGCTCTCAACTGCACCCAACTGCCAGCCTCTTCATATTAACGCCTCCATATTACTTGTATACTCAAATTGGAAGACTCACCCCTATCTAAAGGCATTATATTATCTATTATATTCACAACTCCCATCAACTCCTATCAATTCTTATATCTCTCATTAATTCTTATACCTCTCATCAACTCTTATTTATTCCTATTGCCCAGAGAGAGCAAGAGGGACAGGGAAATCTATTTGTATTGATACTCTACCCCAAAGTCCAAAATTTAGAGAAGAAGCGAAGGATCTGTTTGTACTACTACCTTAAAAAAGTCTTGGCAAACTTCAAGGCTCTCATTCACTCTCTAACCAAAATTTAGAGAAGAACTGGGGGATCCATTTGTACTGCTACCCTAAATTTTGGCAAACTTCGAGGCTACCAAATCTTATTAACTTTCAGAATCTCAACTCATTATATCCCTTCGATTTCATTTGACTTCTGTTGCCTCTGGTTGCTTTATTGCTTTATTACTTTATTACTTCATTGCTTCATTGCTTCATTGCTTCATTGCTTCATTGCTTCATTGCTTCATTGCTTCATTGCTTCATTGCTTTATTGCTTCATTGCTTCATTGCTTCATTACTTCATTGCTTTATTATTTTATTACTTCATTGCTTCATTGCTTCATTGCTTTATTAGTTCAATAGAAGATGCTGCATTAGATTGTAGAAGCTACCCTTTAGTGTGAATCTAGTGCCTGCAGCTAGCACGGGCCATTTTCTGACCAAACTTTTTCAATTGATCATAGCCAACACTTGGGCCACCGTAAGACGGGAGCGGGCTGGGCGGGAAAAGCGGGTCTGAGCTGGCAAAAAAGTTCGAGACAACAACATCGTCCTGCGAAACACTCTTCTGTGGCACTGCCAACAGCCCTGTCAGCCTGGGTCTTGGCAAAGATTTGGCCCGCTGCCAGTCAGCCAGTCAGTCGCTGACAGGCGGAAAAAGGCAGAGAGCAACAGGCAATCGTGTCGCCTCACTCGCGTTTGCCTCCTCCCGACAAGACGGGACGTGCCAGTGCAGTGCTCTCCGCAACGACGCCGTTCGCCATTCAGACTTTCCACTTTTTGCCATTTACCGGGCTCCCCGCCTTCACCATCCACTGAAACTAACAACAACGACATTTGCACAAGTTCATTGATATTGACGATCACCACATTCCCATTTGCAAACAGTGTCCCTGCAGCCCGCGCAAAAAAGGGAAAGCACTGCAGTAGCTGAGAGGACCATTTATCTGACATCAATTTTAAAAGGGAACCGTGCATTCCCTGGCCGTTCCAGCCTTTCCCGTCGATCCACGCACGCCCTCCCTTCCTGTTCTCCATTGAACTTTTTTTCGTCCCACGTCCACCACTCGTCCACAGCACCAGCACACGTCCACTTTCACTCTACATCCACATTTCCCCGTTTGCCTTTTGCGCCTCGACCACTTTTGCACCTTCCAACAACTTCCTTGGATTGCATACCCATTCCCCAGGATTTCCCCAAATCCTTAACTCCCCCAATCCTCCGCATCGACAACTTCTCTACACATCCCATATCAATCATCGAAAATGGCCACCACTGCCATGGACTACGAGAACGCTAACGGCGATCGCTTCGATGGTATGTCTCCGTCCTTACTGCGTCATCGCCTTACCTGCCCTGCCCTGCCCTTTGCGTCAGCATCAGCACCTGCGCCAGCACCAGACGCGGATGCCGATGAATGCCCGCCTGTGGTCTGTCGCGACTTCAGCCTCAGCCTGCCCTCAGCCTGTCGTCCCTCACCTACATCATCACACCTCGCGCACGTCGCGACACACCCATCTCTGTCTATCTACGGCTTGCCTACCTCATATCGCATCAGCAACTGACCGGTTCATCTAGAGGACGCCCCTCGCTACGACCGCGACCGTAGTGCGTCGCCGCGTCGCGATGACGGCCACGACTCTTCGCGTCGTCGCTCCATGTCTCCCAACGGCAACGACCGGTAAGCACCGCCACCAGCTCGCCTGTTTCGGCCCAAACATACAAACAATAATATCTGACATCAACACCAGTGCTCCTGCCAAGGACGAGGGTCAGTCCAAGGGAGGTGAGGAGGATGGTGCTCGCAACCCTGGCTCCAACCTCTTCGTCACCGGCATCCACCCCAGACTGGAGGAGGCTGAGGTTACGCGCCTCTTCGAGAAGTACGGCGAAGTCGAGAAGTGCCAGATCATGAAGGACCCTCACACTGGCGAGTCGCGTGGTTTCGGTTTCGTAAAGATGATGACTCCTGAGCAGGCCAATGCTGCCAAGGAGGGCCTGCAGGGCGAGGTTATTGAGGGCAGAACCCTCAGCATTGAGATGGCTCGTCGTGCTCGTCCCCGCACTCCCACTCCCGGCAAGTACTTCGGTCCTCCCAAGAGAGGTGAGTTGTCCCGCGTTTCCCCCTCAAAGGTCTCCGAACTGATCCACTGAAACATAGGCGAAGGCCGCTTTGATGACCGTAGTGGTCGTCGCGGCGGCGGTTTTGGCGGCGGCTATGGCGGTGGTCGTGATGACTCCTACCGCGGCTACCGTGGCGGCGGTTACCGTGATGACCGTGGCTACGACCGTGGCTACGACAGAGGCTATGACCGCAGCGGCGGTTATGGCGGTGGCGACCGTGGCTACGACCGCAGCAGCTACCGTGAGGACCGTGGCTACGACCGCAGCTACCGTGGTGAGGACCGCGGCTATGATCGTCGTGAGCGTGGTGGCGCTGATGAGGCCTATGGCCGCGGTGGCGACCGTTACCGTGATGACCGTGGCGGCGAGCGCTATGGTGGCAGCGGCCGCGGTGGTCCTGATGAGCGCCGTGCTCCCGGTTATGACCGTGATCGCGGCTACGACCGTCCCAGCGACCGTGATGCCCGTCCTCCTCGCGACGCTGCCCCCGGCACTAGCAGCTACGGTGAGCCGGCTCCTCGTGAGGCTCGCGAGCCCTACGGTACATATTCGAACATCTGAACCCTGCTTGTGGTGAATGCCTGCTGACTTGAACAGGTACCCGCTAGGAAAATGGTATCTAGGTTCCACACCCTGATTAACACCAGGAGTCGCTCTCCTTCCAGCTTCATCGGCAGCACAGTTTTCCTTTAGCTTGTTTCTTTCTTTTCGCTCTTGGCATGGAAACAAAATCGGATATCCTAAAATTCGTCGGCTGGAGTTACGGCAGATATTTGGAGGGTAATTGGCCCTGTCCCGGCGGTTCGCCTTGCACCAGAACGGCTACCTAGATGAGCCACTTGGAGGTTGCGACACTCGACATCACATGGTATGGGCAACATGGTCGGTCAGCCGCTGGTCGACATTGTCTAGGCCGTCACCCCCTCTTCCTCTTTCCACCTACTTGGATCAGAAAAAACGGAGGGGATGAAAGCCGCGCTTGTACGATTATTTTTCTTTCGCCTTCTTACGGCCAGCGGCAATATCGTGACGACTTAGCGCATCCTATCTCGACGGGTTTCTTTTACGTAGTCGGCAAGCATGATACCAGCGCATCAACCTTCTTCAGCATCTTAATCGTGAACGCCAATGCCTGAGACATCAGTGGCAAACATTCTTAACATAAGGTGCAACCCCACCGGAGCAATTCAAAATTCGGCATGTAATCGTCCTCAGCCTCGCCTTGAACGTCTGCACTCGCCATTGTTACAGCATGCGACTTGACACCGTGTTTGATCCGCTCGCGATATTCACCACCATGGACCCTTTGACATCAAAGCACCACAGCATGGCAACCTGCTGGTGACGCCGATTATGTCCTTGTCGGAGGTGGCAATCCTTCAAGGACAAGGCTTGTCGTCCGATGTGTTATCAGTCAAGCCAAACACCCGCCCAAACGCTTTCAGGTACGTTTCCGGCCGCCATGCGACGCTCCTGCGTCTTTGGCTCCTGACAAGTCTCCTCCATACCCCCCATCAGTTTGTTGCGTTTACTTTGCTTTACTGGGTACTGCTGGAGCTTCGATGATTACAGGACAAGGCCGATGGCAAGGCATGTGTCACTCCTATCGCTACGAATCATCAAGTTGCGTGTTTGAAGGAGGAGATATCGGTTACTTGCAACAGACACATACGCAACAGCATAGGGCCATCACAGAATCATTCGTCCAGGGCCGAAGGTCCATAGGAAGACCAGCGTTTTGGCAAACGTCTGGTATTTTCCAAGACCGGGAAGACTGCGTCAGCGAACTTTGCAACATACGAGTTACGAAACAACCTTCCACTTGACTAGGGATTGGCGAAAGATGACTACACTCTCTCTTTCATTCAACAGCCGCTCGCTCTTTCTCCTCCAAGTTTACTTGGTTTGACGCTCTCTTGGTCTCTCATTGTCATTCTTCGGGATACCAGAACGGTATCTTTCAGTCTCTTTATCTTCGTCGTACGCCTTCTGCTAGACTCCATACGATGCCTTTGGCTCGACCCGGTAACCAAGCGGATTCTTCAACGCCGGTAGTCGCAGTTCATACTTTGGCCTCACTCAGAAGGTCTTTGAGACTCGTGGTGGACAATCGAGTAGAAAAATACAACAGACTATTATCGTTCATAATGATTCCCTAGCCCCAAGCACATCCGAGTCTCGCTTTGATACATGATACGTCTTTCAAGACCCCATCTCAGACAAAGGGGAAGCGCCAACAAGAGCATCAGAAAGCTCGGCCGAACCTTTCTCTACCGCCAGTGTGTGAACAAAGACATGGAGTCTGTGCCGGATGCATCGTAAGATCCCACTGCTTTGTGATGTGAGCTTCTGGGGGGCTACAATAAAAATGCAAGTGATTCCCCAGGTTTCAGTTACTCTTGGTCTTCAGTGAATGTTGCCTCGTTTCCTCAACAAGACCAATCAAGTCAACAAAATTGTGCGTTTTCATCCCATCTTCTCGCACATAGCCGAGAATCATCATCCCTTACACAGCGCAACATAACCATCACTACCCCATCACCCTCCACTTACCCCCTTAAAAACCTCAAGATGCCTCGCGTAACCAGGAGCTCCGCCAAAAACGGCCCAGGGCTGTTCGACTTCATCGGCGTCGCTATCGCAAATGGAAACGTCAAGTACGATATCCCCGAGCAATACCAACACCTCTTGCCGTCCCACCTCCAAGACGCCAACGACGAGACAGCCGCAGCCGCAGAACCAGAACCTCTCATCATCCGCTCAAGCGCAAGGGGTACATACGTAGAAAATGGCATCAACAAAAAAGCCGCTGCCATTGCCGAGAGGGCTAACAAGATCGCCGCTGCTGCCTCTGCCCACGCTACCAAGGTCATGACAGCCAGGCAGGGCAAGGGCGGCTTGGATATCAATATTGTGTTGCCTGTTGGGGGTGGGGGTGTGGGTGTTAGTGTTGGTAAGGGCAAGATGCTTGCTGGCAAGAAGGGTGCCGCCGATAAGGGGGGGAAGAACAAGAAGAGGAAGTTGGAGGTGATTGAGGAGGAACAGGACGATGAAGAGCAAAATGAAGATAGTGCAGCAGAGGAGAAGGGCGAGGAGGAGGATGAGGAGTATGTTCCTGATGGGAAGCCTTCGGCGAAGAAGAAGCAGAGGAGAAGTGCGAAGGCTACGACCACTAAGAAGCAGAAGGTGGTTAAAGCTGCTGCGAAGAAGGGGGGTAGGGGTGGGAAGAAGAAGGTTGTGGATGAGGAGGTGACGCCCGAACCTGCGGCTGAGGCTGAGGCTGAGGTTGGAGCTTCTGAGAAGAAGGAAGAGGTTGAGAAGGGAGGGGAGGAGGAGAACAAGGTTGAGAAGACTGTTGAGCTTGAGGTGGCTGTGGTGGCTGTGGTGGAGGGTAACCAGGGCGAGGAGGAGGAGAAGAAGGGAGAGGACGGTGATGGAGACGGAGATGGGGATTATGAGCAGCAGGATCGCAACCTTGATGCTGAACCTGAGGAGTGAGTGATGAGGCATTCGGTTTTCTCTTATTTGGTTTGTAAAAGGGTGCTTCGTTACAGTATAGGGAGGCTGGTTCCTCGAGTATAAGTATATTGGTTTGGTGTTTTGTACAAGCTCGTTGATTGTTATATAAGCTCACGGGTGATGATGTGAAGGTTGTCTATGTATGTATATTTGCTACGTTCGTCTTAGTTGTCGTTTCCCCTCTCTCGTCTGCCAGCTTTTTCTATAACATGAGCTCGTTTCCCGTCAGCACCTGCCTGCATAGGTAGCCAGTGTCCTTTTGTCACCACTCTCAATAGATTGTCTCAATGGGGGTATACTTAGTCTCTTCACCAACAACTACTCACCATCAGATCAGCCAGTCCCCTCTATCCTGTGATGAAAACCATAACATCCACCACAACCAATAATAATTTGCGATGCCCAACTAACTTCCTCTCAGTCCTCGTCCTTCGATTTAGGAAGCAACCCACCTGCCTTACAGCTACAGTAGTTACATGAGGTAGTAACGCGCTCGAACTTCTTACTCTCTATCCTAAAAGTGAATTGTGCTTAGAGGACTTTTTAAAGAGTCATTGGGGCAGAATTGGAGGCCGCTACAAACTTGGCTTTCTTTTATATACAAGCTGCAAAGTGGATAGGTACAGTATGTACAAATCATATCGCGGGTGCTGTAGCCGCGTCATATTGACACACTCCATCCCTTCCCGTTTATGCAGTTGGCAGTTGGCGATGATCGTGACCTCACCTTTATCTACTACACTAGAAGTGTAGTCTTTTTTTTTTTTTTTTTTTTTTTTTTGAGGGATACGAAGCTATGGGACTTTGGATACCATTCAGGATGCCTAGGGATGACGCGTTTTCGGGTTGTTAAGGAAAAGTGTATACGTCCCCTCGATGACAGATATGACTCATGATACTGGCATATGGTTGTGACAATTGTTTTTCAAGTGCTATGTTTTTGATGCCCAACTCTTTCAAGTTGTAGTCTTTCTTTCTTGAGGCTACGAGGCCACCATTATTCTTTTCTATGATGTGCACACGTTCGTCATCAAGACTCAGACACGTACGTGTCTGAAAAAAAGAAACACACAAAGACGAATGATACATAGTACATACAAGCGCACTCTACACTTTTCAGAGGGACACCAAGTGGCCAACTCGGACATTAGTTACTGAGTGGACGATTGTTTTTGTCATGGTTCGAAGAAGTATCGAACCCAAGATAAGCGAAGAAACAAAAAAAAAAAAAAAACAAAACATAAACATAAACAAAAACAAAAACAAAAACAAAAAGGGAGGGCCCAGGCCGTTCGTAAGCTTTCCACTTTGTAAGTCGGCCGCCGATTCGGCACCGATAAGCGTCAGGTACGTACGGGCTACGGCCCGGAATGCTCGCCGGCGCCGAGCCGAATCATTACCACCCACAGCAAGCGTCGTTTACAGTTTTTTTTTTCGTTGTTGGGGTGACTGAGCGGTTGAGATGTAGAGATGTAGAGGTACGCACTGCGGCAAGTAAACAAACGGGAGTACATGTGTGAAAAGCGCAGGTGGCAGTTAAGGCAATCATGGCAATCAAGGTGCGTCATAGGTAGGTAGATGTATACCGTGCATGACGGGTGTTCGATTACGATTTCGATGGGAGTTTTGAGGGTTGAATTGGGCTTGCAAAAAGCAGTTCTGGGGACATGAATACCGAGTGTCAACTGGTGATACTTTCCCGCTACCATGCATCGTCCGGATAGACAGAGGTAAGATAGATATAAGCTTATCTTGCTACCCGTGCAACACGGCGATCACAACGGCTCCAGCAGACGTAACGTGCAATTTCCGCCTCACTTTCACTGTGGTCCTACTATGTACATGGAACTCGGAACTCGGAGCCCGGAGCGGTGCCGATTCTCGTCTGTTGAAACAAAGAAGTTATAGAGTCCGGGGAGTAGTTGCGCTAGTGATACCGCTTCTTTCGAGAATCTCTTCCATTGATCAAAGCGGTGTCCAGCTCGCTAAAGACTCGAGGGAGGTGGTAAAGCTCAGTCACTTGATGTCTTTGATAACAAATGGAAGCGAGGTGCATGGAAGAAAAGGCAAGGCAACGCGTAGCGCACGTATGTACACCCTCCCTGCCGTGCGTGCCTCCCTAACAGGCAGGCTAACAGGCAGGCTGTCGTGTTGGTGTGCCGTTTTATCCGGTTTCGTGAGGGAATGTTGGTTCTCGACCTTTCAAGTGGTGTTTCGGGGTGGAATTAAGTACCTAGGTCCACACCAGCTATAAAAGCTCGGAGTTAAGGAGCTATGACCGACCAAGCCAAGATGAAGTGACTAATTGGGCAGGTCGATAATGGAGGTGTCGAAACAAAACATTGCATTGTCTGGTCTGGTCTGTTCTTGATGATTGATATGTCGTCCAAAGTTGAAGACGAGCATTCGTATGACATTGCTTAATATTGAAAAGCAGATGTGTACACGCATAACTGAAATAAAGTCAGGATCAGGCGGGGTGCCTAGAAAACGTCTAGGCTTCTGTTGTGCTTCTAGCCGAAAGAAATCAACGTGGACAACGGTGGGCTTTACCTTATGCAGCGCCAAGCACGGCAACGATCCGCTGTGGAGGAGGGCGTTGCCTGCGTCGGTCGGCAAATCGGGACCGGTCATCTCCACCGGATGCAGGCCATTGGGGAGCCTTCCCTTTGCAGCTGTGGGCGACTTCAGACCTCAGCGGTTTGGAGGCGTCATCGGCGGCGTCTTCTGACCCCGATCCCCGACTCCCTCTCATGATTTTTGGAGCTCTCCTCGTCCCCATGGCTTGAAGCTTCTAGCGGTGGTCTGGGGGGTTGGTGACGGCGGTGGAGAAATGATCTTTAAGCATTTTTTCTGATTCCACTTCTCGAAGAAAAGTACGATGGAGAGAAGGCGAAGAAGTGGGCTTTGAGAGTTGCAACACCGACAAAAAGGAAAGATACAGCGGAATGTACACAACAAGGGAAGGAGGAGCCAACACCCAACACAGGGGGACCTTAACACCGGGGCCGAAGTGGTGCCGTCCACCTTTTTCACTGTTCCATCCCGCCTTTTTGCTCTTTCCCTTTTGATTTGGCGTCTTATCTTTTTGCTTTCTTATACAATACCCTTCCATCCCAAGGTTGATCTCAAGGTTTGGTACCCAAGTCAACTAGGTATATACACCATAGTCGGGGGATCGCATTTACAGCTTGATCCTCGCTCAAAACCTGGCTCTCTCTCCCTTCACAGGCCAGCACCCTTCACCTTATTTTTTAATACCCTTCAAACGTCTTGGTCAGATCTCTTGCTCCACCTCGTTTGCTTATTATTATTTCGGATCTACTGCAACCTGAAAGGCACAAGACCTTAAACTCGGTCAAGTAACGACACCTCTGACTTCAACTTGGCGCCGGTGACGTGCTGTCTACCTGCGACCTGCGACCTGCCAGCCCCCCGGGCAACCGTCACCCCTTTGCGCATAATGACAACAACAACAAACGAATAATTTTTTGCTCATCTCCCACGCCGATCACGAGAGACTACAGTCTTCTCCTTGTTTACCAAGTACACAACCACTGCCTCTAGCAAGGCTTCTCTATAAGCCCGGCTGCCCAACATGGCCGAATCCCCAAACGAAAAGGGGAGACATCGAGAGGATGACATCGAGGAAGCGCCCAGGAATGATGATGACCTCGAAAAGATTGCCATTGGCTCATCGTCTGTGGAGGAGAACGACGAGAAGAGGGCCGAGCTGAACCGGATGAGGACCAATGCCACCAACACCAGCGTAACCACGACCGCTACCATCCACCCTCATGTCGAACCAAAGCCATGGTACAAACAACCAAACCCTCTGAGATGGGGGAAAATCGAACCGATCCCAGAGACGAGGAGGCCATCGCCAGAGTACAATGCCGGTTTCTTCAAGTCGCTCTACTTTAGTTGGATGGGTCCTTTGATGACGGTAAGTGAACCAGTATCTTATATGCATACTGGAGCATTCACTAACACACCTGTAGACCGGGTATAAACGACAGTTGGAGCTCAACGATATCTACGAGGTCAACCCAGACCGTTCTGTTGACCCCCTCACAGAAAGGATGCGAGAGTCCTATAAGCGGCGAGTGGAAAAGGGGGAAAAGTACCCGTTGCTTTGGGCTTTGCATGAAACATTCTTCTGGGAGTTTTGGATTGGTGGCATGTGTCAGCTTGCTGCCTCTGTCCTCCAAGTCATGTCGCCTTTCACTCTTCGTTACCTCATCCAGTTCGCAACAGACGCTTGGGTCGCCAACCACTCGCGCGCACCACCACCGGGTATCGGATCTGGCTTGGGATTGGTCTTCGGTGTCACGGCCATGCAAATCTTGCAGAGCTTGTGCATTAACCACTTCATCTACCGCGGTATGCTTATCGGAGGCATGGCTAGGGCCTCTCTGATTAGCTTGATCTACGAAAAGTCCATGGTCATCTCGGGTCGTGCCAAGGCGGGTGGTGCCGATGCCCCAGACGTTCCCGCTGCAAAGGCGGCTGCAGAGAAGGATGCAAAGAAGGAGAAGAAGAAGAGCAACAAGAAGGGCAAAAAGGGCCAAGCTGGTGCCGAAGATGATGGTGCCGGTTGGGGCAACGGAAGAATCGTGAGTGCAATCATGAAGAAAACAGACCTGGTACCAGTGGCTAACATGTTCGCAGATCAACCTGATGAGCGTTGATACTTACAGAATCGACCAAGCCTCCGGTTTGTTCCACATTATCTGGACCGCCCCCGTCACCATCCTCATCACTCTTGTGTTGCTGCTTGTCAACTTGACTTACAGCGCGCTCGCCGGTTTTGCCTTGTTGGTTATTGGTATCCCCGTGCTCACCAAGGCCATCAAGACTCTCTTCGCCCGCAGAAAGGCCATCAACAAGATCACCGATCAGAGAGTTGGCCTGACCCAGGAAATTCTTCAGTCCGTCCGCTTCGTCAAGCTCTTTGGCTGGGAAAGCTCGTTTCTCAAGCGTCTGCAGGAGTTCCGCGATCGTGAGGTATCAGCCATTCAAGTGTTACTGGCTCTTCGTAATGCGATCATGGCCATTAGTATTTCGCTTCCGATCTTCGCGTCCATGCTTGCCTTCATCACCTACTCTTTGACCAGCCACGGGCTGGCGCCGGCTAAGGTCTTCTCGTCTCTCGCCCTCTTCAACGGTCTTAGAATGCCATTGAACATGCTTCCTTTGGTCATCGGTCAGGTGACGGACGCATGGTCCTCCCTCGCCCGTATCCAGGACTTCTTGCTTGCCGAGGAACGGGAGGATGAAGCTATCATCAAGCTCGATGCTCCTAACGCTATCGAAGTTCACGACGCCTCCTTCACCTGGGAAAGAACGCCAACTCAAGAGAACGAGTCGACAGTGGGCGGTGCCGGTCCGAAATCGAAGCCTGAAAAGGCTCCCAAGGGAAAGCCCAAGGATGTCGAGGCGGCCACTCCTCCTTCCGGTGACGACTCGAGCACCCTGGTCGAAGAACGGGAGCCCTTTAAGCTTCAGGATCTCAACTTCACCATTGGCAGGAACGAGCTGGTTGCCGTTATTGGTACCGTCGGCAGTGGCAAGACTTCACTGCTCTCTGCTTTGGCTGGTGACATGCGCAAGACCAGCGGCGAGGTTATTCTTGGTGCTCACAGAGCTTTTTGCCCACAGTACGCCTGGATTCAGAACGCGACTCTCAAGGACAACATTCTTTTTGGAAAGGAGATGGACCCCGAATGGTATCGCGATGTCATCAAGGCTTGCGCGTTGCAGCCGGATTTGGATATGCTTCCCAACAACGACATGACCGAGATTGGTGAAAGAGGTATCACCATCTCTGGTGGCCAAAAGCAGAGACTCAACATCGCCCGTGCGATTTACTTCGATGCCGACATCGTTCTCATGGACGACCCCCTGAGCGCTGTCGATGCCCACGTTGGTCGTCATATCTTCGATAACGCTATTCTTGGTTTGCTCAAGGACAAGGCCCGTATTTTGGCCACTCATCAGCTTTGGGTTCTCAACCGCTGCGATCGCATCATTTGGATGGATGGTGGTCGTATTCAGGCTGTGGATACTTTCGACAATCTTATGAGGGATTCCGAGGAGTTCAGACAGCTCCTAGAATCGACCGCCCAAGAAGACAAGAAGGATGAAGCCGAAGCTCCTGTCGTAGCCAGCGAGGAAGAAGCGCCCAAGAAGAAAAAGAAGGCCAAGGGTCTCATGCAGGCCGAGGAGCGTGCTGTGGCTAGCGTTCCATGGTCGGTTTATACGTCCTACGTGAAGGCCTCTGGCTCGTATCTCAACGCACCCATCGTTCTCATACTTTTGGTTATCGCACAAGGATCGAACATCGTGACCAGCTTGTGGCTGTCGTGGTGGACTTCTGACAAGTTCGGCCTCAGTCTGGGACAGTACATCGGTGTCTACGCTGGTCTCGGTGCGCTACAAGCTCTCCTTATGTTCGCATTCATGGTATCCCTCTCAATTTTCGGTACTACGGCGAGTAAGAACATGTTGAGGCAGGCCACCTTCCGCGTGTTGCGTGCCCCCATGTCTTTCTTCGACACTACACCTCTTGGTCGCATCACCAACCGTTTCAGCCGCGATGTGGACGTCATGGACAATAACCTTACGGATGCTATGCGCATGTACTTCTTCAGCATGGGAGGTATTATCTCGACTTTTGCTCTGATCATCGCATACTTCTACTACTTTGCCATTGCGCTCGTACCTCTCTTCACCCTGTTCCTCTTTGCTACTGGCTACTATCGCTCATCGGCTCGCGAGGTCAAACGCTTTGAGGCCGTCCTTCGTTCCAATGTGTTCGCCAAGTTCAACGAAGGATTGTCTGGTGTTTCCTCCATCAGGGCGTACGGCCTCCAGAACCGGTTTGTGGTGGACATGAGGAAGGCTATCGACAACATGGACTCGGCGTACTTCCTGACTTATTCGAATCAGAGATGGCTATCGACCAGACTGGATATGATCGGTAACCTCTTGGTCTTCACCGCGGGTATTCTCGTCGTCACCTCCCGTTTCTCGGTTAACCCCTCGATTGCCGGCTTGGTGTTGTCCTATATCTTGGCTATAGTGCAGATGATTCAGTTCACTGTCCGTCAGCTGGCCGAAGTCGAGAACGGCATGAACGCCGTCGAGCGTCTCTTGCACTACGGGACCCAGCTTGAGGAGGAGGCCCCATCCAAGACCATCGATGTGCGCCCCAGCTGGCCTGAGAAGGGTGAGATCGTTTTCGACAACGTCGAGATGCGTTATCGTGCTGGTCTTCCTCTTGTTCTGCAGGGTCTCAACGTGCACATTCAGGGCGGCGAGCGTATTGGTATCGTCGGCCGTACTGGTGCAGGAAAGAGTTCTATTATGTCTACGCTCTTCCGTCTCGTTGAGATTTCCGGCGGTCACATCACCATCGATGGCATCGACATCTCCACCATCGGTCTCCAGGACCTCCGTTCCCGCCTCGCCATCATTCCTCAAGACCCGACCCTCTTCCGCGGCACCGTGCGCAGCAACCTCGATCCCTTCGGTGAGCATACCGACTTGGAGCTCTGGTCCGCCCTGCGCCAAGCCGATCTCGTCCAGGACGAAGCGACCACCACTACCACAACCGCCACCCCCAGCGCCAGCGGCAACGCCATCGTCGTCGCCGACGCTCCCGCTGCTACCAACGGCAACTCCAACAACCGCATCAACCTCGACTCGATCGTCGAAGAAGACGGCCTCAACTTCTCCCTCGGCCAGCGCCAGCTCATGGCCCTCGCCCGCGCCCTCGTGCGCGGCTCCCAGATCATCGTCTGCGACGAGGCCACTTCCAGCGTCGATATGGAGACGGACGACAAGATCCAGCGCACCATGGCCAGCGCGTTCCGCGGCAAGACGCTGCTGTGCATCGCGCATCGGTTGAGGACTATTATCAACTACGACCGGATTTGCGTGATGGACAAGGGCCGCATTGCGGAGATTGGTCCCCCCCAGGAGCTGTTTGAGATGGAGGGCGGTATCTTTAGGGGCATGTGTGAGAGGAGTGGGATTAGAAGTGAGGATATCAGGTTGGCGAGGGAGGTTGTTGATAATGATCGGGCGTTGTAAGCTGCGTAAAGGGTGTGATTGTTGGCTACGGAAGAGAAAGAAAAAGGGGTGTGCCTGAGATGAAAGAGGGATGATGAGTATGATAGATGAGATGAGATGATGGCTTCTCGATGTTGATACTGATTCTGATTGATGGCGGCTTATGATACCAAACTCGAAGAGAAGAGAAGACTGAGACGGAGGGAATGGAGAAAAGCAAAGCGAAAAAGAAAAGAAAATACCTATAAAAGAAAAGTACATACATAGTGTAAACACGTAATTACTTACTTGTAGAAAGAAGGAGGTCTGATTAATGGATCTCGAGAAGTTCATAATATCACATTATCACATGTTTTGCGTACCTCTAAGGATCCATGTGCATGCATGTCTTTGTCTGTTTATATAGGATATCCCTACGCTAGCTAGCTGCCTTAAATTATTCCTTTACTGTTCATTCACGCGTAGGTATGTTGCCTATTATCCCGAAGATACAAGCTATCCCTTCATGTCGTTCGGTACATCCCTCACCACATCGCAAACCCAACGTAACACACATGATGCACACGATGACACCGCCCGCGTCCATCTTCAAGTCTCACAAAGTCAAGCTGTGAAACTCCACACAACCAGACTCTACCTAGACTCGACAACTTCAGTTGGCTGGGGCGCGGGCGCGCTTTTGGTGTCACCTACCACTCACGTCACGTACCTATGCAGAAACAAATCAGAAGACCCAGGTAGCTAGCTCCCAGCTACCGGCATACCTGCCTGCTGTATGAAAATAGCACCAACCAGGAAAAGACCCGGGCAGGCAGGCGCCTGCGCGACTTTAGATATAAATGAATCGTGTGGCCGGAGAGCTGCATGATCTGGCAGTTGTCTTGCAGTTTTGGTGGCCGGTGATGAGACAAATCAAAGACAGGTATGTAGAAGCAGACGGGATTCGGACGTATTCAGGACACGACATGTGGTCGGTCGAATCGACGAGCAGAAGGAGCATGGTAGTTAAGTGGAGGACTATGTAGTCTGTCGTGTCGTCGAAGACCATCAAGTGAAGGCGGCAGGCAAGAACGCAAAGGATGTGAAGCTATCTCCAGCCAACTGACTGAGTGAGAGAAGACCGTGATCGTTGACGTGGAAGCTAATCCTTCTATTCCAAGATATGCACGTCATTTCGCTAGGCCTATGCTACTGCAGTGCTGGTGCAATGCACGATTTGATAGACAGGAAGCCGGGGAGCCAAAGACACAGACAGTAAAACGCCATCAGAAGTCCTCCATCCGAAAGACACTTGTAAAAAATTAAGAATGAACCAAAAGTGGTATTCGACTATACGTGTGTACTTTAAGACCGAATTGGATAAAAAGAGGTATGGTAAGTAATGATGATGGCGAAGGCGTTGACGATGACGATAATGATGATGATTGGTATTTTTCAAACCCCGAACCGCTGAACTCCCCAGATCTTTGAATGCCTCCCCAGATGTTCAAGGAAACTTGGTTGGATTAGGTGTACAGCCCTGTCACCGCAGGGTATCGGTGGCCGGAGCTGGTTTGACTTGATGTTCCCGTCCTGGGATCTCTGCAGCATGAGTGCCTCCTGTAGTTCCTTTTTCCGTTATCCGAATCCTCAACCAGCTTAGTACCTCCCGCTGTGCCTAGGATCATGATGTCCCCCATGATAACCAGGGTTATTGTACCCACCCGGAGGAGGGAACGCCTGCGGGTTATCTCCCAACAAATCATCTAAAAATGCGCTCGGTGCGCGCTCGCTCTCGGACCTGTTCAACTGGTTGCCCGAGCTGCTGCTGAACGCTCTCGACGACGGTGTCCTTGTCGCCATTCCCATTACCGGTCCAACATTAGGCGACTCAGGCGGCGTTTGTCCCATCATGCTACCACCACTAGGCCGTCTCGACATCGGGCGGAGGTTCGACATGCTGATCGAATTACCGTGGCTGTGGCCCATAGGAGCAGCGGCCGAAGAAGCGTAGAACCCGGATGGGAGGAAGGTCGAGTGGCGGTTGTTGGCCATGGTGCTGTTGCGGTCTCCCTGTTGCGCAGTCGGCGAGAAAAACAGTTGACTCTGGCTTGGGGTACCGGCGGAGGGCGCCGGGCCGCGCGACTTGCGGCGGTTGCCGGCAGCACCGGTGTTGCTGCCGGCGACGAGCGAGGGGTTCGAGTTGAGGTCCTGATACTTGTAAAACTTGGGCGGAGGCGGGAAGGCCTTGTCGCTGCCAATAGACTGGGCCATGGCGGCGCGCTCAACGGAACGGTGCAGGAGACATGCGATGACGGTGCGCCAGATGACAACAGCCAGACCGAAAGCGCCGAGGATGGCGCCGACGCAGATGAAGACGGTGCCGTCGGGGAGCGACGAGTGCTTCATGAAGGGCGCATTTTGCGTGGGAGGAACGGTCGGCGCGGGATATTCCGGGATACCAATTTTGGTGAGAGTTGGAAGACCGGTTAGGAGTGCAGGTGGTCCCGTCGCTGCTTCTGTGTTGCCGACCGTCAAGGGGGGTATGCTATCAGTGCCGGTCGAAGTAGGAGTGGCCGTTGCCTTGGCCGAGCTAGAGGAGAGAGATGTCGACGATGATGAACTTGATTTGTCGTTGTTATTTTGTTGCGCCAATACACCATTCGATAGTAGGGAAGAGGCGAAGAGGGCTGATAGAAGCAAGGAGCGCTTCAGCGACAGTGGTGGCGACAGCATGGTCGCTGTGATTGTGTCCCTTCGGATTCGGGGACAACTAAAGAAGGGGTTTGGCAACGAGGACCGAGAAAAGGGAATCGGTCCCTAAATCCACCAAGGTATCACGAATCAAACTCTTGATGGAGAGTGAGCTAGATCGACGACGGGCTGCAGCCACGATCCGGAATTTTCGATGTGAGGGTGGTGAGTGGCCGAAGACCGGGAATTGGTGGTTACTCAAGGGCGTCGTGCCGTGGTAAACCTAAGAAAAAAACGAGAGTAGAATCAAGCGCCTGCTGAGAGCAGCATCAGAGTCTGGATGAGATTCCAAAGTGAACGAGTGTTGCAAACTTGACCAAATCAGGTCATGGTCGTCTTTGGAGGGAGATTGACCAAGAGATGCATGGATGGAGTCGACGGAGTCTTTGGAGCGAAAGGTTGAATGAGTGCCAGGGAAAAGGAGAGGGAAGAACCTGGAAGGCGCCCATGGGACCCAAAAAGGTACTGTACCAAGGGCCAACAAGGAAGGGGGGCAGTGACGGGCAGTTGACTGGGCCTTTCTCGCCCTCGTGTTGGTCCCCGTTTTCTCCATTCCTGCGGCGCTGCTCCCCCAGACCAACCCGACCCAACGGAAGGAACCACTCAGGGTGACCACTCACAACCACTGCACCGGAGACGCCCATGATTCTGACTGGAATTGTGCCTGGGAAACATTTGCGCCGCGGCGTCCCCAGCTCAGGGCAACGTAACGTCGTGTCTGTTCTCAGCCCTCACTCAGCTACTCAGCTGCAAGTAATCGTTCGTGAAAAACGGCTGGGACATGATTCGACACATGGATAATATCTGGCAGGGAATCCTCCAGGGCGAAAGCCATGCAATTCATGGCATGCCAACACTCGGTGGCTGCAGCAACGGCCCTTGCAGCACGCCTGCAAGAAGGGTTTTGGCGGATGGAGACAGAGGGCGCTATTCAGCCCTTGAACTCTTGAAGTTCCTGCCTCCATCGATGTCCGTGATGGCTGTTGAGATTTTGCGGTTTGCCCTCCGAAAGGCGGACCTGAGTTCCCCTCATCTGAACAAAATCGAAAAGTCAAATGTCTCTGCTGCTTCCCACTTTGTTTCTCATGCACAGCTGCACGGTTGACGGCATGACGTCCGGCCCTTCCTTTCTTGGGTCCAGTCGCTGGAAACATGCAGCAGTCCGTGTGTATGGTCGCTATCTGCACAGTGCTCATCTGTCCCTCCAGCGGCTGGCCTCGAAGCCTGAAGCCGAATGTTTTAGCGCTCTGTCTCTCTTTGAGGTGCCCCGGACCAGCACGCCGGAGCACTGCACTTGCACAGTGGCTTCCCGCTATCCAACCTGCCATCTGTGACCAGCTGCTGGACTGGCCTGTGCGCCTCCCATTTTGCGGTGTTCAGGCTCGGTTGCCACTTGTCGGTTCGAAGCTGCTTGGCAACCACCGACCACCCGACCACTGCAGTGTATGGTTGCTCTCACTGGTGTGTCTCCAAAATTTTATACGAACCATCAATCGCCTTCACCACCAAATTCAGTATCACCACTTTGCGGCCGCCCGAATTCTTGACGAACCGCCGATTCATCTTGGCCGCCAAATCTACACAACAACGGTCGACACCCCGATTTTTGCAACCGAGTTTTTCTACTTCAATCCATCATTGAGATCTCGGCAAGATGGGTGTCGCTAAACGGACAAGAAAATTCGCTACGGCACGTGACTTCTATAATCCCCCTTCTCATCTCACATCTCATGCTCACCACCCACCATGACCTCAGTCCCCTTGGGGTAATGGTCAATGTGTGTGTGTTGATGATTAGCATGGCGATATATCAGACATATTATAAATCGAAATGTATGAACTAACACATTCATTAGGTCAAGCGCATGATCGGCAAGAACGATGAGCGCCGCAAGACCGACGTCCAGAAGAAGCAAGAGTTGGAGTTGCAAAAGAAGAAGGAGGCCGCCGTCCGAGAGATCCCCCAGATGCCTTCGTCCATGTTCTTCGAGCACAACGAGGCCCTTGTGCCTCCCTACAACGTCCTTGTCGATACCAACTTCCTCTCCCGGACCGTCGGCGCCAAGCTCCCCCTCATGGAGTCAGCCATGGACTGCCTCTTTGCCTCGGTCAACATCATCATCACATCATGCGTCATGGCCGAGTTGGAAAAGCTCGGGCCCAAGTACCGCGTTGCGCTGATGATTGCCCGTGACGAGCGGTGGACTCGTCTCACTTGCGACCACAAGGGAACGTATGCCGATGACTGCATTGTCGAGCGTATTCAGAAGCACAGGATATATATCGTTGCTAGTATGTGTTTTTTTTCTTCTTCAGCCCTTCCGGTTATTGAGTCTATGATAGGACATGCATGGTTACTGACACGAGAAAAAACAGCCAACGATAGGGACTTGAAGAGGAGAATCCGCAAGGTTCCTGGTGTGCCCATCATGTCTTGCGGCAAGGGCAAGTACGCCATTGAGAGACTCCCTGGTGCTCCTGCCTCGTAAGGTGGTTGAGGACAACTAGGTGAACATCAAACATTGCGTCGCCTGCATTGCATTGCGAGGCTTTATGAATGGGAAGGGAGCATCCGTGGCATTTTAGAACGGACTGCTGCCCCAGGAAGGAAGTGGCCGTTGTGAAAACGAGTCCATCACCCACCGTACACAAAAGCCCCAACCGGCCCCTTTTGATAGTCGAAGGGCGACGAGCCAAACTTTGCACACAACGACATCGATATGGATGGATGCAGTAGCCCATCGATCCGTCCATAGCCGGCCCAATCTCAATAGCGGCGTTCTGAAAGGTGCTAGATGGGTTGGAGATGTCGGGTTCAGACAGCGAACAGAAAATGGGGAAGAAGCACCAGGGGAAGAAGGACTGAGGGAGGGAAGCAAAAAAGGGTTACCAGCAAAAAGGGGGATACCATACCACATTGCATCTGGGTCATAGAGGTTTCACACACATAGGGTTTTCATTTTGCTCGGCGTTAAAATAATGAGTTGATATTCTTCTGTCAAAAGAACACTTTTTGTCATCAACAGAACAGAGTCTGTTCTCGAGGCGTGTTTGACTTGCATTTGCTACGAGCCCTCTCGGCTCCTGTTGTCTCGAAAGCATCTGTTGCCCACGCAATATATGACCATTGGAGCAGCATGTTGCCAGGGAATGGTATGAGTCTTTTTGGTTTACTTCATTATTGAATAGTTTACCCTATCAACTCCTTCTATACACACACGCATCTGGTATACCTAGCAGAAGAACCCGACTCCAAGCACAGAGCAATAACATCAGTGTTTGTGCTGCAATGACAAAGACACAAGATCCAGTTTCGATAGTGTGAGGTGAGATAGATAGTTCAAGTCAACCAACAGTCAAATCCGTAAAAGTATGATGACCGCAAGGACATATGCAGACCCGTATAGTGTATACTATCGCCGTAGTAACTCCAACCGTCCAACGCCATCTCAGCAGACAGCTCGTCTGTTTCCTCCCTTTCGATTTTGAAACCTAGACAGACCCCCAATGACCATGTAGACTCTCCTGCGCACCACGCCGCTTACACAATGCCATGATAACACAACACCCGTTTGCCATGTCTTTTGCTGCGCGTATGTGTTTTGGTGACAAGACACTCCAATCCGATGAACCTTCAATTGACAAAAATGATATTACAAACCCAATGTAAAAAGTCCCCGGTTGCCGACTCCAGCTTTTGAGAACTCTCTTTTTGCTTTTCACTCCCCAAGGAAAAATAATTTGATAACAGTAAGAAGAGGGGTATTTTTGGATTCCATTTGCTCCCCTTTTTGCTCTGCCTGCTCCCCGATTTTTACCGACATTCGATCGCGTGGTGGAGGTGGATGGATTGCTACGCGAGCCACTCCTCATCAGCCCGCTTGTTCCCCCGCATCACCAATCCCTCGTCATCGGAATCGGAATCCTCCTCTTCCTCCTCGCTCTCGGAATCGACTCCACCATTTACGATATGCCCATTCATCCCATTGTGCCCGTTTTGATGTCCATTTTGGTGTTGGTAATGCTCCTCCTGCTGGTGGTGGTTATTATGATTATTGTCGATATTATTGCCGCCGCCTCCGTCGTCCTCCTCGATCATCCACGTGAGGCCGTTGGCTTGCTCCTCTAGTGGGAACACCTCGCGAGCGTACTCCTCCAACCCTCTTGGGCCTTCCCACAGCTCCAGGGCCGCCCGGGGGCAACTTCTCTCCAGCTCTATGTCGCCGAAGTATGGGGGTTGCTTCTCGGGATCCTCATTGTGTAGGTTGAAAAGCTCCTCGAGCGCCTCCAGCTGAATTCGATAGCCCTCGGGAATCTTGACCTTGACCTCGATTGGTCCGCGGACGTAACGTACAGGTCGGCCGACGCCCCGGGCAAAGACCTCGCATGCTTCTAGAGGGGTGAGCATCTCGTATGCTAGGGCGATGCGCTTGCCACCTCCCCACTTCTTGACGCCGTCCTTGAATATCTGCAGGATAGCCGGGCCCACGTCGTGCTCAGCATCGAGCCATGGAAGCTTGGCGTTTGGATGGAAGGGCGCTTGCCAGATCCACGATCCGTCCGGCTGCAAGTCGGTGCAGAAGAGGGGGTATGGCAGCGATGTGAAGTTATTGTTATAGATGCCGGTGTAGACAAAGGTTGCCGGAATGCCAATTTCCTTCACATAGTCCTCCACACGGTGCTTCGATGCCCAGAGCGGCAGTGATGGCCAGTCCTTGTTGTAGGCGTGGTGGTCGGGCATCGAGGAGTAGACGTAGTGTAGGACTCCGGCCTTTTTAGCAGCGTCTGCCAGGGCTATGCCAATCCTTTCCTCGTCTCCGTAAAACGTGGTGTTGATAAAGGCGAGCTGAGCGCCTCTGAAGAGTTCGGAAATGAGGGCGTGGTTCACGCCGATGCCGGAGATGGGACCATTCTTGGTGACGTCGACACATTGTCCCTTCTCACTCTCCGCAGGGGTCTCTTTGGTGTAAAGCTCGCCCTGCAGAACGGTAACGTTGGGATTCGTCGACACCTCGGTGGCCACAACACCCTCGAGATTCCTCATTTGGGCTCGTACGTGGAAGCCAACGGCAGTGGCTACTCTGATGAAAGAAGCAGCCTGTCGGCCGGCGGCGTTGATGACCGCAATCGTCTTATCGGGGGTCGGCATGGGGCGTTTGGCAGGACGCCAAGTCAGAGAGTTATTCCGCGACATGAGAGGGGACAGCTCTGAGTAGGAGGAGCGAGAGTGTTTGTGCCGCCTCTCTTCATTGTGCATGGTGTTGGGGATTTTGATGTCTCTTGGTGCTGGCCTCAGTGGCAGCTCTGATAGAATCTCGGCCGGCATGGTGGGCTGTAGTGCGATGGCCGGGTGTCACCGTCCTCCCAAAGATTCCCTGACTGTCTCAAACTTTTTCTACGAGGAGAGGGCCCGGCTAGAGATGCTGTGTCTCCCCAGAAAACAGGAGTCCTCTTCGAACAGGTGTTGGCGCAAAAATGCTCTTGCCGGTTGCTTAATGCGCTAAAAGGAATTTCCTATTGCGACCACCGCTATAAGTTCCCGTTGCGACCCTTTTCGGAAGCGGCAGGGAGGGTGATGATGGGCCGTAAAAAAAAAAAGTCGAGCTAAGCAGCGATCGTGGTTCTGGAAGCGCAAGGGCGGCGCAGGCGATACCGGTGAGAAAATTGCCGACCGAGGACAGGAAATTGCCAGGAAAGTGCAGGGCAGCGGATTTGATTGGATTGCTCTGGTCTGCTGATGTGCTTGCTGGCGGAACGGTGGCCCCGTGTACCGCGGATGGAATGGCGGTATCGTGCCCTGCTGAGTCGATGGCGTATTCTCTTTCTTTCTTGACCCGTCGTTTATCTATCAGCGGGGTTCCAATGGCGGTGTTAGAGATGTACTGTACTGCGTGCTGCACTGAGTGCTGGATGTCACTGCGGGGCAATTGGATAGGTAGGTCGGGTGGGTGAGAAACCGCAGGCGGCGGGCAGGACGGGAAACTGGACAGGGCGACAGGGCAGGGGAGGTGGAGGGAAGGAAGTAGGCAAGATAATGTAAGTACCTTTTATATGTACAAGTTCCTCGTACCTGTTGTAATGTCTGAAAACGATACCGTCTGCGTTGCCAAGTCAGGGACGGGACTCGAAGATCAATCGACAACTGAAAAGATCCGGATGTTGCAGATATGGGCAGCCGATAAGATAGGGAACTGAGGGAAGGCCGACTAACAGGAGGACAACGGGGAGGAATCTCCAAAGGACTCAGAACTCGGAAGCAGCCAGCAGCAGGATGGTGACAGCAACGGGCAAGAGAGATTGAAATCGAAACAAGAGCGAGAGAAGCGCGAGCGTATGGGACGGAGTGCGGTTTAATAGCAAGGAGATCCCCTGGCTGCTACTGAAGATGAGAGCGAAGGGCTCGACGACCACCAAACAAAGGGAAGCAAATAGAAAACGATTCTGGCCAATCGCATTGCGAGCAGCTATCCACTGGGTGAACCATCCAAGTAGCCCGCGAGGTGCGCGCAATGGTCCGGGCATGGTGCCTTCTGGCCATGGCTTCTCTTCCTGCCAGTGGTCCCGCTCGCTCCTTCTCAGCGGCTCCAGGGCAGGCGGACACCAGGCGAACACCAGGCGGAGGAGAGTGACAAGAATTTGCCATTTTACGGGCCGGGTTGATGGAGCCAGGAATTGCAGTCCACCGCGAGTCCACACCACGGTCCCCGTCCCGACACCGGGTTCCACTCTGGACCATGGCCCTGCTCGTCGACGACGAGAGCCCCATCTCCTTTTCGAGGACGACAAGCAAGCAAGCAAGCGAGCCCAGGCACGCTGTGAATTTAGATTCTTCATGGCATTCATGGCAACGGTTATCCGTCCAATTGGCATCATCGACAGATAGCATATCGTGGGGAAAACGACATTGGCGACGACGGAAGCAAGGCCCAGGACCCAGACGGGAATTTATCTCTTTAGACGCGGAAGCTCTCCAGACGGGATCATGTTCCCCAGTCTTGAGGTTGTCCACTATCGCCCTATGTACCCCAGGTAATTGGATACCGGTACCTGAAGTAGCAGTCCCGGTCTGACCGGGTCTTGGTATCTAGATAAAGGTGCAGCTAAGGAGGGCCACGAGGCCATGATTTTCAAGCATGGCGGCTGAGGGGGTGCCGTCCCAGAGTAAAACCTGTCTTGTTGGTGCAGTGTCGTCTGTGCAATGCGAGTTGCAATGGAACAACAGGAACAGACGAGGCGGGGAATGATAAGCGATAGATAACCCACCCGAATCACGATGCCTTCAGTCGAGGATATCTGTACATTGTACGACCGCAGCGGGCATATGGGACAAAAGAATTGGATCGTGGTGGTTGCACGGCTTTCTAATCTCACAGAGCGGTCAACCGGGCAGCCATCAAGGTACATTTGTACAGTATGGAACCCAAACGGGCAAGAGGTGTGGTGTGTGGTCGCCTTCTCGATGAATCAGATAAACACGATAAGCTAGACGTTTTGCTCGGCATGAGCCGCCGACGTGATAACAAAAATCCATGGTAGCATTGGCAGACATGGCAGGTCAGGGTTTAAATTGTCGATCAACAAATGTTTATCAGGACAGCATTTCGTTGTTTCTTGGGGCCTGCACAGGCCTAGACTCCTGACGGGTCATGTGCCTTTGTCTTTGATCCTGGCTTCAGCTTTTTACTACCTTGTCAGTTTGTTGTCTGTCAGGTGGTTTCCTCCCCTCGCACGTGCCTCGCTTTGTTGGACGTTGTTTCCTTCTCAAAAATCACCTAAAAATCCAAACATCGAATCCTTTCGCTCCTCCCCCATGCCCGTAGCGCAAAGAGGCTAAAACTGGCGCCGAAAAACTTTCCGATGACGTTTGGACGGACGCTGTGTGGACGACAGGCGGCTCCGGCCTTTCTCATGCAGCTAAGAGGTTGCTCTTACCTTATACCTTCCCCATCCAGTCCCCGAATCCCATTCTCTTTAGTAAAGCTTCTTGGCATCTCCCACGCTCTTGCCGCTCAGCTGCGGAAGACGTCTGGCGAGACCACTCGGTCAGGCTCTCAGCGCTCATCGATCCCAAAATCGCAATTTATATGAAGCCTCGACTCTTTGGCATAGCATTACATGGAGTCCGTCCCGATACGACCTGTCACCGCTCTGGAATCTTCTCTGCCGTTGATTGACGTGATTGAGGGTTGCTGAATGTTGGCCGTTGGGTCTGTATAACACACCAATACCACCTTCTCGGAGGGTCGTCGTCCATGGATGATTCCTCCAGGAGGCTCGAGTCGAATCGTCGTCGTTCCCAGCTACCCGTTGTCTGCAACAGTGCTTATTGCTTGGCGGTGACCTCCCTGACAGCCGGAGTACACCTCTGACAGGCCAAAGAAAAAGTCGGATCGTTCAAAAAAAAGCTGGCAGAAACGACGCTGGTGAGGCTGGATGCCGGCGGATCCCCTTTCAATTACGTACAAACCGGCTCACTAACACCCTTTTGGGGCAGTCTCATTGCACTTGAGTCACCCTCCCACAGGCGTCCATGTCGTCCACCACTGTCGACGTTGGCAATGTTGGATCGGCATTGGCTCCCGACTTCGCTGCCTCGTTCTTCCCGCGAGCAACATTTCCGCGGATGTCGCCTATGCAAGGAACCAAAGTTCTCGGCTGACCTATTTTTTTGTGTCCAGAGAAGTTGTCAAGAACCGTGTCCCCATGCTGTTTGGCTCGCTGAAACCTCGGCTGAAACCACACAACAATAGACACTATCGGGAGAGCCTTGCCGATAGCAACACTGGCACGGGGGGCCCTCTTTCAGCGCACCGCAGTGCCCTACGCCCCTACGAGCCTACGAAACAAGCTTGACAGGTCCCGTTTCTTCCCCGCAATTTTCTTCCTGCTGGCGGGTCAAAGGGCGGGGAAAGAAAGAAAGGAGTTCTTCTGGATGCCGTAGCGGTCAAGAAGGGAAAAAAACAAGCACAAGCGGCGGCACGACGCCGGCGTCAACCCATCCCGCTCTGGCGTTTCCAGCACCAACACACCCTAATGCGGCCCCGAACACACGGAAACATGGCGACATTGGACCTCACTCCACTGCCGGGTTCCACTGTATGACTTCTAGAACCATAAATCCGGCCTAGCTGTTCGCTCGAGCAGTGTCACGAGGCCGTTGGAAAATTTGTTCTGATGTGAAAATTTTCTCACACGGGCAGTTCTGCAATGCAGGGTGGCCTTGTGGCCTTGGGCAGTCTGGCAGTACGGAGCAGTCGCGGAGGTGAGTTCGGTCAGAAGATGATGACCCCCTGGAAGCGCCGGGCCGGTTTGCACCAGTGCGAACGGAAGTACGGGGACAGTGGAGATGGTTCCACGGGGGGCTTCCACTTCATCCACTTCGGATGAGGGGTCTAAAACTCCAAAAGTAACCTCACGATGTCGACTTTTAAAACAACAATTGCGAGAAACCGATGATGAGGAGAATGGCGATGCCCGACGGGCGGGGATGGAGATGGGTATGGGTTTCCGGTCAACACGTCGATCAGCTCTGTTGGTTCCGGGTCCGCAACCCAGGAAACTTCGATAAACTAACTGCCCGTCGACCGCCTGAGATAGTATGGCTCGCCAAACGCTTCAGAGCCAAAGTTCCTTCTACTCGTAACATTCGTACTATAATTACGGATGACGGCTTTGCGCACAGCTATAGGAAAGCTTTGGTCATGGGGAGAATTCATGTGCCATATATAACGTCTTCAAGGAAACAAGATGAGATGAACTGTCGCCAAGTCACGATCCCGAGTCTCTATAGTCCAACTATGACAACTCGGCAGTACTAAGCCGAACAAACTGCTATCTACGTTGACGACATGGTGAAGATAACACCCGCCGCTGGACAATGTTTTCGCAAACTCGAAGTTTCAATTAAGGAAGATCAAATATTTCGAAATTCTAGGATAGTCTTAGAGCTGTCTTCAACCATTGTCCAACAGCAACATAACAGTAAACTTATCACCAGATCATGACCGAGAGTAGCGTATGTATACCTAGCGCTTGTCTAACATTGGGAGTCCATCACATCACGAAGCATCACAACAAGCGGCCTCGAACATCGCGATGATGGCTTTCTCCCGTCGTGTCAGCCATCTCTCGCACACACAAGCACGGCAACTTTGGAGTCACCCATCCATCCCATCCATCTACTATCCTGTTTCTGTTCAGTAGCGTCGCGTATTTCCAAAGAAAATTACGGTGGCGACAAAACATAGTTTAGCCGCGATATCCTCCTGTAAGATATCTTAATCAGCCGGCTATCTTAGCTTTGAAATCAGGACGAATCGTCGTCACTTGTGAAACCACCCATCTCTCCGTTCTTCGTCGTCTCGTGGTGGCGTAGTGGCGTGATGACGGACAGACGGACGGACGGACTGCCCGGCAGAACAAACGAGGAAACGAGATAAGGCCAACCAACTGTTCATCGTCATCACGGCACTCAGTTTGGTCCAGTGTGAATGAAGCAAGAGAGAAAGGAAGGAACGTGCCGAAGAAAGCCGAGATGGTGTGAGTGTGTATCGTAATGTTTTGTGCGACGCTGCTTTGGATGCCTTGTTTGCTCCTGTGGTTCGTTGATGGTATTGTTAGTAGAAGTATGGTGTTCTAAAGAGGCAGGCTAAGATGGGACACGACGGTGGTGGTGAAGTATAGATGTTGGAGAACATGATTAGTGATCAAGAGAGAAGTGAAGAGGGAAGTAAAGAGAGAAGTAAAGAGAGAAGTGAAGAGGCCTGGTTTTGAAGGCAGCAACGAGGAAGTTCTCTGAAAAGGGTTGGCTTTACTGAACCAGAGCTCAGGTATAAGTCAACCCGAGCGTCTTCTCAAGGTCACAGCTGCTTGATGTCAAAGACTCACCGGCGAATGGAGAAACCAAGGCGATGAATGATCCAAGAAGAGGTTACTTTGTAGTCATGTCTTGATTACATTACGTAGATATGGGTATAGGCAGGTTGTGGTCTAACCAAAAACTCCGGTCCAACATAGACGGCGCAAAGGTACAGCAGCATGTGTACATCCCCCTGTGCCGAAAAAGCCATATCTATACTCTATATTCTATCCCATGCTTTCCAAAACCTTTTGCGTTCTTCCAACACCCCTCCCCATGAAGGGGGCAGACCAAAAAGAAGATCTAACAACAAGCTTAGAACTTGCCCTTAAGCAAGTTGCTGATCATCTCGCGGCCGGTAACGACGGAGGTGCGCCAGAGGGTAGGGAAATCGAGCGTGCTGCTGAGGGTATCGGCATAGCCGAAGAACAGCATGGGAGGGATCCAGCCGCGCGCATACTCGAGCGCGAAGCAGCTCTCGGGCATCTTGTACTGTTTGACGGTGCCGCGGACGAGGTGGTGGACGGAACCGGGAGGGTAGACCTCGGGCTCGTACTCGCCGGGGACGTAGGCAGTCTGAGTGCCGGTGAGGATGTGGAAGTAGTCGTCGGCGGTGTGGCGGCCGGTGTGACCCTCAGTGCCGATGGCAGTGCCTGATTTGTGAAGTGTGTTGTTAGTTATAGGTCCAAAGAATGCTGAGAAAAGCGTTTGGAGGGGGGCTTACCGAAGATGATCAGGTACTCGGTGATGGAGGCGTGGATGATGTACATGGCACCCATGGCACCACCAGCGTTGTTGAACACCCACTCCTCATCGTTGTTGACGTAGGGCGCAACGCCGTTGCGCTCGTTCAGCTCGTCGACAATGTACTTGACAATGGCCTTGGTGTCGCTGCCATGGGCGCTGATGGCGCGCTTGGACAGATCGTGAAGGTGCTCGGTATCGAAGACGTAGAAGGACTCGAGACGCTGCTCAAGGACGTAGGCGATAGGCGCAACCAGGGCGAACAAGATGGCGAAGAACTTGAGCCAGCCACCGATGCTGCAGCGGCAGCGGCAGCGGCAAGACGAACCGGAGGAAGAGCCGGAGCTGGAGCCGGAGCCGGACGGCTTGTTGCCGCCGGAGGAGGACTGCTTCTTGGAAGGCATTGTGACGGTTTGCGATTGACGAGACGGCACAATGTCAAGAACACAAGGAGAAACCGGGGAAAGAGAAGATGGGAATCTTGAATTATAAAGAAACAAAACAATGGCCACAACAATTCCACCGCCGACAGGGGGGGTTCGCGATCCCAACCTCAACAACCCACGGCAACCCCTGATTCCTTGTGGAGGACCCTGAGGTTGCTGTTGCAACATGCCCGCCCAGGCGGGTGTCGCGACTTCCGACACGTCTGACTTTCCACAAATTTGGCCAATGAGAACGCTCAATTGCGCGGATAGCGTTGAGACGAGTTCTAGGGGAGCCACTGCCGCGACCAATTGGGGACAGACACACCGGCAGGCTGGAGTGCTTTCAGAAGCTCCCCTCGCCGGCAGCTCGTCCGGCAGCACTCCGACAGGGGTTTCCAATTTTTCGGTGCCCCTCCGTCATTGAGTCCCGTCCGCGGGCCCGGTCAATCACATTTCGGTATCCGAACATCTATCAGAAGCTCTAGGTAATTTGTTATCGCCGCGGGGTCCGTTCTATCGTATCGTTATCTCTAGTTTGTTTAGTTCCCTTTGCGCGTCGCACCGCGTCTCTTACAATCCCACTTTCCACCCTTTCGCAAACTTTCGTCATCGACCCAGAACGACCGACACAATGGCGACGACATCCTCCTCCCCTTCGATGGCCATCCCCGGCCAATTCCTTGGCCCCATCTCCAAGTTCCAACCCGGCCCTGGAACCCATATCCACGAGTCGAACCTCTACTCTTCGCTGCTCGGCGTCGTCAACATCACACAGCCTGCCAAGGCGCCTGGTCCTGCCAAGCGCTTGAACAAGATCATCAACACCCAGACTACGCCCGCCGAGCTGCCGACCATCTCGGTACTGCGCTCAGCGGGTTCGTCAGACAAGCGCGAGGTGCTGCCTGAAGTGGGCAACATTGTGCTATGCCGGGTGATTCGCATCATGCCGCGCCAAGCGGTCGTGGCCATCCTGATTTGTGGCGATACTGTTCTGGAGGCCGAGTGGCAGGGCCTGATTAGAGTGCAGGACGTGAGGGCGACAGAGAAGGACAGGGTGAAGATCTACGACAGCTTCAGGCCCGGTGATATTGTCAGAGCTGAGGTGGTGAGTGCTCTTCTCCTCTTCTTGTCATTGAACACTTTACTGATGTGCTGCCATCTACTAGATTTCTCTCGGTGACCAAGCAAGCTACTACCTGTCGACAGCGCGCAACGAGCTCGGTGTCATCATGGCGACAAGCGAGGCTGGAAACACCATGTACCCCGTCAACTGGAAGGAATACAAGGACCCCGAGACCGGGCTAAGCGAACCCAGAAAGGTTGCGAAGCCCTACTGAACTCGGCGGGTAGAGGTTCGAAACGAGTGATGAACAAAGATGCTCAAGACGAAATGCATAGCGGAGTTACTGGCTTGAGGTACAGCGTGTTATCATGATGATACGGGCATCAATCCTGCTCGAGGAGCTCGCCGGGCAATGGAAGCACCTCTTATGGGCTTTCAAATGCGGCGGCAGGTCGACCGTTGAAACGTCACGGTTCTCCAGAGGCCCGCCCATCGACAGATTTGACCGCTCCACAAAGCCTACAAGTCTGAGGGCGCAAGACCAACGTTGGATCCAAGCCTAGAGATATCTTGGCCCAAGAATCTCTGGCGGATACTCCCAGTACGCCAAGTTAGACCGTGCAGAAAAGGGTCTGGGGCGATGGGGTGCGCGTTCGGAGAAGTATGGAACTCGAACATGTCAAGACTTCAATTCTTGACACAGCGGAACAACATAGTTATGATACAGTGTCCACTTCGGAGATCATGAAGATGATGACGGGCTATGATCCTGTCACGCCATGGGAAGATATAGTGGCATTAGGCCAACCTAAGCCTGTCATTGCGTTAAGGAGCTGGATACCCACTATTGAATAAAGATACCATTAACCTTCTTCATATGTGTTCTATTGTTCATCTTTCCGTGCCGTCATCCGCCCCCTGGGCCCCTTGGGCCAAACGTTAATGGGTGTTGTTTCTTTAGGGCAGCTCAAGGGCGGCTCGGCGTCTCCCACTCCCCCACATGGGCCTTGCATCGTGCATGCGGTACCTACATACCGCTGAAGATCATCGGAACGGCGGGGGGCTCAGAACGGGAGGGCGGTACGTCACCGAGACCCTGCGTGCCTTGAACATCTCCACCCATTTCTTGTCCTCCCTTTCACAGCTTACTCATTCCTCAAAAAAGGAGGAGAAAGAGTGAGATCTGGCGACGTGTTGGTCAGCTTCGCCAGCGCCTCCAGATACACAAAACAAATACCCAGACGAAAACAAGAAGCCCCTGCCCCTGTTTCTACGGGAACCAAGCCATCCCCACCGCAACCGCGTCTCCATCCAGTTTTCCCGTTCCTGACAGGAGTCCACTTGGTTCCCGAGAAGAAAAACATCGAGACCGGACGAACCGTTTCAATCCATCACCATTTTCCGTCCAATCCGACAAGGCGCGGACTCCCGCTTCCCGTCGATATTGTCCGTCCTATCGGGGCCCGGTGAGCCATGTCGACCACCACCACCATGACGATGATCGCCGCCCCCGTCGTCGAACCCGTCACCACCTTGTCTACCGCCCCTTGCTGCCCGCAATGCGGTATCGATCTTGAGGGGACCCAACCTTTGGTGGAGATGCAAGCGGCCGTTCTCGACGCCCACAACAAGATCCAAGAACTTCAAAACCAAGTGCGCCTGCTCAACGAAAAGGCTTCATCCGCCGTCGATCGCTGGGCCGATTACGAAGACGAGATAACCCGACTACGGGGCCAACTCAAACAGCAACAACAACAACAACAACAACAACAACAGCAACAACAACAATCCCAAACCTCCCCAGCTGCCTCCCAAATATCATCACCGCAACAACAGCAACAACAACACGCCGCTGCTGCCCTCGCCACCCCTCCCCAATCCGCAACCCCCTCCACCACCGCAACAGCCAACGCCTCCCCCGCCGCCCCTGGCAGCGTCGGCTCCATCTCCTCCTTCCTGCCCACGGGCGCCGCCTCCCGTCTCTCCGCCTTCTTGACCTCGCGCAAATCGACGCCCAACCTCAAATCCGCCGGTTCCCACCCGCATATGCCAACGCACCAATCCACCCTCTCGCAATCCTTCACCCAAAGCAGTCCACTCCAACAACCCTTCCAATCCACCCCTTCCATCACCCAACAACAACAACAACAAAAGGAGATTTCGGACCTCCAAGCCGCCTTGAGCACGGAAAAATCGCTGCACACCGAAACGCGCGCCAAGCTAGCCAAAGCCGAAACGAAACTCACCGCCGCCTCGCAGGAGATCGAGGAGCTATCGGTCACCCTGTTCTCGGAAGCCAACGAGATGGTCGCGTCGGAAAGGAGGGCGAGAGCGAAGCTGGAGGAACGGGTGAAGACGCTGGAGAAGAGAGACGAGCAAAAAAAGGAGAGGCTGGAAATGTTGGAGGGGGCGGTGAGGAGGATGGAGAGGGTGAGGGAGGTGTTGAGGGAGACGGAGAATTTGGAGAGGGGAATAGGGAGGGGAGAAGACGCGGATGGAAGTGATGATGAGATGCACACGCTGCCGGTGGCGGTGGTGAGGAAGGAGAATTCCAGGCTGGATCTGGATGATTGAGAGGAAGGAGGACAGTGGTAATATTTAATGGTAATGGTAACCTATCCCGGATAGAGGGAGGAGGGTACTTTAAATCTAATGTAATGACGGGGATGAATGGGTACTATGTAGTCTAGATCTTGTTTTTGGGCTAGCATCTGGCGGAAAAAGGAAAACCAGGGGCAGGCAGGCATCATGACGGAATTGCATGGTCGGCGGGCTGGTTCTTGGATATAGACGGGGTCGGGAAGGAGCATTCATGGCGGCAGCATCGGAATATCATCTTGGACATTTCAAAGCTGTGTCCACCTGAATAACATCATATGAGGCATCTTGACCTTGACCTCAAAATAATCAATCAATATTAATTGGGTATACTTCGCTTTATTTTGTTTTCGCTTGCTTTGAGGATAATGAGTTCTTATGCCTTTGTTTCAGGCTCCGTCTTAACGGTCTCCTCGTCCTTTACAGGCGCGGACTCTTCTACTTTGACCTCACCTGCGGGCTGCTCCTCAGCCTTGATCTTCTCGGCCTTGATCTCCTCAGTCTTGACCTCTTCGGTCTTGGGCTCCTCCTTCTTTACTACCGGCTCAACAGCCTGGGCCTTGCCGGCCTTGTCCTTGTTGTTCCACAGATCCAAAGCCTTCTGGATCTTGGGTGCCCAAACGTCCTCGCCCAGGGCAAGGTCCGAGTACTCCATGCAGTTATCCGTGCCCAGAACGAACTCGCCTTGCCTAGACCTAACCAATTCAGCCATCATAGCGCCGCATCCAAGCTTCTCACCCAACTCATGGCACAGACTGCGAACGTAAAAGCCCGAAGTCACGGTCATGCGGATCTTGGCAGCCGGAGGACCCTTGCCCTCCCAGGGGAACGGGGTATCGGGCGACGGCGGAGGAGGAGCAAGATCCAGACCCCTATTCTTGGCGTACTTGTCCTGCTTCTTGTCTTTGCCCTTCTTATCTTTCAGAGCACCAGACATCATGGGCTCAGCAGCACCGGTCTCCGTCTTCCTCTTCTTGCCCGCGGGCTCCTCGGAAACCAACTCGTCAACCCGTTCCTCGGCCGCGCGCTTGTTGCTCTCGTGGTCCGCCAACGCCTTGACCTCCTTCTCCACCACCTCCGGTATTAACGTCGCGGCCTCCTCTGTGCTGGTTGTGCCGTCCTGCTGGTTTTTGGCCACCTGCCACACCGACTTGACCACGTTCTTCTCGGCCTGCTCGGCCTCCTCGGTCGGCCACCGGTGGTTGTGCGTGCCGGGCTCGTACCACTCGGTCAGCTCGAGCTCCGTCACGTCGACCTCGCGGGTCTCAATCTCACGGGGGATCGGCTTGCCCTCGCGCGCGTATTCGTATAGGGGCTTGCCGTTCATCTTGAGCGCCGAGTAGAGGGGAGGCATCTGCTGGAACTTGCCGCGGAAGGAGTTGAGCGCTTCCTCGACCTGCTCGCGCGTGATGTTGCTGTAGTCGCCCTTCTTGATGAGCTTGCCAACGCGGTCGTAGGTGTCGGTGCTGGCGCCGAAGACGACAACGGTCTCGTAGGTCTTGGTGCAGCCCAGGAAGTCGTGCAGGGCCTTGGTGCCCTTGCCAACGCCGAGGATCAGGATACCGGTGGCAAGAGGGTCGAGAGTGCCGCCGTGACCGATCTTGACGTTGATATCCCGCTTGGCATGGGTGCGGCGTCGCTGTTGGTATCTGTTTTCCTTCTCGCGGAGGGCGCGGTCGGCTGCCAGGAGGGGCGCGAAGAGCTTGGATGGGTTGAAGTGGTGTTGGCAGTCGCGGATAACCTGGGCAGAGCTCATGCCATAGGGCTTGTTGATGGCTGTTATTGATGTCAAAAACGGGTCAGTTTTATCTCTTCATGATGCAGACTACATGTACAGAATGCGCGCTGAAGACTGAATGCGTAGTGATGACATACCGAAGACGCCCTCAGCGAGCTTTTCGTGTGCCATCTTGTAAATTGACCTCCAGATCATTTACAGTCTCTGGGATTTGGTGTAGGAGGAACGGGGTAATATTCGGGAGTAAATAAGCAACAATGGACCGACACAAAGCAAGAACGTGCTTCCAATTGGAGTCTGCGCAGGAAGCTGTCATTCAAAAATTCCTAGACTCGGACCTGACGCTGCAGGGGACCGCTCACTTACAGTTCAACCCTTAAAAGTTTGTTAGCGCGGTTCTTGTGACAGGGGTCTGCAAAACTTCACAGAAAAACAACGGGACAACCACATTCAAAACGGAAAATTGGATAAAGTGTATAAAGCCTCCAAAACGCATCTGGTTGATACCAACTTCTTGCATGAAATGGGGTGGAATGGTGGTTGAGTTGCGAAGAGTGCGTAGTGAAGTCCCGCGCTAACGAACTTTCCAGGGGTGATGTGTATTTTAGGGCTTATCGTCTATTATCAGCAGCGGATGCGGAGCCGAGAAACAGGGGTTTAAGTGCCTAAGCCCCACCACTGACGAACGATTTGGCAATCCCACCGTCGAGGTCGCTGCGCGTGTGGACAAGTCGCGTCCATTGGCCGTTGCCCCAGGGCCTTGTCTTTTAGAGAAGCATCGCGTTACATCCCACTTCCACTCCCACGATACCCTTTTGCTGACTGTTTTCCATCCACTCTCCATCTCTCTCTTTTTTTCTTTCAATAATTATTGTGTAGAATAGTTCTATACTCACTCTTGCCTCAGAGCCCAAACAACTTCATAGGTGGCGACTTGAACTTTTACGAGGAGAGGCTGTCACCAGTGTTTAAGAGCTCGAAATTCAGGGAACTTCCACGAGAAGACCAGCTTTCCACCAGTATTTCTTCAACCTCGATATCCACGACCAAATTATCACTGAACTCGTTTCGTCGAACGAAACAATAACAACAACATGGCCGGACCAGGACGCCCACGGCGCAGAAGAGGCTCTAGCGCATCCATCGACTCGACCGACGACAGGCGCCGGCGATGGACAAGGGAGTTGGCGATCCTCAAGCCTGTTACCCCAGGAACGTCGGATGACCTGTGGCCATATTTTGCCGTGTTGACGGATGCCACCATCTATCAAAAGGATGGAAAGACGCTGGCAAACCCGCTCCATGTCGATCTCGAGGGGCCGTTTATCGTACGCGGAAAACTTGAACCCGTGGAAGACGATGACGACGAAACTCGCGAATACTGTATGTTGACTTGATGACGCCTGTTCCCCTCTCGAGATTTCCCCGCTCAAACGCTAACAATCAGCAAGTCCACAAGCCATACAACAAAGCGACGTATATCGAAATCTCTAGATCAGAACGATACTCGATCGGATTTGACCCAAACACCCTTTGGGTTTCTGGCGCATCCGGATGGTTCGAAATTATTCCCTCGAGGAAATACGAAGCCATGTACAGCCAGGTCATGGAGGCAATCACCCTTTACTATGGAATCATGGGTCCTTACGAGGAGTTCAAGAGGCTGCTAAAGAAGGCCGACAAGAAGAAGCGCAAAGACAGGAAGCCGCCACCTCTAGACGAAATCTTCTTTACATACGCGCTTGCGGCAGGAGATGGGGGCGTCACTGTAAAAGAGGAGGTTGAGGCCAGATGTCACAAATGGGCACAATTCCTGTTGGCGCATTTTCCCAAGGAATCGGAGATCAAATGGCAGGACACTGAATTTGCGGCTTGGCTGCAAGCAGCTCACCCAGACCTTCAAAAGAGGATTAGCGATGTTGCTGCTGGATTGCTCACCAAACCAGCTGCTGAGCCCGAAGGCTTACTCGCGCGGGACGACTACTCGCCTCAATCCCAAAGCTTAGCGATTCGTGAACCACCGAAAGGCAGGACGACCAAGACCAGTCGACAGGCTAGCGAGCTGTCAGACCAACGCTCAGACAAAGGAAAAGGCATAGCCAGAGATAGCCCCTTGGGAACTCCGGCCCCAGCCCCAGTATCAACCCGTCATTTACCTTCAAATTCCCCTCATCCTCGGGCGTCTCCCGCCGTCATCACTGGCAGCGACGATCTTCCCGATGACCCAGTCGATCGACTTATCATTCTGTTGGGAGAAGTTGCCCAACGTGTTGACATCAAGAAGGGGAAGATGTCACAGATCAACGCGAATTTATTCTACAACTGCAGGATCAAATACTACACTGCCGCCAGGGAGCTATGTGAGCACTTTGCAAAGGATCTTCTTGAGCGATTACCACCAATGTGGGACAACACACCATACAAGGCTTGGCTTGAGGACGTTGTTGAGAATGGACGCCCTGCTCCAACGGAATTAACAGTGGAGGACATTCCTCAATATTTAAATCGTCGGAACCGGCGGCAAACACATGCAAGTCGCTTGTCAAGCGCTCTCGGGGCTTCCCCCAGTGTCGAAGCCGAGTCGAAGGACGAAGTTCGGGCTGGAAAGCAACCTCGGGTAGGCCGCCCATCCGGCAAGGTGGCAACCCTGCGTGTGGCAGGCTCCAAGCGACTCGCATCCGATATGGCCGATGAAGACGACATGCCGCCCCGGCGCGGACGAAAAGCACTAAAACGAACAGTCGAGGCGGCGGAAGACGAGGATAGCGACGCAAACAGCGTCATCATCGATGTAGCCGACGACACGGGCGTCATACCGAAAGACGCAGTCCGAATAGTAGTCCAGGCCGAGCGCCTCCCAACCATGTCACCGGCCGGTCCTAACGGGACCTGGACGTGCGATCAGGAAGGGTGCAGCTACGTGGTCCGGTCGGCGGACGAGCCCGCGGGTCAGGAGCTGATCTCGAAGCATTTCAAGGACCACGAGGAGCAGGCACAGAAGATCAACTTGGCGATGGAGGAAAGTAGGGCTGGACATTTGCCTATCAAGTATGACTTTACTTTATTGTCTTCTCCTCCACGTTAAGCTTCGTTCAAGACTAGTTATCCTAACAAGATATTACAGTCATCTCCTCGATAAAATCCAGGCGATGGGGAAGAATGCCCTGGCTAAGAAACGGGGTTCGCTCAATGGGGAGCCGCTGCCTCTTCCGATCAAACGTCGGTTGTTGATCTAGGTCGACAACGCAATGTTGATGGTCATGCTCCATCGCTGCCGCCGCCTCCACAAACCTGCCTCGCCCTCCGAGCGGGTAATGGTCCCTGACCGACACTGGCGGTGCGGAAAAGTTACCAATGGGATTCAAATGATACCCTCTGTTTGTTGTCTTTATACTGTATCGAATACAATCTACTTACTTGGCGTTGGGTGGTGTCCAAGGATGAAGTCTACCAGGAAACGAAAGGGGTGTTTTGGAGTTCATGGAGATTCAGGTCATACGGAGGAGGTCTGAATCAATTGTTGCGAGGCAGATGTTTATGGAATCAAAAAGGGGTATGGCTCCAATCAGCGCTGCTTAGTCTTTCACGTTGCTATGTGCATAGTCCTAAGGTGTACCTCTTACGTTGTGGGAAGTGCTACCTACAAGAGAGCACGAGTGTGGTACCGCGATGTAAAGGTTAGGTCATGTATTATATCCGCCCCTATGGACCACTTAACATCCTGCGACCCGGTCGGCGTATATAGCCAGGTAGAAACCAAGCGTTCCTCTCCTTCAGAGTTCATTGGTACCGACATCACCAGTTCAAACCACGTAGATCGTTTTGCAGAAGTGGGCTTGACCTCCTATCCATCACTCAACTTCCCCCCCCCCCCTCTGTCCGTACTCGACGCTTGTATAATCGCTCCTATTTGTTCGCTAGCTGAAAATCGAATCGCTTGCCGACCAGTAAACCAGTAAAGCCAACGCTACGCTTTGCCCAGCCTGCCCAGCCTGTCTCTCTGTTCGTACTCTGTATACACACCTATTCCACTTCCTTCCCCCCTCCCTCCCTCCTCTTTCATGTCCTAGACCAACCTTCTATCGCATCCTAGGATTACTAGGCAACCCCATCCTCCCTCCTCCCGGCGGCGGTCTAGGTCCACTCGGCAACCCGACATGTCCTTGATGGCCACCATCATACCCCCCTCCTCCTCCTCCTACCGACCCTGTCCTCTGCTGGGAAGCAGCAGCAGGCGGCGCAAACGGCCCACTCCCACCCGAGTTTCCAGGACTCGTAGTCCTCGACCCGCCCCAAAGCCTCTGCTTCAACTTATCCTGCGCACTAATCCCGCTGCTCCCACTATGTTGCGCAGGCATCGACGCCGCGCTGCTGGCTGCGCCGCCTCCTGCTGCGGGGCCGTAGGGTCCTGCTTGTTGATGACCGTGGCCGCCGGCTCGTAGGCTTTGTGGTGCTCCTCCTCCTCCTCCTTGATGCTGTCCTGCTCCTCCGGGGTGGTACCCACCATGGCCGGGAGCGGCGTTGACAGAAGGCGAAGAAGCAGCCGAAGTAGCAGCTGGGGCAGCGGCGGCGGAGCGGGCGAAGGGGTTTCGACTTTGCGCCGCTGCACCCTGTTGCGCAGCACCACCTCCTCGGCCGGCACCGTTGTTATCCCATAAGCTGCTTAACTGTTGTTGACCGCCATAACCATTTAACCTCTGCTGTTGACCAGAGCCGTATTGTTGTTGCTGTTGAGGAGCAGGAGGAGGAGCCTTGGGGTCGGGAGGCAGCCAGGAGGGAAAATGTTGGCCCTTTTCGACGTAGTGGGCGCGCAGGACGCGGCAGACGTGGGTGTCGTCTTCGGTGTCGCCGTCGGCTTCGCCAGAGAAGTAGTTGCGTTGGAGCTTGGTGATGTTGTTGGAGAGGTTGGAGTACCAGGAGGACATCTTGGTTGTTGCCTTTGTGTTGTTGTTGTGTGACGGATGTTCTCGTGGGTGGTAACGTGAGTGGGTTACGTTCGGTTGGTGTAATTAGCTATCTGGTGTCGTGGATTTTGTTGTGTGATGTTGGGAAGTCAAAGTGAGGTTTGTTTCTGTCGGTGACGAGGTGCTACGGCCAGCAAGCACCCCTAGATCGGATCGCGAGATCGGGCGGTGGGAAGCTCCTTTGGGTGATTATCGCGGGTAAGGGTTATGGTATTATTAGGCGCGGTATTGCGGTTGGGTATGAAGCTCGTATTATTTGGTTGGGAATTGGAGGTTTGTTGGTGTCCCGCGTACAAAGAAACAAAGGTTCCCAAAGTTCCTTGTTCGTGACCTGTGGAAGGTGAAAGATGGATCGATCGCCAGGAGAGATGGGAAAGGCGGCGTGGGTTCCAAGGGGCGTTTCATCAATCCCATGCGCGACCGTTACCTCCTGTCCTGAAGAGACACTGCCCCACCTATAAGTACGTACCAACCTTCCTAACTTTGCAGCGTGGGGAGCCTGTGGCCCGCCTATAAAATGGCAAATGGCCAGAACAGCGGCTACCAGCAGGGTGATGCATGCACTTTCGCTCCTCGCGTATCACAATCGCGAAGCATATGATCCGGAAAGTATACCTACAATTAGGTAGTTCAGCTTGAACAAACAGTGTAAACATGAAAAGGGCTCTATTTCTACGAGCCATGCAATCATTACATAGCAGAATGTCCAGACTGGTGACCAATCTGCCAGATGCCAAGGTATCATATCTAGTACATCAACAACATCAAATCCTTCACATCCGTCTTTTAGAAAGCAAGCAGCTTCTCCCTGTCCGTCTCGTGCTCCACCTCGATCTCCTTCTTTTTCCGCGCCTTCATCTTGGTGACCTTGCCTCTCTTCCTCTTGTCGCCCGCCTTTGTCTTCTTCTTGGTATCCTCCTCGCTGTCACCCTCATCGTCGTCGTCATCATCATCCTCATCGTCGTCCTCCGCATCGTCCTCGTCGTCGCTGCCGAGCCAGTCCTCGATATCGTTGAGCTCGTCGTCGGTCTCTTCGAAGTCGGACACGTACTCGACATTGCCGTCCTCGATCTCCTCCTCGAGCTCTTCCTCCTCTTCCTCCTCCTCGTCCTCGTCCTCGATACCCTCATCCAAATCCTTGTCGCGGGTACCCTCGCCCTCCTTCTCGAGACCGTGCAGCACCTTCTTCCAGACAGACTCGGAAACGTTGAGGGGCTGGTCGCCGTACATTCCTTGCCTGAGACGCTCCAGCAGCTCTCTCTCGATCGTCCTCTCCAGCTTAGCGGCAATGAGCGCCTTGCGCTCTCTGGCCTCTTCGCGGTGCTTGACCTTGGGCGCCATCTTGGGTACGAGCTTCTCGCCGAGACGGTCCTCCTCGGCGGCGAGTTTGCGCATGCGGGTCGCGACTTGTACGAGGCGGGTGAGGCGCTGCTTGCACTTGTGGAGGAGGAATTTGGGGAAGTATTGGAGGCGATCCTCTATTTGCTGGAGGGCTTCGGCGTAGTTTTGCGACAACTTGATCTTCTCCCACCATTTGGAGGGCATGTGGGCTCTCTCGATCTGTAAGGGGGGCATGTGTCAGCTTAGTCGGTTCCGGGGATACGGTAGGTTCGCCACCAGTAGAGTGAACAGGTATACGCACGGTCTTGATGTAAAGGTATATTGTGCCCTTGGGCGAGGTTCTGACGGTCGCATAACGGCTGTTGGCTAGGGGGCAGCTCTGCCTGTTGCAGAAGCCGCTGACGTTGTACTCATTTCTGCAAAAGTTGTTGCCCTTGGTCGTCTTGAGCTTGAAAGCACAGAACTGCTCTGTAGGTTTGAATGTTAGCGACACTGCGGGGCAGGCCTTCGACTTTCGAAGGAGACTGTGACATACGGTTGATGATCTGCCAGACGATTTCGTCAGACATGTTGACTGTGGTTGATCTGATCTCCTTCTAATTGTCGGGGTATCTTCAAATTGGCGTTGTGGTGGAAAAAGGTCAACTTCCTTCTCGAAGAAGGAGGAGGAGCAGGTCGAGTGCACGATGAGATGGAGAAGACAGAGGCGTGGCTGCGGTTGCCCGATAAAAATTTAGAAATGGATCTTCTGAACTTTTGATGCGGTCGATGTGGTCCGTGCAATCGCTGGACATCCCGGCAGCTCGGGGTCAGGGCCAATCATCTTACAGCGATATCTTCAGAGTGGCATCTCAAAGTCTTGGCACTCGCTCTTGGTGCAGGGGTCCTGTTTATCAACCCGCCATCGAAGGTTCACCATCTCTTTATCAGTGAAGACATCACTTGTGAAAAGGGCTTCATGTCTTTCGGTTGAGGTCAATGTTCCGCCATGCGCTAAGACGAGCTGCTATTTACCGACCGGGGACTTCCCGAGTCACTTCACGTTCGCTACTACCTCGGCCACAGCAGCCATGTCTTATCCGCATGGCACGAAGCTATCATGAGTTTGGCCATAGGGCGTCTGCCTTTGACGCCGTCTCTGGGGGCAAGAGTAGAGACTCGACTCTGTCCTTTCTCACAAACGACACCATCTATGCCCTCTCATCAGGATCAGGAAGAGCTGGCATAGCTGTAATCCGTATTTCTGGACCTGGTTGTCTTGATGTAATAACCTCCTTCCCACACCCATTTCTCCTGTCGTGACTAACACCAAGCAAAGGTCTACAACTCACTATGTCCCACCAAACCCATTCCCAACCCCAGATACGCCGCAGTGCGCACTCTAACCGAGCCCACCGAATCCGGCAAGGATGCCTCATCATCACCACCAGCTAACGCCAACGTCCTCGACACCGACGCTCTGGTCCTCTACTTCCCCGGTCCCAAGACCGTCACAGGCGAGGACGTCCTCGAGCTGCACGTGCACGGCGGCCCGGCCACCGTCAAGGCCGTTCTCTCCGCCATTCCCAAGTCCACTTCTTCGGGTACCATCCGCTACGCCGAGCAAGGCGAGTTCACCAAGCGCGCCTTCCTCAACAACCGACTAGACCTCGCCCAAGTCGAAGCCCTCGGCGACACCCTCTCCGCGGAAACCGAGCAGCAGCGACGGGCCGCCATCCGCGGCACCTCAGGCGTGTTGGGCAAGACGTACGAGTCCTGGCGGGAGCAGCTACTCCTAGCCAGGGGCGAGATCGAAGCCCTGATTGACTTCAGCGAGGACCAGCACTTCGATGAGTCACCTACGGAGCTGCTGCGGAACGTCACCCATCTCGTTAAAGGGATACTGCATTCCATCAAGCTGCACGAGATGGGCAGCCAGCGGAGCGAGTTACTCCGCAACGGCATCCGGATCGCTTTGCTCGGTCCGCCGAACGTGGGGAAGAGCAGCTTGATGAACTTGATTGTGGGGAGGGAGGCGAGTATCGTGTCGTCTGAGGCTGGCACGACGAGGGATATTGTTGAAGCTAGTCTTGATATCCGCGGGTATTTGTGTTCGTTCGCTGATACGGCTGGTATTCGCACCCGCTCGTCCCTTTTACCGGAAGAGGAAGAGGAAAAAAAGGAGGAGGCGCCAATCGGCAAGATCGAAGAGGAGGGTATCCGTCGCGCGAGACAGAAGGCTCTTGACTCAGATGTCATTATCGTTCTGGCTTCTGTCGAACCCCATCCCAACGGTGGTGTAGAAGGTTACCGCCTAAACTACGACCTCTCAACCCTCCACCTCGCCTCTCAAGCGCCAGAATCCCTTCTGGTGATTAACAAATCCGAGACCGTCCCTCCCGCTGTCCTAGCGCAATTAATCCGGTCCTTCAAAACCGACGTCCTCTCCACCCACCTCCCCGCGGACTCCCCGCTCAAAACCCAAGACCCGGTCCTCATCTCCTGCCGAACCGCCGAGCAACGCTCCGGGGGTGTTGACGACACAGACCCAGGCAAAATCCACCACCTCATCTCCCGCCTGTCCTCCTCCTTCGCCGAGCTGACCGCCATCCCGCAAGACATGGAGCACTTGCTAGGCGTCACGGCGAGGCAGAATGAATTGCTTGGGCAGTGTAGAGATGCGTTGGAGGATTTTATGGCTGAGGCGAACCCGAACACGACGACTGTTGAGGGGGATGTCGTGAGGATGGGAGAGGATGAAGTGGAAGCGGATATTGTGCTGGCGGCGGAACATTTGAGGGTGGCGGCGGGGAGGTTGGCTGCTATCACGGGGAAGGGAGAGGCGGGGGATGTGGAGGAGGTGTTGGGGGTTATTTTTGAGAAGTTTTGTGTTGGGAAGTAGGGGAGGTGATGAGGGCGGGAGTGGGATGGATCGTGGATGGAAGTGGGACTTTGGATGGATGAGTTGGGTAAATGAAGAACAATGATATATGCTGAAGTCTATCCTTCTCTCTAGTCCTTTGTCCTTTCTTTCTATGGCTACCATTACATCCTCCAAGTTCTTTCCATGAGTCCTGTGAGGACTGTTAAATCTAGTCTATAGCAAGCTGGAAGAAAAAATGCTGAAGAAACGAGGTAGTAAAATAGAGGTTAAAACAGGGTAGAAGAGACCAAACCCCAAACCATGTCCCCCTTCTATTTCCAAACCCCATGCATGCCCGTGATCATAACCGTACTCAACCTCACCACTATCAGTCATGAATGCCCGCCAGAAAGCGAAAACCTTGAAACTCCCCAACCTATGCTATGCCATAAAAGTGAAAGCCCCTTCCCTCTCTCCTCCGCATGTCCAGAAGAAAGTTACCATAGTCGAAACACTCCACCCCAAACTCCGATAAACTCCAAAAATATGCAAGTCGAATGTGCCGTTGCCGGTGTTGTTCTTGTACAGTATCAAAACAGGTCGTGCAAGTATAGAATCAGAAGCTTCTAATGTTTACTTCTGCTGCTCATCATCACCATCGTCGCCCCTGAAGAGTGCTTGTTAGTTATCATATCATTAACATAGGGGGGATCAGGATAACTCACTTGTTGTAACCAGAGCGGCCAAAGTTGCGGAACTTGTTCTCCTCGTCGTCATCGCCGTCCTTGTTGTAGCCGGAACGTCCAAAGTTGATGAGGTTCTTGTCTTGCTCCTCATCGTCACCGTCCTTGTTGTAGCCAGAGCGGCCGTAGGCGACGGGGCAGCGGGTGGTGGAGGATCCCATGACGGCCATTGTGAATGATTTTTTGTGTGGTGAAGGTGGGATATGTTGTAGGTGTTTGGGACTGAGGGTGAAGAGTATATATAAATATAACTTGAAGCTTTGGAGGATTGGAAGTGGATGTTGTGATGTATGTGTTGATGTTGTATGTTGATGATTGATGCTGAAGCTGATGATAAGAAGAAACAACCTCATAAGTCGGGCATCTCCAAGGTCTTAAATAGAGGAAGAAGAAACACAGAGACAGGCAACTGCCTTTTGGCTCGAGGCCAGCTTGAGGCCATTCCCGGAGTAGCCATCTCGGCTAGGAAGCACCTTGGGGGTACTGGGCCCCCAAGCGCCGCAGCGGTCCGCGGTCTTCGCATGACATAAGAAAACGGGGATTTGAGGCCCGTCATCAAGCGTCCCTAAGCCTGGTGTATGGGGTTGACTGATGCGTTTCTGAGCAATACTATGTTGTATCGTCAATCTTGTGGTACGGGGTTTGGAGTCACAGCCCCCGAAGGTGTCTAGGAAATAGTACCTCGTAGTTCAGGCTTCCATCTGCCAAGGGGTACAAGCGAAGGCACCCAAATTTAATCCCAGGGAAAGGCACTAGAGGTAAGAAGTATGTACCTGGCCCCACAAGGCTGTTCAGGGCCTCGTCTAAAGTGTCGTCTCTTTTGGCCTCTGTTCACCGGAGGTTGTACAAATTCGGTCAAGGTATCGCTAATAGCAGATACGAGTCGAAAAGAGCCCCCAAGCCAAGGCTTCAAGGCTTCCATTTGGGGTTGTCAGAGCTGAAGGGCATGCGTCCGCGATGCAACGGGAAGATCCAAGTCCCAACTGGATGACGCTAACTGTAGGGCTGAGTCCACGATACACAAGTGCTGCGAGAGCTTTGATAGGTGCCTGAGACGCCGAGTCCAGCACGTTTAGCGATGTAACTCGGTAGATATTCCCGGCGGCGTACCTATGATGTTGTCCACTCCACGAGGCCGCGCCGTCGGGTAACATCCATATTCGCTTCTTTGTTGTTGCTTACAACGCAGTCGAGCATGTTCTGGATGGAGCTTTTGATCGGTCAGACTTCTGGTGGTGCTTCATTGGAAGACGGTGGCTATGGGATTGCACCCTGTTCCCAACGGAGTCGTCACGCCGAAATGTGTGGGTGCTGCAAGTGAGCCCAGTCATCGTTGACAGTTTCAGACATTGTTGCCGTACAAAGCCGCTCTTTGCCTGTCAGCGACATGGACTATTGATGTGTACGTACCTGGACCCTGAGTTTGGGGTGTTTTTCGGCGGTACTTTTGTTGAAGATAGCATCAATCGCAGGTTGAAAGCAGGATGATGCGGTGATGGATGACTTAAGCTGGAGAACGAAGTGGAAGACCTCAATGGTCCGGGAAAGGCGATCCTTCCCTCCCTCTGAATTGCCCATTGGGGATTATGCAATCATCATCAATGCACTCGCTCCTGCCACGAACGGATTCCCAGATAGGACTCATTCCTGTTTGAGTCGCCTAAAGTCCGAACTTCAACGGCTGCTCCGCTCCGTGCTGCGGCTTTCTCTTCAGTTCCACTCGATGAATGACTCCGTCTTCGCCGTCGAGACACTTTGGCTGCTCAGCCGTTGGAAATAGGGCGGCCGATGAGCATGATTCCAGAAAGACGTTGGAAGGCAGGAAGAATAGTTGGATCCCTGTTGCGTGGAAATACTTGCACCTTCCCCCGCGAATGGGACGCTATAACACCCCTTCCGTGACTTCCGTCTGCTTCTTTTGTGCCTCTGTTTTGCAGTTCTCTGCCACCTCCTTTTCATCACCAACTGGTCATTTGCCGACAACCGACCGCGCCAACAAAGACCAGTTGGACATCGTCATTAGAGGCAATTACCACTGCGCACACCGAATCTCGACGAGTTCGAGCCTCGACGACTCGCACAAACAACCCCGAATCACCAGAGTACCCTTGGCTAGACGGCTGCCTTGGGATACTCCTCGTGTATGTATGTTGATGACGAGATTGCGGCACTTGGGTGGCCTCCGGTGATTTGACCGCGGCGACGCTTTCGGTAGGTGTTGCCGGCTGCTTACGGCGTACAAACAAACGGCATCAGGTTGTGCTCCAGGGGTTGCTTTGTTGAAGAGGAACCTGAAGTTGCCAGCCGCCGGCGTGGAGGGGTTCAAACGGCACTTCAACGGTCAACCCCCGGCCCGTCCCCCGGTGTGGGGCACTACCTACGTCCCCCGGACCCCGTCTCCTACTCCGTGCCTCCGGCATCCCCGGAGTATATCAATACATCCGGATCGTCCTAGACCTGAGTTGACTCGATGTGGTCATTTAACGCGCCCGTGCGTGTTAGGCTTCCATTTCGCCCTCAAAATAGGTACAAAAGCCACCGAGCCAAAGACATCACTGCCGAGCACTGCCCCCTTGGGGTCTGCACTAACAATTTCCAGGTCTTTGTTGGGAACAACCTTTGCTGGAATATCAACCAACATCTCGAGATATTCTATACTTACTTCATTCCACTCTTATCACCTACATCCTGGGTGGCACAAGCCAGCATGGCATTCTCGGAAGACATGAGGTGCATTTTCAGGTTACACAGCATAGTTGTCTGCAAGAGATCTTTTCACTCTTAATCAGCAAAGTCCTGCCTCGTCTGACAAGCGTCAAGGAGACTTGACAACATTTCACCGCAACTTCAATCTACCATAGACTCAAAAGGTCTCCCAAATTCCAATGGAAGCGAGAACCAACCAGGCCATTGAGACCATCACCACTCCCCAATACGGCTGCCTGACCCTGAACAACGCCTTTGTTGTCATCACACCCAAGATGGGATCACGGCCCCCTCTTCTCACTCAATATTGAGCGGCTCTGCTAATCCCAAGTCTTAGCTCGGGAAGGATGCAATAACAATACCCAATTGCCGACCCTCCCCTCTCCCGCGAGTCTCATGCAGCCCTGTGGAAATAACAGGCACGTGGGGGAAGTCATATCATCAGCACTATAGCCCGATCTTGCTACGGACTTGGGGGCTTCAGATACCACCATCGACGGAGATGCCGCTGCATGTCGTGCTTTATAGCTTGATCCATCTCAAGTGAGGCACGGATAAACAGCCGAGCAATGAAGGATGCTTGGAGCGGCTATTTTGATGGGAAGCTTGTCACTTCTTGGGTGTTGAAGGCTCACGGAATGGGGGGCACCTTGCTGTCGTCTGAACCTCGGGTGTGACGCTTGATTACAGAGTTGAAGAACTGGACGGACCTAACAGTAGTTTTGGCTATCATGATCGCCTAGGCTACGATTTGTCTGCGGAAACTTGAGAGAAAGGTCTGTCCTCTTGACAGGGTTGGCTGTTTTTATCCAAACAAATCCCCATATGAGAAGTTCTACAAGTGCATGTCTTTTTTTACAAGAGGCGACACTGCCCGTTATGGAAGTCCAAAACGATCAGTGACTCTTTACCGTGGTATTTCGGGACGTTCGTTTTCGAGACCTAGCAGGAGAAGTACATTCAGCATTGCAGACATGCTTGAATTCCTTCAAACCCCAAACCTGGAGGCATTCAAGTTGCGTCTATGCGATTGCCATTGGTTCAGCCGACAGAGTACTGCCTGTACCTACAAGGTTCCGGAAACGAACGCCTCGAGATATTACGGTATACTATGGAGATTGAGTCCACAATGGCAGGTGACGGGGTAAATCGAGTATGGGGTCGATATTTACATCACTCTCAGGTCTGGAAGCGGTTCTTGGAGACACACGGCTGGTAGTACCAGGCGTTAACCGCAAAGGAAGGGTTATCACGGACCTTAAAGGACGAGTTGCGCAGAGCTTCCAAAGGAAGAAGACAGCAGAGTGGCTTGAATAGCGTGGTCAGAGAAAGCTTTCTGTCAACTCTGACATATGGATCAAGTGACATCTGGTCTCCACACACGAGGATAAGCAGGAGACAGGAGATTGCTCCTTCCTTTTCGAAAGAAAATTGTATTCAGATATCCGATTTCTGGATCAACTAGCACGTGCCAAGTCACTTGATTTGTGTTAAAGGTTTCCTTTCAGTGTGACTCAACTCGACTCTGGCGTTGAAACCATATCTTCATCCCAGTCATCTGCCTAGCGGTTGAAAAGGTATCAACACCCTACACCGTAAATTCCATCAACATTTGGTACCTTGGATGAAAGTATCTTTCTGACACAACCTTTTTTTCGTTCTCAAAGACGACTACATTTTCCAAAAACCAGAAGACATCGCCCACGCCTTTGTTAGCTGTCCATGATGAATAGCCCTCCCGCTGACCGACGTCCAACAAGACGAACGAGAATAGTGTGCATCAGCGACACCCACAACTGCACTGTCAAGCTGCCCAAGGGCGACGTTCTCATCCACGCTGGTGACTTGACAAACCAAGGGAGTATTTCAGAGGTCATGAGCTTCATATTTCTTTCTTACTGCTACACTGCCCTCGAAGCAGCGCCATAAAATTCGTCACTCGTCTTAGGAAGCTGACGCTAACATCAAACAGCTCACCAAGGCAATCCAATGGCTGGAAAAGGCCGATTTTGAAGCCAAAGTTGTCATTGCCGGTATGTCTCATCAGTTCTTCACCTAAAGCTGCCCTTAGTTAGGCAAAGAAACTGACACTCACCTTTGTTCACTCAACAGGAAACCACGACAAAGCCCTCGACCCGGCACTCTCTTCCGACTCTTCTCAGCATCAAGCCCTCTCCCCAGCGTCTAAACACTTCCATGATCAATCTCTCCCCAACCCAAGAGAATGTCTCTCCCTTTTCGAGACTCACGGACCATCAATCACTTACCTTCGCCATGAGTCCGTTGAAATCATGCTCACGCACCCAAAGGGTCCGAGGACAAAGTTCAAAGTATTTGGAAGCCCGGGAACTCCCGGGCTGGGAGATAAGTGGGCGTTTGGGTATGAGAGGGGTGTTGAAGATCCGAACTACGTCTCCAGAAAGGAGCAGGAGGCGCGGGTAATGACTGATGGGGGAGGAGAGGCGGAAGGAAACGACGAGATTAAAACCGCAGAGAAGATTTGGTCCGCCATCCCTCCAGACACTGACATCCTCATCACGCACACGCCTCCCTACGGACACTGTGACCTTGGTGTCGTCCGCGGGTCAGACGGGGAAACTGGAGATGGAAAGGAAACAGAAACAGACACAGACCAGCATCTAGGCTGCCATTCCCTCCTTCAACGCTTATCAGTCGTTCGGCCGAGACTGCATGTTTGCGGACATGTACATCGCGCTAGAGGTGCTGAAAGGGTTCGGTGGTCCCCGTGTCGTGATATTTTGGATAGAGGAGAGGATGATAGCTCTAGCGAGATGGCATGGACAGTGTCCGCGACAGAAAACTGGGCGGACCCAAGCCCGGATCCAAAGTCTGCAAAAATTAGTTTGGTTGACCTGACGGGTCGCGGTCGTGGGGAAGGAAGCAGAAGATTAGACTGGGATGATGACGCTGACGCTGGTGAGGCAGGAGGAAGGGAAAGAAGAAGAGGAGGGGGAGAAGGAGGAAGAGAAGGACGAAAGGAAACGTGTGTGGTGAACTGCGCGATTTTGGCCAGCAATTATCCTCATGTGGGAGGCAAGAGGTTTCATAAGCCGGTGGTGGTGGATTTGGAGTTGCCGGTTTGTGGGGAAGGGGGAGACGATCAGGAGAATTAACAGGAGGGTTGGATGGAAGACTGGCGGCGATGAGGGCGAGGAAAGGGACTAGCTGATTATCAGATAGTAGGTATACGGGAGCAAAGATTGGAAATATGATTAGCGAGATCGCGGGAGTTTGACACTGGAATCGTCAAGGTAGGTAGGAAATCGTGAGTATAGTGTCGTGGAGCAAAACATGATGGTGACATTGACAGTGGAGTGAAAGGACAAAGGAGTGTCTGTAAGAAAGGCAGGTACGAAATTTTCACTCTACAACACCGGGAAGGTGCAGAGCGGTAGCGTTTAGAGACGGCCGGGATCCAGCGAGGTGTCATTGTCGAAACTTGGGCATAAGAGAGGAAAGTGCAACCCGGCATTGGTACCTGGAAACCCGCTCTTTCCTAGAAAGGTCCTGACATGTATGAGTGAGATCCGGTCCTTGAGTGGAAGTGGATGTTCAGACGAGCTGAAGGTTGACACTGTTTTGTAGACAGAGAATAAAACATGACGAAGAAGGCCTTCGGGAAAAGAAGGAATATAAGCTCGAAGTAGAGGAAACGGGTTACCAAATGACGATTAGTTCACGTAGTCTTCTCGGTCTGGCACAGTCCTTGCTTCCAAGGCTCCTAAAATCTCAGTTCTAATATCAAGGTCTCCGGTATCTCAGAATTTGAATACAGCAATGGGATTGTTCCTTCGAAGATACTGTGACTATTCTGGCTTTCAAAACAACAACTCAACATGTAACTTGAGCAGGATGGGAACGAAGTCAAAGTAATTGGCGACTGCAAGTACATAAAAGCTGCTAGCTATTTCATCTCTGGCCAGCAGGAGAGTCATACAACCTTTTTGCCGTACCAAGTCAGTTGTAGTCATCATGTTGTCCAACAGCGTAAGTTCAGAGGGAAGAAATATATACTTGATGACTTTACTGTTTCCCTTCTATCTTGCTTCGGTCGAATTGCCCAGTATGACATTGTAAATAGTACGTTATCCCATCACTCTTTAGTTTTCTCTTGCTGACGACTACTACCTCTACGTGAGAAGTCTCTTTCCTACCTCCTTGTCTGAAAGAACCATTGCCGTATATACCTTCTATGGCCTGCTCCGTTGATAGAAACTATCTCGACACGCACGAGCGGTGACACTGGACTTCCACCTGCAATATCCTTCGCAAACAGGATCCAGACCAATGATCCGAGATCCGATTCTAGGATGTCTTTAATGCCATTAGGTAAATATGAGGCGACTAGATAGAGAAAGACAGGTGAATACGGCACCCATCCCCCCTAGATTCTCCTTCGGACCCGAACGTTGAAGAAACTCCGAGACCAACCGTACATAGTACATACCCTTCCCCTTTCTTACTAAGGTGTTTACTCCCTCCGTTCTCTATCCCTCCCTTAGACACCGCCTTCCCAGTTGAACCCACTTCGTCAATCAGTTTCACATGTTCATCTCTGGTTTCATCCGTCTGTGTTTTCCGCTCTTCCGCTCTTCCGCTCTGCCGTTTTGTTCCTGAGTCCCGACAAAAAGGATGTCACCGCCCACCCTAAAGCTAACCCCTAGATCTCCCCGTCTAGCACTTAGTAAGTTAGTATCGACCTCCACCAGTTCCCCAATCCACTTCAGTTTAGTTACCCACTGCAGCCATCCCCATCCCCATCTCCATCCCCGCCTCCATCGACGGAACCATCCCACCTCCCTACGCGTAAGCACGCGCAAGCACCCGCAATTACCTACAACTACCCACAAGGCCACCCACAACCCATTCAGTTGGTTCAGCCCTCAAGATCTCCCGTATTCCCCATCCAGCATCCATCAAACCCCCATTGGGAACCCCCATTGGGCATTGGCCTATCACAGCCCAGATCCCGGCTCTAAACTAACCCAACTTAAGCCGAATAGTGGATAAGCATCATAGCCAAAAGGCTCCAAAAGCAGTCGTGGCACGATGAGAGTGATCAGAATCTCTCAAGTGCCTTTTAGCTACCGCGTCACCTCAGCCTAACATGCTTAGTTCCTGACTACGCCAACAGTAAGCTGAGCTTAGTTTAGTCTAGGAAGATCACGGATAGGGCATGCCGAAAACCACACCGTCGGCTTCTCGATTTCGGTGTAGAAGCGAGGGAGAAGGCGTTCGGGTCTTCGGGAGCCTATCATTGGAGTTTTAACTTTTGAGGCGGAAGCTAGGTAACGTGCCGGTGTTGCCGGCGGTACTGGATGGTAAAGAATGCGCAAAAGGGGTCACGAGGTGCAGTTGTTAGCTCTGTTAGTTTGATAATCTGACACTGACAGATCTCGGTCGGTCGGTTGGTCGGTCAACGTTGGGATGGATATGGATATCTTCGGGCCGGTTTAGGTAGGTATCCTTTTTCGGTATCCTTATTCGTTACTATCTCGTAGCCTTCGTTACTGCTTCAATTTTCGGTCAACGCCCTCAACCATAGGCAATCAAAAGGACAGGATGGGATACCTACCCAGACCGCCTTCCTTACCTCACTTCGCCTTACCTACCGCTCACGTACCTTGACCGTTCCGCCCGCATGGCACCCGTTTCGAACTGCTCATGTCGTGACACGAACCGGCGGCCCCCGTTTTTTCGGGCTATGCCATCATAGCACGCACCTTGGCTTGACAGTTCGACAGGTTGCCAGTTGATCCCTTTGGCCTAGCTTGGTGGGTTTGATGGGAGCCCGCCGTAGAAGAGTCAACACGTGTCAGGCCTCACAGGTCGGGTTGGACCTATCACCGCCCGCTATGCATTTCTCTTGTTCTCCCCCCAGTTCGACGACGTCAAACTTTTGCGCTAAATGGCCGAACGTTTCGGGTAGTCAATCCGGGGTTGAAGGCGGAGACCAAAAACAGACGGCCTGGGATGCGGGATGGATTGGGTCCCGAGCGGTCTGCCTGGGAAAGCCACTGATGGACAACACCGGGAACTGAACCCGGATCGAACCCAAGGACCATATGGCTGGTAGCTTGAGCACTCCCAACCTTTGTTATTGGCACGCGACAGCAACTTCGTTGATGATTCGTTGTCAGTATCTATTGATCCTCGAAGTAGGATCATACTGCTTGTGGGTTCGTCCCAAACAAACCCAGTGCGTTACGGAAGATTCTCTTTTCCGGCGTACATATATTTACCCGGTTAAAGAATTAGCCGTTTCCCCTTACGTAGGTGACATTTCCGCAACGCTGATGAAGTCATACCAGGACGTCGCCATGTGGGATTTGCGGGTGAGCCGGCACTTTGGAAAGTCTTGGGTCTCCATACTATTTGGCGGTTTGACACGCGGTGAGTTGGATATGTCTCCATTGCCATGCGGATTTCGTCGACCATTTTGTTGATGTAATTGGCTTTTGGCTTACTGATCTGCAAAAATGAGCTTGAGCTAGGTTTCAGAATATGACAGCTCAGCCCGTTTGCCTAAAAGCTTTGAACAATCTTTCTCAGGGTCCGAATTCCATGGGCAGTCTGGAAAACAAGGCTACCATCCCGCCGGATAGATGGTTTTGGTTGTCGGTCGGATACGGTGTAAGGGCATGTCCAACTCGGGGTCAAGTCCACCCAAAGGCTGTCACGCGAGTGTATCCCCGAATCCAAAGCCTTGCTATGCAGATCGTCAAGGTTTCGATTTGAGCCCCTTGACTGAACAAACGGCGGCCCGCTCCGATTGCCGGACGGAATGCCGTCCGCTACGTCGATCCCCTAGCCTTGTCTGGGTGATATTCCCCGATCAGCTGGGTCTCTTCAGGCCCGAGGGGGTTGGAGGCTCAGGCATAATGGTCACTGACCACGTTATGATTTACTCAAGCCTTCCATCCAAGAGTGCCATGGCCATTGTGCCGTTTGGCTCATAGCTCCAATCAAGTTCGTAAGAGTGTTCTCTGAAAGAGAAGCGCACAGCATTATAGTCGGAGAAGATAGAAACGATGATGTTGATCAGGGTGCATGCGCAAGAATGCCTGTCAACCAGCCCAGTTCGAAGATGGCCAAAACGGGCAAAGGGACAAGGAGATGCCTGCCGAGAGGTTTAAGGTATGCGCAACATGTTGTTCCAGCAGCCGGGAGAAAATCGGAGCACGAGTTCATCGGGAAGCGGCTCTAGAAGCCCCCGTGTCCAATCAGCCTGACGCATCTTCCCCGCTGCTTGACATGTTTGGCTTCGAGGGTCCTCACTCGAGGAGCACGAGTACGGGGGAAGTGTGATGCGCATCTGTGACGGCATGCAGGTTGCACGGTTGCAACCGGCCGGCATACGGAGCACCTATCATAGGGTTTGCAGCAGATAAACCCTCCTGGTCTCTCCTTGTACGCTTCCATGATCTGGCAATGTCTGAACGACTCACAATTAGTGAAAAGCAAGACAATCCAGGATGCAATGGCTCTTACTAGTCTCATTATAAAGCCGATGTCGAGCTTGTGCTTGTTCTTCTCAAGATCAGAGATTCTTCCGAGGTCTCTCCAAGGGTATCCGTTCGATCGTGGGAACACGAAGTGCTGGGAGCAAACGCTGGCACAGCCGTCTTCCCAAGTCGTCAAGAACCCTAGAGAGAAGGTATGCAGTTAGAACACCACCAGCAGCATCTCGTAAGCTCACCGCCACGGAGATGGGTGGTTACAATATCCTTTCGGCGGTCTGGGATTTGCATCTCGTGTGCGGCTGCCCCGGCTTACACTCCCCTCAAGCTGCATTGTCAATGGTGCCCCAATGTACATAGAGGATCCCCCACGGGAAAGGGACGTTGCGTATGTACTGTGCGGTTGGTGTGACGCGACCTGACCGGCATCGCACGGGGAAACCAACGGATGGGCAGGAAAACGAACGACTGCTGTGAGGATCCCATCCGACGGCATGGCCCCGGTCGCGACACAGGAACACGATGAAGAGAGTACGGAGGGGTAGGGAAGTTGTCTTGGTGGTTTGACGGTTTGGCGGGGTAAAGTCGACAGTCGCTCAGAAGGAGGAAACGAGGGGTGGAGGGGCTTGATGTAACTCGAGTACGCAGTGAGCGTGGCTTGTGGCCGTTAGTATGTTCGTGAGCGACCAAGGCCAACGTCTGAAACAATGTTGCCTGACAGATAGTCCGACTGCTCCTCCAGGTGATCATATTCGGGATCCGACGGCTAGGTTCACTCCAGACACGAGGCCATTTCCCCAGAGGAGAGAGACAAGAAGTTGGCTGATGTGTATCTTGTCGCCGAGAGCGCTGCAAAAGCCATGTATGAGACGCTATTTGCATATCTGAGGCACGGGTATTGGCAGTAGACGAGACTCTGTAGCCAGTCGATGAACTTGTTGTACCGGCCCGCATTGGTCGTCAAATGGGGGGAAATGTAGTACTCCGGCCGTCCCTAAAACCATGGCTTCAGATAGGGATTGGATGGAGTGACAAGGCTAACAGCAGACTGTCACAATGGACCTGTTGTATGTATGAGGCTGTACCTGCTTCTGGATGTGCATCGTTTATCGGGTGGCTATCGAGGGTAATATAGGAATAAAAGAAAAGATGTGTTTTGATTGGGTAAAAGACTGATCTGGTGTGGAAGGTGACTGGTGTCAGTTGAATGGTGCTGTCGCATACCTGTCGACCATTTGCGCATCGAAATATGACAAAGTTGACGTTGAGAGAAATCGCTCTTGTGATGGCCCAATCAGCCAGAGTCTTCTGTTGTTCACGAACTGCTGCATGGGCACTCGGAGCGTCACAGCCGAAGAGCAGCATAGACGCCTCCGAAATCCGGGGCTGTCGATTGTGCAGTTTCCAGCATAGGTATATGGCGAGATATCTCCTGTCTGTAGGACAAAAACTTGATGCCGGCAGAAAAATTGGGAATTGGGCGTTGGGCGTCTAGAGCGGCTATTGGCCAAGTCGAGGAAAGAGCGAAGCGAGGACGTGTGGTTGGATCGAGTTGACCTCATTGCGCTGAATAACCTGAAGCAGGTGCTCTTTCCCTGTTAGCGGAGCATCATCAGGAGTCTCCTGCCATTTGTGATGACATCGATAGGCATCCATCATCGGCATTCACCAAGCCTGTTTGACGACGGTTTGACCTTTGACGCGTTCCCTTCGACGCAATCTCAGCTCGGGAAAGAACCTATTGGTGACTGCCACACCATCCGGCGGTACGTGGATTGTCACGGGGATTGGCACGAGGGAGCGTGAGCTTGCCCTGCTGAGCAGACCTGGTGGGCAAGATGAGACTGCTAATCCGGCAGCTTGCGCAGGAACAAACGATTCTGGTGAGCTGTCAGGAGGTGTCTTGGGTCAAGGTCAAGTCGGCGGCGGCGGCGGCATCAAGTATTCAAAAGGTTCAACTCAGAGGCCGCACTCGCCACCATCACCAGCCACGCCGAGGCACCAGGCGATATTCCGATGGGATCATGGGCCACGTTCCATGTCTGTAACTTGGCATTCCCGTCCCAGCAATGGATTGAGCGAGTGGCATTCCGAGGTGCAAGTCCGTGGACGACCGACGCCGATCCGGGAGAGAGGCCGCCTTTGTGAGTGTCGAGACGTGGATGGTGCTGTTTGAGATGGCATTTTTGCGGTCCCTATCCCGGATTGTTGTACTCCCTGTTTATATTAGTCTATCTGGGCTGTCCTGACTGTCCCCTCAACAGCGATGCTATTCCTGACAAAACTGCCACGCCTGTGCTGCTGAAGAGGGTAGCACTATGGATCATTAGCGGCCGGCGGCCGGAAGAGAAGCTGAGAAAGAAGCCGACAGAAGTCGAGGGACGCCTGCGAGGGAACCTTGGTCGAATTGTTCCCATTCCCATTTGATGGCATAAGCCAGGGCCCGGCAAGGGCAGGTGGGTGGTCACCATAACAGGAAAAGCTCCGCATACAGCCAGCGTGCATCCAGCCAGTGAGAGGCCGTCGTGATATGCTGGTGCTGTCTCGAAATCTGTCATCCCATCTCAGGTCCGGTTCCATTCTCCCCCTCTTATTGATATCGCATCGGGGCCCATCAAGATCCAGAGCGAGTGTGCGAGTTGCAAGTTCATCCCAAGTCTTAACGGGGATGTCCAGTTTTGGTCATCATCAATTCAACTCTCTCATAACTAAGCAGTGCAGTCGGGGCGCATTAGGACCCTCAGTTTGTGCCTTCCTCTTTTTACTTTGCATTCCAGTGCGAACTGCAAGTTACGGGAAAAACAATCAATCAAGGAGCGCACCTGCCCGTCAACTTGAACCATAGCACCACGCACTCGACCCTGGCACGACATCAAAGTGCAGGTGACCTTGGCTTGGCCGTCCTCGACCTTTCACCTTCCGCGCATACCGTACCTTGCTCAGTCCACTTCTCCATCTTCTTCAGACTTCGTTTCCGACCTTCAGTTCCCCGTTTTCCACTTCCAGTTCGTGTCGTCGACGCGGCATTGTCCGTTGGGATCTACCAATACATACTCTACCGTCTTTTAATCATTGATCACCGCCTTTGGTTGCACGACAAATCCAGCACCAGAAACAACAACACCACGAGCCCCACTCCGGTCGGCCAGTCTCCAGATCCCCGAGATCCCCTCCCCCCTAACGATTCCCCCCTGTGGCTCCCTTGGCCCTGCACGAGCACAGCTAGACACAACACTGCAACCACTAGACAACGGTCCACACTATAGCCAGTCAGATCACGACGACCAGCACCTATACCTACCGCTACCGCCCCCCAGAAGCCGCCCTCCAACTTTCCCTCCACGCTTTCTTTCTTTCGCCTCAATTCCCGTCTTTCACTTCTCTGCGCCCACAGCCGCACCCGTTTTGCCCCTCCAACCGCGCGCCAGCCTCGCAATCCCTACCGCCTCATACTTCTACGCCTCCCAACCCCAGGGACATATACAACTCTCCCTCGGGCTCTTACGACAATCCCACGCCTTTCAATGCTTTAGTTGCTCTGTCTTGACGGACGCCTGGTGCCTTCTTGTCAAGTCACATATCCTTTGCCCGTTCACTTTTCGACAAGCTCTCACCTCAAACACCAACCTTCGAGTCAACGCTACCTTACCAATTCTCTTCATCACCATGTCTTCTCTTCCTCCCGACCCGTGGCAGGTCCTCGGCATCGCAAAGACGGCAGACAAGACTGAGATCCGGACAGCATACCGAAAATTGGTCCTCAAGTGTCATCCAGACAAGGTCCAAGATCCGACTCTGAAAGCTGAGAAGCAAGACGAGTTCCAAAAAGTCCAGCAAGCCTATGAGCTTCTCAACAACGACGAAGAGAGGGCAAAGTATGAGCATCAGGTTCGAATGAATGAACTCAACCAACAAAAGGCACGGGCTACCTCAAAGAGCGCGGCTCATTCCCCAGCTGCTCGATCATCTCCCAGGCACAAGGAGTTCGCTTTCACTCAAACGCCAGAGCGTTCCTCTCACAGGACAACGACATCAAGCAGGGAGAAGATGTACTTTCAACCCTCGCGCTCTCACGAGGAAGTTCCTACTTCTCGCTTCGCGGACATGAACTTCAACGAAGAGAGACGTGCTCGTCGAGCAACTAGTTATGAGAAGCAACCAAGACACGAGGACGAGAGGCCCTCGAGGCGCGAAGAGGAAAAGGCATCCAGACGTGAAGATGAAAGGCCCTCAAGGCGCGAGGAGGAGAAACCACTAAGACGAGAAGAGGAGAAGTCGAAGGACAAGCGCAAGGATGAAGAGGAGAAGAAGGCGAGGCGCCAGAGGGACTTGGATAGGCAGCTGGAAGATTTGGCTGATCCCGGCCGCAAGGCGGAGAAGAAGAAAACCGATAGGGAACGGGACAGAGTTGAGAAGGAACGAAAATTGGAGGAGAAATCCCGGCGGCACAAGGGTCCCTCGATTGAAGTCATGGAGGATCCAGAGGAGCCTCCCAAATCAGACAAGAAATCCGCAAGGTCTTCGGGCAAGAAATACACCGAGACTAAGGAGCGCGAACGGGATGGTTCCCGCTCCCGCGAGTATGACTATGGGCGAGAAAAGTCGGCCTCCCGTCCCGCTGCCGGTCCTGTTGCCGATGATCCGCTGGAAAAGGCAAAACTATATATGATGAGCAAGGGTACCAAAGTTCCTGAACTGGATCGGATGCACGACAGAATTCCGAAGCTGGGGAGAGCCCAAACTTACAGTTACAAGACTGAAGTACCCCGTCCTCCCCAGGCTGACTACGATGACGAAGAAGTCCCGCGATCATCTGCTCGACCCCGTCGATCCTCCCAGGAGACCCCAGCAAGGTCTAAGGAGAGCCCGCACATCGTCGATGCTTCGCCTCGCCTTACTCCGGTCAACGTCAAGGCTTCAAAGTCTCCTGGCGTCCCTCCGCCTCAGGTTTCTCCCTCTCGCCCCCTATATCGATCACAAACGACCAACGAAGTACATTCTGGGCATCAATTTCATCCACCGCCCATGACACGGCATACTACTTGGGCTCCTAGCTCTGACCGACATTTTGATAACGTCTACCATAACGACTCAGATGATGATTACGGCCGCCATCATCGTTCACGTTATGCGGACTCCCCTTCTGATGGAGTACGGTACAAAGCGGATGGGGGCAGGAGCTCGAGGCGCGATGAGCCAACATACCCCAAGGTTTACTCACGAGCAAATTCCGCCACACGAGTTGCCCCTGATCTCTACGGACCTCCACGCATATACTCGACCTCGGGTATGAACGTGAAAGAGGGCAAGAGATTCGAGCTGAATGAGGTGAATTTCTCACCTCTCCCCTACGCCACCAGGCCTTCTCCTTCTCGAGACCATTCCTACCAAATCCGCACTTAAGGCATCTTTAACCCGACAACTTTGTTTTTCTATTTCTCTGGGCTTCTTTTTCCTTTGTTTTCGGCAGGTGTTTGCAACGGCTTGCATTGAATGGGTCATCGGGGTACGGTGTTTGGTTTGGATATCGATCGGTTGATTTTCTCCTTTTATACTACTCATATATGGGGGACGAAACCCGGTAAAGAGACAGTAACGACACGTCTACGTTTCATACATCGCATGATCTGGGATTTATTGGGATATGATTTGGGGCACGAGGTAGAGGACTCAAAGCCATGACACGGGGAGGAAACGGACGCGTGGGAAACGCGCTGGGACAAAGGTCAAGGATAGCATCGGGAAATGCCGCGCATGATGATGAAGCAATAGGAATTGCTTTTCTTGGGGTTCACTTGTTTTTCTCTGTTTTCTGGTTGTATCTAAGGCACGGGAATGGCGATATAGCGTACCTCATACAAACATACCAACGTTTTGGATGCCCTTGATCGGACGGGATCCTATCACAACAACAGCGATCCCTCTTCAACATTCCAAACTGTGAACTTCTGCAATCTCAACGGCATACAAAGATGAAACAACGAGCCGCGGGCGGACATACAGGACCTAGGGCGACGTGAGGAAAATAATCCTGGATATGGAACACTTAATCCGTCTGACTAGCGGCGGATAGGAGTTCGAATAAGTCACGGTGTTTCCCTTTCCCGTTTGTATCTCTCCAACTGTCGAGACTGGATACCAGATATCAACGAAGAATACAGTCATGTAAGGGGAGAAGGGATCAAAGCGAGATGGGCTAGGTCAATACTGAGGAGATTTTATAGATATATCGTGTATCTCTTGTTTCTGTCTTCTTAGTTTCAACTTCTTGCCTATCTATTATTCCCCCCCTTATGGCAGTAATTTACTTTACTTCCAACAGACAGAGATTCTTCATTAATCCTTGGAGGCAGGCACCGTGATTGTGCTCGACGACGATGCGAGAGAGCGAGACCTGGTCGAGGGGAACGGTAAGTACCTACTTTCGGCTTTCGTTAAAGAACAAAAAGCGACTCCGACAGTCTAGTCTACACATTGCCTCCAGATAACCAAATCATGGGCACTCACTCGCCTATCTGATATCTCACGTCGTACATCAACAAGCCGATAGCCTAAGTCTAGGTCCCACCCAGCCTTCAGTTGTCGTCAGCCAGCCGAGAATGGAAATCCGGACGCCGTGAAATAAGCTGAACCCTACCTAGTCTAGCCCAGCCTGATGCTGTCGTTGTTGCCCTCAACCAGCAAGCAAGCTTGACCGCGGACTGACGGGAGTGACAACTTTTGAAAATTGGCAGTCGCGACCCAGGGTGATTACCGGAGTGAGTGCAGGTGTCCAGGAGGGACATTCTGCAAACTCCGTCTTCGTTTCCCCTTGTTCTTCCACTTGTACCCCAACCGCCGTCTTCATCTCAACAGGAGGCAAGTACTCATACTGCGGTGTCCATATCCTAACGCGTCACGCACTGGGTAGCGTAGGTACATATACCAAACTTCCCACTCCTTCCTTCCGAGGAAACTCATGGGCTCCCATTGTATGGGACGCCGTGTAGTCCGGGTAGTTCGTCCCGCTGCCTTGTTAAATCCTGGAGCACATGCGTTCACTCCTCACTTCGAGCAGGTAACAACAAATCCTTTTCCCCTCTTCCCTTCCACTGCCTCATCTCCTTTCCATCCTTTTTTTTTCTTTATGGCTTTGCTACAACTGTTACAAGCTGGGGCGTCCAAGGGGGGAATTCTACGAATTTCTTCGTTTCGTCTCTCTTTATAAAGTTGTTCTTATCCTCTCTGACGTCTTCCCCTTCGAGCTTGTTTGCTGCTGTCACTTCCTATGATACAAGATTTCGTAAGAGAGGAGATTCGGTATGGTTATAAAACACTATGTATATACCAGATTATATATAACGGGTATCTGTAGTAGTCTATGAACAAAGAACATTTTGCTCCTAAAGCGACAAGGCAAGACAAAACACCTTACAACAACTTTACTCTGATGCACCACCGAACCGATTCGCTGACGATTATATCAAGCCAAGGCGCCCCTTTCATGAAAACAGAGCGACCGCCGCCGGATAAACTCGCCTGGTGTGGTGTTGAATCCAATGCGTATGTTTATGTTGTGTTATGTATATGCAAAACGAGAATTTCAAACGCTTTGCTTTTCTTCGTTCTTCTTTCCTCCTCCTCCTCTTTCATGTCAGACGCCGACGCCACCTGTATGATGGTATAGTATGGTATAATATAGTATGTGCAGTAATGTCGACCGGAAAGACCGGAGAAAAGGACAACGCAAGTCGGAGTAATTATACCAACACGTAAAGCGAGCAAATCTATTCATCCCAACCGTTAGTAAATCCTTAAATCGACAACAATAGAAAGGCAAAGGAAAGGAGGAGAAACACTCACCAAACTCAACCCCAAAATCATACTACACCAAAAGCACACATTATTCAACGTCTTCTTCCCCCTGACCAACTTGGTCCTCTGCAGCATCACAATCGGCAACTGGAGCATCTGGCAAATGAAGCCATACCCTCTTATCTTCTTAGTGATACACGCCATGACGATCTCGTGGCCCACGGCCGAGATCAAGAACGTAATCACCGTCGCATAAGCCCTGCCGACATGCGGCCTGCTGACGCTGTACACGTGCCTCCTGAGAAAGTTGTACACGGGCACGTTCCATTCCCGGGAAAACTCCATCCAGTCGGTGCTGTTCCACCAGTCCGAGTAGAAGTGGCGGTCGGCAAAGTGCGTGATCTCGGCGAAGGCGCCGAGGACGTACTCGAAGATGACGAGGAAGACGAGCAAGAAGGTGAGCATGAAGGGGAACAGCAGCCAGGAGATGGTCTCGGCTAGGATGAGGAGGACTTCGAGCGCCGTCAAGGGACCGGATTCGCCGGCGGCGGCGCGCAGCGCAGGGTCGAGACGGATGGAGGCGTCGGTCAGCGCGGGCAGGATGAACTCCTCCGAGATGACGGTCAGCAAAAAGATGCAGCCGAAGACGGCCAGGATCTTGGACAGCAGGTTCTGCCAGTCGATGGCGGCGGTGCGCGGGTACTCGATCTCGTAGCACAGCGTCGGGCAGCAGAGGTAGTCGAGGTAGTTGGCCCACGTCAGGTTGGACGGGTACGTGATGTTGCCCATGGGCGAGGTGAGTTCGCGGGCGAGGTCCTCGCGGAGCTGGGCGACCTCGTCGTCCTCGTTGGGGGTGCTGATCTCCTTGGTGTCCTTGCCATTGGCTTCGGCGGCGGCGGCTTCGGCCGCGCGCTGCTTGGGGCTGGCGACCGTGCCCATGGGGTTTTCGGGGGTCGGGTAGAGGTAGGCCGGGGCCTTGGAGGCGGTGGCCGGGTCGTCGAGCGCCCGGAGACGCTTCTCCGTCTCGGACAGGTGGCCCATGTAGAACGAGTACGAGTGCATCTTCATGAGAAGCACCATGGTGTGTAGCAGCAGGAACACCTGAGCGGTCCATGTCCACTCGAGCCAGAAGGGGATGATGATCCAGATGGCTAGCCAGATGGCTTGGTAGATGCTCTGGATGGCCATGCCGCCCTTGGCCCAGGTCAGGACGCCGCCGGCGGGGGCAGCGCGAAAGACCTTGTGTAGCGGGAGGGATACAGCGGTGGTGGCAACCATCAGGAAGTCAGCAATGGCAAGATGCCAAAGCTTGACGGTGAAGAGCCCCCAGATCTGGACACGCAGTGGGTAGCCCGTATCTTTGATGTTGCGCAGGCCGGTGGTGATGGCCATGATGGCCAGGCCGATCCAGAAGAGATTGAAGAAGCCATGGAAGTCGCGGTAGTCGCTGTTGGGATCGAAGTGGGAGACTCGGCTCGCGAACTCTATCGTGGGGAAGATACGGCGGCGTTGTTCGGCGCGGACTTGCTTGCGGGCGGTCGAGAGGGACTGGATGGACGGGGGAGCATCGGGCGGAATCGGGGTCGAGCGGCCGCTGCTTTGACCGGCACTGACAGAAGATCAGTTAGCATTCTGGAGAGATGTCCCGTAAAAGTTGGTCGTACCTGGTAGCTCCGGTACCGTTTGCATGGTCGCTATCGCCATTTGCGTCGTGGGAGAGTTGGGAGACCTGAGTATGCAAGGGTTTCCGTGGTCGAGGCCGGAGAATGTTGTCGCCTTGGCCGGCGAAGGCGTCCGCTGATGTTGATGTGGATGTCATGCTCCTTCTTCCCCAACTGGTGTAAGTATGTCGTCGTATGTATGTATAAGGCGGTGCCTTGCTTTAGTCTTCAGATGAAGCCGGCTGCTTTCTGCAGGTGCTTCTGGACGGTAAAGACTGATGATGCCAGGAACACAGGCACAGACAGTAGGGACGAAAGGAGAAGTTCAGGGTCGATTCGGTCAGACCCCTTGAATCATGCACCGGGAATGACGAAAGAACCGAGAGTTTAAAAATGTTTCTGATAATTTGCGAAACCTGGGAGCTTGCTTCTGTCCAATGCCAAGCTGTGGTGACACCTCACCCCGCGGTCGTCTGAGGTCCTTGCTATTCTAGATGTCAAAGTCTGGTGGATGGTTCATTGTTCTCCCTTCTCAGTACCCTTTCAGTGATATAAGATAAGGGAAGCTCTCGTCAGGCTTCCACTTGTCAGGTTAAATCCCAAGATGCAAGTCATTGATGCACGACCCAGCGACAGGCGTTAGTACACGTTTGGGCTGGCAAGCTTCAAGCATTCAAGCCTGGAAGGTAATTCCGACAAGTGTAAAGTGCAAGCTGTTATGTTTAGAGACCTCCGCTGGCCGGCGGCAGTCCAAGTCGCAATACGTCACTTCCACGTGACTGTAGCAGGGATTAGGGAAGTTGAAGGAGGTGATGATAGCATCGATAACCATCTCGGACCTAAAAATGTAAAATGCGATTCGGGTAATCGGAAATCACTTGAGCTCTCCAAATCTTGCAAGCATGGTGATCCTCCCAAATCCGGACGGACATATTCCAAATTGGAATAACACTCATCCAAGCAAACCCTCGATTGCGGTTGAATGTTGAAGGCACAACGGGAAGGGCCGTTCTTTTATACGTCTTCGGCAGCCCTGTACGCTGTGGACGCATTGTCCTTTTAGATACAAACATCTCGGGTCCCTGACCATGGACCATGCCGTGAGGGGCGGCCCAGGGACGCGGATGACTTGTCCGGGCAACGGAGAGCTCAGCGCAGAAAATTGTCGAGTTCAACATGGTGGGGATCGTGGGGACAGAGCCAAGTCGCGATCACCGGCATCGACATTGACATCATTCGGGGAAAAGCTCTCTTTTACCTTGTCCAGTCATAGCTCGTGAGCCTGGGCTGTCGGACATTCTCGGTGGAAGTCATGTCCTGCCATTCAACCTGCCAACAGGACTCTCTTGGTTGATCCCGTGCGCAGGATCTTTTGGATTTTTGGGGTCAATGGGATCAGGGTAGCAATTGTCGTCCCCTTCCAGAACCTGAAGGGCGCGCAGCCA